CCTTTCCAGATGCACAGGCAGCTACTGTAAGCACCAATCTCCCGAACTGCAAACTACACGAATCCTCCAACTCCCGAGCAGGAAACACACAAATACTGGAAGCAGCCGAACAGGAAAAGCATACAATCAGCTTACACTCCTGGCAATCAGCATACAATCCAATTCCCCTAATAACGAGACAACACTTCGTTTTGAGGTCAAGCAGAACTGACAGAGCTGTGGGTTTATTGTTCTTATATACACATTAGTACCACCCACAGGGTTTTGGAAAACAACCAATAAACACGTACAATACACTCAGACACTCCCACACAAAATCCTCCCCTCTGCCTGTGATAGAATTACCTTACACAATGGGTAATGTAATTATCACAGACAGAGAAATACAGTTTTTCCACCTTATTCATAACTTGAAAAGAATGCATCACATTCACATAAAACATTACATTTTCAGAATCAGCATACTCCAAATACAAACATGTCAAAATCATCCAAATTAGTCCATTGGTTCAAAAGATAGATCGAAGTCCTTTGTGACCAAATGAAGCATGGCTTTTCTGCCCAAAACCAGTTCCACAGAGTCTTTTATCCTATAGATAATTGGGAAGTAATCCAATTATCTCCAAGGACAGAGGCAAAACTCCATTAAACACATGGCAGTAAAAAGACAGTAAAAGACATAAAATTACATACTGTTACATTCATCGCATAGAACATACACATTCTACCTATCCCCAGATAGCTTAGATCTGAGCACACATTATTTCCGGATGGCGCTCAGATCACATGCATACAGTTCAATCGCCATGGAGCCAAAGTCTTTCCCATAGTCTTTTGGTATACGAATGGGCTCCCTGGCTTAGCTATCTGGGGTAACACTGCTCACATAGGGAAAATAAAAGTTTTTTAATGCAGGGCCATAGTCCAGCGGCAAGAGGTGGGCAACCAGGCTCCTCCAGTGGTCAGTGGCGAGGTTGGTTCCGCCACACTTACCTTCAGGTTCCAAAACCCACATTATTAATCCGGTGCATATGGTTCCAGCAAACATTAAGAAAGACATCTTGGAGGGAAGGATGTTAATCTTGTTGCACTTCTTATTGCTTCACACAATGTTATAGAGAACCGCACTTATGCTTATGGTGATGTTTCGGTGGTGTTAAAGGCCAGGGACCCTAGACTTAATAAGAAACTGTCTATACCCGATTTTTTCATAGCATTTGGTATCTATCGGGATGTCATTTGTTCGGTATACCCACATAGACGAGAGGAACTCGACCTCTCTTTGCACAAGCTGGTAGACTTAGGAAATAAATACGGTGGGTCATCCTTTTATGATTACCATTGGTCCTTTTCGGCAAGGGAGTCTGCAATTTTGGCTCAGTACAACGTTAAAACTGACTGGAGCTGTATGGTTACTGAGCTATTTTGCAGACACTTTGCTGGTCTGAAGACACCAGCTTGTGCAATTTGTGCATCCACCTCACGTGCCTCGGACTATTGTCCTATCATGCCAGAGTCCACACCTGGTACTTTCCAGGAGACACAGACTAGGATGGACAGATCAGGCAAGGACAAACTTGGTCGTCCTATTGTTTACCTTGGGAAGTCGCAGGTGTGCAACAACTTTAATGTAGGTACATGCGGATATAGTGCCTGTAATCAATTTTATTTGGTGTGTTGTCATGTACCAGGGATTTATAATACTGCAGCTGACAAATTGTCTCGCTTTGATTTCCAGGCCTTCAAAGACAAAAAACCTCGGCCTCCCCAACAGCCACTGCAGCACCGTGTTTTCAGGAACTTGTAATGGACTAAAAGAATTAGCAAGGCATAGTCTCGCCTTAGCTAGTTTGGCCCTCTCTGAAAATACAAAACTGTCTTACAATAGAGCCTTCACACTATATAAGAGATTTATATTAGAACATAACTTGGTTAAATTTTTTACTATTTCAAGGCTGGTAGCTTTTGCATTCTTTTGTCATCTCAAACTCAAACTATCACACAACACCATTAAATTATATTTAACCAGCATCCAACACCACATGTATACCTTATACCCAGATAACCCTAGGTTTTTATCATCTTACCCCATTAAAAACATACTAAAAGGCATACAAAAAACCAGTACCACTCCTCCACCCATTAGATTACCAATATATAAACAGTTATTTAAGGACATGTCTGACTTATTGGATACTGCCCCGTTTGAACACACAACAAATCTGACCCTTCTGTCAGTCCCTACATTGGCTTCCTATAAAATATGAAGCTCAATTTAAAATTCTGGTTCTTGCTTTCATATCTCTACATAATGCTGCTCCCACCTATCTATCCTCCCTTATACACAAGTATGTCCCGTCTAGGCCCTTACGATCTGCTGAAGACTTACCGGATCTTCTGTCCGTACTCTCACCTCTGATACTCGCATTCAAGATTTCTCGAGGGTTGCACCGTTCCTGTGGAACTCGCTTCCCTCCTTCGTTAGATGCTCACCCAGTCTCCGCTCCTTGATCCCCAGAATGCATATTTTATAATGAAGCCCTAACAGAATAAATATTCTGCTTGTATTGCAAATAGATATTTAAACTAAATGTTTTCAATAGAGGAGTATCTTGATAATAATACCTAGATGATATTGTTAGAAAAATACTTTAAATGGATAAATTATAGAGGTAGTAAGAGTTAAGCACGTTTCTTAACTAGAACCATTAGTTAATTTTGTATTTTATATATAAACATATATGGAGACAATGTTGACAATTCCTGATAGTCGTAGTTGGCTGTCAGGGATACAATGGGTCTCAGAAGACTCCTTAATCCCCAGAATGCATATTATATAATGAAACCCAAACAGGAAAAATATTATGCTTGTATTGCAGATACATATTTAAACTAAATGTGTTCAATAGAGAAGTATCTTGATAATAATACCTAGATGATATTGTCATAAAAATACTTTAAACTGGTAAATCATAGAGGTAATAAGAGCACGTTTCTTAACTAGATCCATTAGTTAATTTTTTATTTTATATATAAACATATATGGAGACTATGTTATTAGTTGACAATTCCTGGTAGTTGTAGTTGACTGTCAGGGATAGAATTGGTCTCAGAAGACTATGGTGGTGACAAGTTAATAGTCATATAAAAAACATATATACAGTCAGGTCCATAAATATTGGGACATCGACACAATTCTAATCTTTTTGGCTCTATACACCACCACAATGGATTTGAAATGAAATGGGATAATGGGATAGTGAAGGAATAACACACACCAAGCCATGGAACAGCTGAGCAGCCAATTGTCCCATTACTTTTGGTCCCTTAAGTGGGAGGCACATATACAAACTGTTGTAATTCCTATACCATTCACCTGATTTGGATGTAAACCCTCAAATTAAAGCTGAAAGTCTACAGTTAAAGCACATCTTGTTTGTTTCATTTCAAACCCATTGTGTTGGTGTATAGAGCCAAATATATATACATATATATCTATATATACCTACACACAGATGTTTAAATAGTGATATACTCTAGTTACTACAGGATTTTTTATTTAAAATATTGATATATACAGAATTTTGGAGGGGTCTTAGATATATCAAACTGTGAGAAGAGGAGCATTTATATGAAGGGAGCAAACGAGAAGCCTTCATTAAGCACCTTGGGCTGAAGTGTCTTTAATCGATAGATCCAATAGCTCTCGCATTGTCATAAGAATCTATTGTAATCACCTTCTTTTGTCACGTTTGACAAGTTCAAGAGAATGAATCCCAGAGTGAAGTCAGAATGTGGTAGGTTAGCACAGAACAATTGAGCAATGAAGGCTTAGCTGTGCTGTGTTTAAATAGGGGACAAATGGGAAAAAACACCTGTAGAGGATAGTCTCCTTAACACCCTATTGGTGTAAGGAGCTGTCCGTCCCACGTTGCTATGGAGCCTGTAATACACTTTTAATGAAGTCCCAGCCATCTCTACAGGTGAGTAACGGCATGGGAGTATTGCCCACGCCTCCTAAGCGTCTACCGTCACCTAGGAGACGTGACGTGATCAAAGTTCATAGGTCGGGTCCCACCCCAAGTATCTGCGCATGTCCGCGTCTGGGCAGCCGCGGCAAAAGATCGCCGCTGGAGCAGCGGCGGGATATACGTAAGGCGTGATACAAACACATAAGCTCACTCACTATCAGGCACACACACACACAAGCTCACTCACTATCAGGCACACACACAAGCTCACTCACTATATGACACACACACACACAAAATCAATCACTGTCATGGGCTTAAGCCTACGTATCACGGGAGACTGGGAGGCAAAGTCTGTCCTCTTACTTCTGTAACGTGAGGGCGGGGCGGAGCTGGTAAGGGGCAGGGCTTGAGTATGGGAGGCGTGATCTGCATGTGGGGGCGAGACATTAAATTGCTGGGGATTCGGAAGGCAGCCTTAAATGCCCCCTGGCAACTTAAATGGGGCCCTCAGCACCTCCCTCCAGCACCTCCCTCCTTCTTTCCCTTGGACTGAGATGTCACAGTCCAAGTGAAAATTACCTGTTGGAGGGGGAATGAAGAAAAATCCGGGGGAGGCAAGTGCCCCCTATTGCAGATGCCCATGAACCGAATTAGCTCTCCATGTGAATAGAGGGAGAGCCCTTTAGATGTACAAATTGTCTGTGACTTAGCCACTGAATTAAGCCATATCACCTATTACAGAGACTACACAGGGGAAGCTAGTTTTCAGCTGTGGAGAGACATTACCGCTCAGTTTTTAAAGGAGTGGACATGCACAGAAGACACAAAATGAAAACTGATACTTGAAAGTTAGAGGCCATGTGCATTAGACTTTGTGAGATATTATCAGGTCATATCCCTCCAGGCTACCACTGAAGAGATTCTTCAGGCATGAAATGCAGCTTTTGCTGGAGAGGAAGATGATTTTTTGCTAAGATAAAAGTATTATAATACTATCCAAATGAAAGTGACACCTTGGATGTAGAAATGCTGGTGATAGATTTGCCTGGCAGCACCTTGGTGTCTGTGGAAGAAGAGCAACAACACAGAGTAAGAAAACATTGCCTAAACCTAAGGGTCCATCATTGTCCTCTGAGAATACAAGAATAGGCCCACGATCTATAGTGACTGTTGGGTTACCGTCCCATCTTTACTAGACACAGGATCCCAAATGACTATTAAATATTGCTTCTTCTATGACCTCCTGAAATTAAACCATAGCCAAAAAGAGAAGAAGAGAAACCCTTGTGAAACCTTTGGGCAGAAGTAGATGCCCATGTGTGAAGATGCCTTTCTGTTTCTAAAGAAGAAACTAATGGAGCTCCAGTATTGGCTTATGCTGATCCAGAACGCAAGTACATCCTATATGTAGATGCCAGCATGGACAGCCTGAGTGGGGTTCTTCAACAAGAGTATCAGAGGGCTTAAGGCCTGTTGCCTATATCAGTCAAAGTCTAACGACAAGTGAAAGAAATTATCCAATCAGAGTTTTGGGCATTAAAATGGGAAATAGTTGACAAGCTACATGATTGCCTCATGGGGTACAATTTGAAGTGAGAACTGACAATAATCCCCTAACATGTATCACATACAGGTTGACAACGGCCAAACTAGACTTCACAGGACATAGATGGCTAGCTGTTTTGTCTAATTACAATTACTCTCTGAAGTATAAGCTGGGACCCAAAAATATTAATGTGCAGATCCATCTCCCCCAGTGGTGGGTAATTAAACATTCTAAAAAATTGCAAGCCCAGCTAAAAGACCCGATAGTGGGATCCATACTTAAGACTGTGAAGGCAAAGAACTCAGAATTACTAAAGGCATTGCCCCCAGAAACTCAGAGATTGTTCCGGCAGAAATGGAGTGGATTTCGGATTGAGAGTGAGCTCCTAGATTTAGATATAGATTATTCAGTATCATGACCACGCTGGAGGCAGTTAGCCGTCCATCAGAAATATCAGGGAATTGTACTACGATCCCTTCATGTCTAGCATGGTCACCTTAGTGTTTAAAAGACTTATATGTTATTCCAAGGCTGGTTCTATTGGCCTTAGATGACAATCTGTAGTAACCATGTTGAGTTCATGCTTACAATGGTGAGAAGGCATCTATAAAGTAATCTCCTAACTACCAGGTCTGCCTGTTTACAAAATTTGAGAACCAGATGGTCGCACCAAAGCATGGCACAAAACTACTTTCTGCCACAAGAAACGTTGATGTTCCTAGCTTCTCTGATTCAGCCAAGGGAGAAACTTCCTGACAGTTTGGATTTTACAGAAAGTGAAGAAACAAAACCTACTGCACCGGAGGCTTGGTCACTGTCAGACACTATGTCACCTCCTCTGAGTTCATCTATTTTAAATCCTGAAAGTCATTGCTTTGTTCCCCATTAGGAGAGAAGGAATGTTGCCACAAGAGATGCTGGTGGGCTACCTTCTAGGAGCAGAGACAGGAGACAGAGAAAACACAGACCACCAAAGAGGTTCACCTATGACCAGGTAAGAGAACCTTTTTATTCTCAAGAGCCTCACACTTAGTTATTTGAGGTGAAAGAGGAAGCAGAACAACATTATGGAAGGATGGAAAGTGTTTACTCCTGCAAAAACAGCAACAATTCATCACATCTAGTCAGACTGCCACATACTGAACTGTCTGGGATGGGGGCAGAGGCATAACTAGAAATCTCAGGGCCCCAGTGTGAAAATTTCCCTGGGGCACCCAATGCATCTCATTTCCCCCCTCCATCATTCCCACCTCCAGGTCCCTCCATGTGTCTCATTCCCTCCCCCAGCCTCTCCATGTGTCTCGTTCGCTCCCCCAGCCTTTATATGGGTCTCCATTCCCTCTCCCCACAGCTCTAACATGGGTTTCCATTCCCTCTCCCCCCAGCTCCAACATGGGTATCCATTTCCTACCCCACTAGCCCAAACATGGGTCTCCATTCCATCTCCCCCAGCTCCAAGCTGTGTCTCCATTAATACCCACCCTACCCCAACATGTGTCTCCATTCCTTCCCCCCCAGCCCCAACATGTCTCCATTCCCTCCCACTCAGCCTCAACATATGTCTCATTCACTCTCCCCCAGCCCCAACATGTGTCTCCATTCCCTATACACCAACCCCAACATTTGTCCCCATTCCTTCCCCCCATCCCCAACATGTGTCTCCATTATTTCCACCCTAACATTTATCTCTATGCCAACTCCTCCCTCCCCTTCTGTACCTTTCAGCCGGAGAACGGTACCAGGACTGACAGGAAGTGCTCTCTCAGTGAGCACTTCCTATCTGCTCGGTACACACAGCGGCAGGAGGGGAGCAGCACAGCACTGCTCTCCCCTCTTCCCTCCTGTCGTTAACCCGGCAATCGCGTGCCCCGGTTGGTGCTGCAGTGCATTGGCAGTAAAGGTAGGCTGGCGGCCAGGGTCGCGGCTGCGGCAAGTCCCCCTGGAGTGACGGGCCCTGTCTAAGCTGTGATCCCTGCGACCGTGGTAGGTACGCCACTCGTGGGGGGCATATAGGGTGCTGTATGATCTGGGAGTGGCACTCTCACCAGTGGATATTGAATCACCATTATTGTTCTACTAAGTTGCAAGTAAAACTTTGTTGGCTTATTTCCAACTTCTGAGTCTTCCTTGTCCCAGTTATAGGAAGGTGTTTAACAGTTTGTGTTTATTACTGGGTTGAGGCACTGTTTAATCTCAATATGTCCCAATCTCCCTATACCTCTGCGGAGGCTCAGGACTTCTGGCCTGTTCCTACCCATGCAGTGGTCCTTAAGTTCCATGGCTACTGCCCAATTTAGGGGCTACAGTCATATGTTGGAACAGAATTCCTGTATTTGTTTGCTGGGATAGATGATTTTAACTAGCCTTGTAAAATTTAAAACTGTACTTTTGTTTATACTCTGTTCCTTAATCTGTATATTGGCTCTATATCATTGTCATCAATAGAAAAAAAACACAAGCAAAACTGGAACCATGCCTTAAAATAACGTAAAATCTCACTCTAGTATTTGTGGCCAACTGTGTGCAGTTTTGGAGATGGCATTTCATCAAAAGCCATAAAAGGGTTTATTTAATTGTAAACCATTCAGGATGGGTTCAGTCACATTTAATCCAAGGGAGCTTTTTTGTTCCAAAATTTGGTCATGGTGTCTATCTCTCAGTTACGGAAAATGGTTTTCTATGTGACAGGTTTAGAGTCTCTGATCCAAACAAATATACTAACAAAACATTTTATTTAAGGATTGTTGTTTTTTGGTTTTTTTTGGTCCTTATTTAGATATCAGATAACAAACATTTACAAAATGTTCAGTCATGGAAGTCAAGCAAGATTACTATGAAAATGTAACGCCATATTACCATTATTTAATTAGTTTACAGCGATTTGTTTTCTTTTAGAACTTCAAACCTGGCAGGTCTGATATTGGAGATGTGGGAACAGACATACAGGGGGATGTGCCTATGATGCAATCATCATCACAGACAATGTGCCCATCAACAAAGGCTGACTAGCTGTACATCTGAGGCAGCCAATCAGTACTGCCCTTATATCAATTGCTACCTCCGTGTTTGTGTCTGGGCTTAAAATGTAGTGGATTTAAAGGGATACTCCACTGCATAAATACAATTATATAAAAATCACTGTTTAGTATTAAATTATGCATTTTTTTCATTGGGGTTATGTCTAAAAACAGCTTGTAAAAGCTGCAGATCTCTTGCCTGAAGCCTTTGTCAACCCTCCCCTTCTAGCAACTCCCAGGCTTTCTGTGTCTGTCCAATTTGACATCCAGGGGGGTGTAACCAGGTCAATTTAAAAATGTGCCAATTGCTATTAAAAACTGCACTTTTTTTAAAATGAAAAAAGAGAACACACTCTTCACACATATAGCGCTATAAGGGTCTTGAGTGACCCTTTAACTCTAAATACATAGGGAGCACGATTAAACAGGTGCTCACACTGTACTGTCCCCCAGTCCTACCCACACTGTGTGATGGACTGGGGCTATCAAATGTTTAGGAGGGCTGAGGTAAAACTCTGGTGTCTCACAACAGCTTGTGCCTTGACAGAACTGGAACTTGGAATTTGGAACTATGGATGCACAAATCCTCGAAACAAAAGTGTCAGAGTTTTGCTTGCTGCATTTGAGATTAATGTTTTGTGAACATCGTGTAATAAATGTGCTCCACCTCAGTACTATATAGGCTTGCATTTTGCAACTCATGATATGACAACAATTCATGAAGAACAATGTCATTTTGAAACAAGTAAGGGTAAAGCGATAGATAGTAACATAGCACTACAACAACGAGGCTTTATTTTGGTGATTATCCCTCTAATCACAATAGTCAATCATTAAGATCAATAAGATGAAAAATAACACCCAGGCACTGCCCAGATCAGGTTACCACCCCAAACTGAAATGAAATATCAAGAAATCAAAAGATGATCTAAAACAAAACTGATTTATGATAAGTCATTGTTTTGCATGTCAACAGTAGACTGATCCTTACAGAAATAGCTTGCATAGAATACTCCACTTCAAACTAAATTTTAAAATACTTGACTTATGGAAAAATAATCTGCATTTATTTAGAGTATCTGAGGAAATATACGACGATAAACAGACAAACAGATAGATAGATAGAGGTTTAGATAGATGTATTAATTTACATTAAAGCACCACTATAGTCACCCAGACCACTTCAGCTCAATGAAGTGGTCTGGGTGCCAGGTCCCCCAGATTTTAACCCTGCAGCTATAAACATAGCAGTTTCAGAAACTGATTTACATTTCAGGGTTAATCTAGCCTCTAGTGGCTGTCTCCCTGACAGCCGCTAGAGGCGCTTCCACGTCGTAGGGGGAGGAGAGGTCACCAGCGCCGAGGGAGCCCGGTGCTGGAGTAAGTTAAGTGGCTGAAGGGGATTTAACCCCTTCAGCCCAGCGGGAGGGGAGCCCTGGGAGTTGGGGGGACCTAAGGACTATATAGTGCCAGGAAAACAAGTTTGTTTTCCTGGCACTATAGTGGTCCTTTGATGTAGAATTTGAATTCAGGTTTTGTCCTAAACCCAGCAAATTTCAACATTAAAAACTAATCACATGATTTGAGTAACTTTGACAAAACAGTTGGGTGAAACAAATGGAGCTAAATTAACAAATTCATGAAGAAAACCTGTAAAATTAAATACAGTTATAGGCATTATTTTAATCATTATTAAAAATTTTTGGTTATTGGAAAAGTACTTTAGATTTACTACATTTATTTTATACATTCCTCTAAGAAATGTATTTATCTTAAATGATGAAAAGAGTCAAATGTCCTGTTGTAGAAAACCTTACATGATTATTTACTTAAGTGTGAATTTCACATTTAAGGACTAAAAAGCTAAAATGGAAAAACATCTCTAAATCTGCGGGGGTTTCAGTTCGACTGATCTGTCCCTAAATTTGAAATTCACTGGTGTGACAGAATGTTTTTACCTTCAGGTTTGTGTGCAGAGCATCAGGTGTCATGACCATTCTGATTCATCCGTCTGATATTCATTGCACATCCTGGCATTCTTGGCACGTCATTGGCCCTTAACGAGTTACAGTAATTCCAAGTTGGATTCTAAAGTAATTTATGAAGTTCATAAGAACTTTTAAAATGATTTTTGAAATTTATAATTATTTTATTACATTCTGTGAAACATTACAGCCTATTTGCTAAAAAAAAAAACTAAAAAAAACAGTGTAATAAAAACTAAATTCCAAAATTCATAATTAAAATTTCAAGGCTTTTTCTGGCCCAGTACAAACCATTATCTGGAAATCTATTCATAAACAGGGCTATACATAGGACACAAGGTCACACATTTAGGCTGGAAGAAAGGAGATTTCATCTAAGGCAAATACATTTTTTTTTACAGTAAGAGCAATAAGGATATGGAATTTTCTGCCTGAAGAGGTGGTTTTATCAGAGTCCATTTAGATGTTAAAACTGCAATTGGATAAATACTTGCAAAAACATAACATACAGTGATATAATTTCGAATTAGTGGGGTAATAGCTGCTTGATCCAAGGAGACAGCTGACTGCTATTTTGGGGTCAAGAAGGAATTTTTTTCCTAGTTTGTTGCAAAATTGGAAACGCTTCAGACGGTTTTTTTTTTTGCCTTCTTTTGGATCAACAGCAAAAACATATGTGAGGAAGGCTGAACTTAATGGAAGCAAGTCTCTTTTCAGCTATGTAACTATGTAAGGCTGTGACTGTAGATGACATTGAGATTTTTTGTCCAAATCCGCTACTTTAATGTAAAAATATTGCAATCTGTTTCTTGAATTTTCTACAATTTGTGCATTAGTGAATAAATCATCAAGTGGAAATCTTCATTGCCAAGAACTAATTAGTAAATGTAAAATATTTTTTACCCACTGTCATATGTTTTCTGTCTAACAGATTAAATAATTAATAAGGCGTGGTGATTTTAAAACCTGATTGAAACATTTTGGCAACAATAACTGATTTTGAAAATCATTCACATCAGCATTTTTTTTCTTTCCCCAATATTGCTTCTTTTAACCTAAATGTTGCAGTGTAGTTATTTCTATAGAAGAACAATGTCTTCGACTTCTATGTACAGTTTAGCAAACAGGTATGAAAAGTGTACCTCTGCACACTCTGAAAGGGAACTCCCATAATCACCATATAAACCTCATAACTTGGACAAGATGTCACAAGTTGTAAAAAATTAGTAGGGACACGAAGAAAACTAGGACAGATGTTTTGGGATTATAAAGAAAGCGTTCCAAGAGCTTGTAAAATAAGATTTATTTTAAGCTATCGTTAAGATATAAACACAGGGTTAAGTCATACATTAAGTATTTACATGGCAATGTGACAATCTCTTTTGCTTGTAGACATTGGAATTTATACCAAACGCATGAAACGTTCGGTGTTGGAATGGAATCTGTCTCTGGGCACTTCCGGTCTTCTGAGTCTTCAAGTGAATTAACCAGGAAGTAAATCTCCAACATTAGCATAGAGACATGTGCTATTAACAGTCTAATAAAACACTCAGTCACAGGAATTTTAATAGCAAGGACAGTGCAGCACCTACAAATAATGTTTCATTCACATCTAGCAAACAGTTCATCACAGGTGTTCACACACAACACATCTGGCAAAAGGGATATCAAACTACCATGGAAGGTAAGTCAAGATATAATAGTGAATTGTAAAATATAAATCAACTAAATACATTTTAGATTTAATTTTCTTTTGATAATAGTGTTTTAGGTATGAAACTTCTATACAGACAATTCTAATATATGGCTTCTGCTTAAAGGTGTATATGGAACAGAAAATCATTTTGGTTATAGTATTTATTTATTGAAAAAATGTCTTGGGTGCATTTTTATGTTGGAAAAATGATCTGATAGCTTTGATATTTAATTTCATGACATTTGCTGTAGAATAATTGCGTATGTTAACAAATAACAACCACCTAAGATTTTATGGGTTTTTTTTTAACTCAGTTTCATTCACTTTCTATTCAAATATAACTATAAGCAAGAGTTGCTTTAAATTGTTTTAACCATTTTATTCTGGAAGAAGATAACATAGTGTACTTTAATTTGTTTTGTAAATCAGATTACATTATAAAGCTTTAGAAAAATGCCTCTGACATGTTTATGTAATAGGTTAAGCAATACTGATTTAAACACAGTTTATACACTAACATTGATTTATAGTGAATTTTAAAATCAACTTGTGCAATGCAGGCTAATATAGTAATGCTTTAATTATAGCCAAGTAGAATATTTTTTTTTCCATGTCAGGACTGCTTTGCTTAAATGTTTGCAACTGGGTAAAATGTTATTTTGAATTATTTTATAATACAAAATTCAAGTTTGTGAATATACAAATTGTTTGGGGGGAAGGGGTTAATGAATGATTTACATAATTAGTTATTTATATTGAAAATATATATAATCTGCACACAAAACTGACTGATAAAACACTTTTATGTTTGATTAGATGCGAGTATGTGACTTGCATCCTAAGCCTAAAAAAAAAACCCTCTAAGTTACTTAAACTTATAAATCTTGTTACACCCCCATGAGCTGTCAATAACATAATCGGCCCAGTTACTTCCTGGTTGCTTAGCTCAGTGGAGCTAACTCAATAGGCAGGCAATTTCTCAGAGTACCTGCCTTGCAAAGACTTGGACGGTTACAGAAAGTCTAGACTGGTGAATAGTGATGTCCCGAACGGTTCGCCGAACGTTCGCGAATGGTTCGCCACGAACGGTTCGCCACGGACTCAACATTGAGTAAACTTTGACCCTGTACCTCACAGTCAGCAGACACATTCCAGCCAATCAGCAGCAGACCCTCCCTCCCAGACCCTCCCACCTCCTGGACAGCATCCATTTTACATTCATTGTGAAGCTGCATTCTTAGTGAGCTGTCCAAGACGTGGGAGGGTCTGGGAGGGAGGGTCTGCTGCTGATTGGCTGGAATGTGTCTGCTGACTGTGAGGTACAGGGTCAAAGTTTACTCAATGATGAGTCCGCAGCAAACCATTCATGGCGAACCATTCGCGAACGTTGGGCGAACTGTTCGGGACATCACTACTGGTGAATAAGGGGAGAGCTGTCAACGGCTGTTTTTTTTGTTGTTTTTTTTTAGGCTGTTGTTTAAATATTGCCCCGATGGAAAAAATGCATAATTATATGCATGTTTTCACCAGGGATATATGTACTATTTGGGCAGTGGAGTGTCTGTTTAAGAACAAATGGCATCCTATATACCATTATAGATACTGGTTAGTTAAAGTTTTTATAGTTGTGGCAGCTCCATGGAGCCATGTCACCACTAAATGAGTGGATGCTGAAGTAAGTTCTCCGCTGACCACATTTTAATGACAAATTGCACCACTGTTGATCCTAAATGGGTAGTAGGCATTGTATCATTTATTTATCTCACTAAGATGTGAAGAAATACTTGTCTGCCCTGCAGCTTGTCACATTATATCTCAAAAAAGAAAACTTAATTTGTTAATATACTAATTACATAAACAATGGAAGGTCATGTATGAAAACCTATTCTACTGTAAAAGTCTACATAAAATGTCCCACAGAAATTAGTCCCCCAGCTCATGAGTATATGAAAAGAATCCCCAGATATTCTTGGAAATAAAAATGTCCCAAAACACCAGCAGAATGTAGAATGTTTGACTGTTTGATGTCCTAATACCCAGGTACAGCAAAAAGTTTTTTTGTTTTTTTTTTAGTAAAAACTATAAATGGCCTTCAAATATTCTCTGATCCCTCTCCATCCCCTCCATACTTTGTCCTACTACTGCTTCTAATCATCAGCTCTGTATGTTGAGCTTTACCGGCTCCTGTACAGTGTCAAAGGTGGTAATATCTCTCCATTTTTTTGTTAAAGACAGATTGAATGGACTAATATGGCAGGGCAATTGTTACTTTATAACACAACAATAAATATGGATAGATCATTTATGAATATACAGTACATTTGATTTATTTTCTCCCCAAAGAAAAATGTTTCATTATTTAAAAGAAAAATAATTTATATATCATTTAATAGACATTCTATGGGTTTTTAGCTTTTCAACCCATCCCTGATCTACCTTGTATTTCTAACACTATAGTGTCCCTGTCTCTGCTTGTATTCAGGTCACCTTCCCAAGTGAAAAAAAAAAAAAAAAAAAATGAAAGCGTTATGCTTAGCTTTTCAAAAGGTGCTGAGACTCTCCCAGCACCGCCGACATCTCCTCCTCCCTTGACATCACGGAGGAGGCATAGTCCCTTCAGGGGACCTAGTGTGCATGCTTGGCCAGTGCTGCTCACACATTTACACTTCGCCATGGGAAAGCCGACTCTGTGCTTTTATATGGGGGACTTCCATGTCAGTATGACAGCCACTAGAAAATAACAAATCCCTGCAATAACTTTAATGTTTTATATTGCAGGGTTAAAAGGACCTGGGCCTTTACACCCAGACCACTTAATTGAGACAAACTCGTCTGAGTGACTATAGTGTCCTTATAACTGCTCATGGCAATGTACACCTAAATATGCCAAGGATTATATAAGTCTGTCTCTGGCCCTTATTAAAACTGCGAGTTGTCATGACTAGTGAGAACTATAATTCATTGCTCATGTTTAAATAAATTCTTTAGAAAACAAATCCAATCAACTGATATTAAAATATGTAACAATTCTGGACAGATTTCAGCATGACAATTGGATTTTTAGGTGAATTAAAAAACCTTTTAGACCAAAATAATTAAACGCACAAATAAATAAATACATAAATATTCTACATTGTATTCTTTGCCAACACTTTCTTTTGAATTGCATACTCTTGCACTTGTCACTGTTGCCATGTGCTCTGAGTGACTCCTCTCTCTGTGGAATGGAATGCAGGTGATGATGAGTCGGAAAAGTAATGATAATTTGCTATGTGAAAACATTCTCTGGGTATGCACATGAAATGAGGAATCAGTGAGACACATTCAAACCTAAATAATAAGACATAGAATTATTGCCAAGAACTGTTCATTCTAATAACTGCATTATGTGTATTAAAGATTATTAAACACATATATAATTCAATTGTTTACTTCATCACTTAAGCGTTCAAAGGGACTTGTCATCTACCCAAAAGATCAAAAGATTACATAGACACAAAAAATGGCTTTGAGGGTTAGGCTAGTGAGTTTGTGATTACACGTATTATTATTGTCATTAAAGGGATAAGAACTTGTTGTTATATGTATTTTGATTAAAACTGGGAGGTACCTCATCTGCTATAAAAAAAACCCTAATCTCAGATTGTTAGTCACTCATATATATCAGTTAAAGGGAATATTCTATAATAATATTATAGTCTGGATTTTATCATCAGTCTTCAGCACGTTTGCTACTGGGACAATAACATTTTTTAAAATGATGATGCACTAATGACTGCCTTCATTTTAGATGTAAAAGTGTTGTGTGCATATAAATGCATTGACACACTATACACACACAAGACATATATTGATTAAGAGCATTCCTGTTTGGGTGTGAGGATATGTAAAAGGAGAATATGCTAGAACAGTAAAGATAGAAAAGCAAAAGTATGTGCAATATAGGTGCTGTTATAATAAAGAACAAAATAGTACAAAAGCTGAAACTAAATTGATGTGTAAAAATACCCACAAGACCAAAACAAGGAAAAAGTTACATTACTTATTGCACTAAGAAACCAAAATCATAAAAAAGAGAAAATGGACGGCCATAGTGTGGTATCCTTTAAAAAGTGACATAGATAGATGATAGATATGGATTTAAATTCATGTTAAATTTGAATTCATGTTTTGTCCTAAACCCAGTTAATTTCAACATTAAAAAAATGTTTGTGATGAAATAATCAAATTATTTGAATAACGTTGATAAAAACAGTTGGGTGAAACAAATTGAGCTAAATTAACAACTGCATGAAGAAAATTTGTAAAACTAAATAGAGTTATAGGAATTATTTTAATATTTAAAAAAAATAAAAATTTGGTGGGGAGTGTGTGGAGGGACACCTGTTAATTCTGCGCTTTTTACAGCCCATTAGAATAGAATGTTAAACGTTGCAAACGTCAGTTTTACATAACAATGGCCACAGACAGAGAGTATACTATTATACCATTAATGTTTTATTGCTAATAGCTATTGTTCAGAGGCTTGTTTGTAGAAAAGATCTCTATAAAACTAATCTGGCCATAAAGTATAATCCTGCTAAATCAAATTATTATTTATTGTTACTTTAAAACGCCTCAATCAAGGCAAATTCATCACTATTTTTATTGTGTTTTCGGAATCTCATCTCTTCTATTACATTTCTCTAGAATCCAACAAAAAGGCTCACCGTACAGATATGTACAACACGTCTGATCTGGTGCTTAGAAGAGGACAATCATTCTTGCTAACACTGGAATTTACCATGCCTATCGAAGATTGGCAGAGTATTGTGTTTAATGTACAAACAGGTATGAATAATTTCTCTATGTTTTACTCTCTACTCCATTAGATACTAATTCCCCCAAGTTATACAATGTACACACATATTCTATTTTTTTTGTAATTTAATGACATATAAATCCCATGACTTCAGAAAGGAAATGTAACTTTCCCCAGCTCATACAAGATCTTGTATGGCTTATACATGTTGTAGAACCTCTAAGTAGTATTTATGCATTTGAGAAATAGGCCCATTCATGTCTATGCTCTTTCTATGCATTTTAACACATCTATACTCAACACTGACAGATTTAAACAAACATTCCAATTGCCAAAACCACTACAACATGCTGTAGTGATTATGGTGCCAAGAGTGCCCTGATTGCCACAGCTGCATTTACGTGTCAGGTACCTGCAGGCACAGAATCCACCATATGTGTTTAAGGCATGTGGCATTTGAAAGGTTATTTGAAAGTACTCCTACCCTTAAGATTGATGGTAGAACTGCAGAATCTGTTATACAATGTAAATGACTCAGTGCTGTTTCTGCTCCTCCTGCAAGGCATTTCATGTGTGAGAGGCTGTTAGTGGGCAGATTGGAAGTGATCTCTTCCACTTCCTGTCCAGCCTCACACACCGACATTGGAGGATTTGGAAAAAATATGTGTTTAAAACCCTCAGTAACTGTTCCCTGTTCCTGCAGCTCTTGTATCAACCATAGGAAGCTGATTAGTAATCAACTCCTCTCACCAACCCACCTAAGCATTGAAAAGCCACATAATAAATGCTGTAAATAGACGCCACCTACAGAACATGTGCTTTGCTAAGAAAAATTGGTCCCTGCCTGGTGAACCTCTATTAGAAAAGTTTGACTTCCTACTTGGGGTCTACCGGGTGACGCACTCTGTGTCAATGAGAGCCTGAAGCTCTCGGCACTGAGCTAAATCTTACAGTGCAGAGCTTAGATCATTCGTAGAGAGAATATGACCTCGTGTTATAGTACTCCCTACTTGTTACTTACTAGCAATATCAAACAGTAGGACAAACACCCTGCACAGTTGAGTGATAGTCAGGGCATTAACTATTACCTACTCAAAATACGTCACGGTTTGTGAAGAATCTCTCATTGGTTTAATTGAGGAAGCCTGTATAGAGTCCATTTATGAGTGTATCAAATCACAAATAGGTTCAAAACTGAAGTTAGCTATTTGCCAAGTTGGTAGACACAAACTAGTAACTTGCCATATCATTTTTTTTTTTTGTCCTATATGAAAATATTCCCAAATTATAAGGTTTTGTTTTTTATTATTTTTAACTATTTTAATGCAATTACATTATTAAAATATTTAAAACAAAGGGATGAGTGTCAGATCCAACATCCATTTCACCTTAAACTTTAAGCACTAAGTAAATTATTCCAGAATACTTTTTAGAGTAATGTAGATAATATATTAAGACAATTATGACTTTTAAATGTGTTTTACTTCATCAATTGTAATTACATTTTTCTTTAGCAATTTCAGTCTATTTAAAAAAGGTTTTACAATTTTGACTACATTACAAGAGTTTTACTTTCTAAAAGTATTATTAGAATATATCAAATATTGGTAAAATGTAAGCAGCATTATTAAAAATGATGATCACAATTCTCCAAATAACATTTTGTATTTGTGACACTGGTGTATAAGAAAAAAAACGAAAGAAAAAGTAAGTTCTTTTAAAAAATATTATTATTATTGTATTTGTCTTCTGAAGGTCCACAAAATGCCCAAGGTTCCACCATCAGTGTGGAATTTGCCCTGTCAAACTCGTGGACCAGTGGAATGTGGTGTGCTGTGCTGGAGTCAAGACCTGGGAATAATCTGCAAATCATCATGAGCAGTCCAGCAAATGCAATCATAGGACGATACAACATCTCTGTTAGTATTTCTATCATGGGAGAGACAACCACCTACTCACTTGGAAAATTCATACTCCTCTTCAATCCATGGTGTCTAGGTAATATTTAATTTTATAAGATCTATGTATAGATGAAAAGCACATACCTCGGCTGGTTATTTTTGAAATTGTGGGCAAAAATACCAATAAAGACATGCTTGTTTACCTTTCGAAGGGCTCATAGATGGGTTGGTAAGCATTTATGGAATATCAATAAAACCCAGAGATGTATTATGGTTGCCCAGGACTCGAGACCAGATGTGAAATTGGGGCCCCATCCTACAGGTCTGGGATTTGTTTTCTGAGTGTTGTGTGAGGTGGCGAAATGTTGTATGTGTGTAGTGGAGATTGAGTGTTGTATGGCGAGAGTGTGTATAGTGGCTGAGCCTTGTGTGTGGAGGTGGCTGTATTGATGAGAACTGTATTGATGAGGGGGGGAGCGGGTTGAGGCTGAGTGTGCCTGTGTGTGCTGGAAGAGTGGAGAGTGACCTGGAGAGCAGGATCTCTGGTGGGGACCTATATTCTTGGTTGTATATGGAGAGGCATTAGCGGTAGAATGAGGGAAGTGCTCATGCCATTGTACAGAACACTGGTGAGACCTCACTTGGAGTATTGTACACAGTACTGGAGACCATTTCTTCAGAAGGATATTGATACCTTAGAGAGGGTTCAGAGAAGGGCTACTAAACTGGTTCATGGATTGCGGGATAAAACTTACCAGGAAAGGTTAAAGGATCTTAACATGTATAGCTTGGAGGAAAGACGAGACGGGGTGATATGATAGAAACATTTAAATATATAAAGGGAATCAACACAGTAAAGGAGGAGACTATATTTAAAAGACGAAAAACTACCACAACAAGAGGACATAAATTAGACGGGCAAAGGTTTAAAAATAATATCAGGAAGTATTACTTTACTGAGAGGGTAGTGGACTTATGGCATTGCCATCCAACTGAAAGGTTAACAGAGTGAAGGAGTTTAAGCATGCATGGGATAGGCATAAAGCTATCCTAGCTATAAGATAAGGTAACGGACTAATGATAGTATTTAGAAAATTGGGCAGACTAGATGGGCCAACGGTTCTTATCTGCTGTCACATTCTATGTTTCTGTATATCGGGTGCAAATCACATTAAGAGGTCCCTCACAGTCCCAGTACTCAGTTAATAACTCAGAGCTCTAGCTGTGGTGCCGTGAGTCATTGAGAAGTGCAGGGGGCCAAAGAAGGAGCTATTAAAGTGACATGCACACAATAGAGGAGAAGATCACATTCCTTGAGCATTTTATGGGCCACTGGGCTGAGCAGGGATATATTTTGATCTCTGTGCCAACTCAGGGACGACCCCCTCACAGCCATTGACAAAAAAGTAGGCCAAGACAGTGGACTTTTGGTTCTTCCTGCTCCCCTGCTATATTACCAGAATCTCCACAGCTAGACTCAGCTTGAGTATAGGCATGTGTCGCTAATATGGCGTGCTAGACTGCCGCTTTAGAGTGAATATCACTGCCACCACTACCACCGTATGTATTGCCAACCCTAAAATGTTGGAGATACTGGAGATTGATCTGAATATAATTGAAAAGTGCCACTAAGTGTATTAGTGAAGTGCCAAAAAGGAAAGTGCTGTAAAGTGACATATATCTGTACATTACTGTATGGGGCCCTTATCCATATCACTGATGGGTGCAATAGATAACATTTTAAATTAAATTAGAAATAAACTGAAGTTTGCAACGAATGCACTGTTGCAATAAAAAGTGGTGTTTTATGCTTTAAAAATAAACAGCTTATATAAAACCTTTTCAGAGGAAGAATTAAATGGGGACCAATACACTGAAATGCTTTCCTATGGGAATTTTACCAATGCTGGATGTCCTCATGCAGAACGTGAGGACGTCCAGTATCAGCTAAACGAACAAAAGTCGCCTAACAAGCAGGAAGGGCCTCTAGTGGCTCTCTGATTGACAGTCGCTGGAGGCAGTCTTAGCCCTGCAATGTAATTATTGCAGTTTAGTAGAAATTAAGATTGCAGGGTTAAGGGAACAGGGTCACTGCACCCATAGCACTTTAATGAGCTAAAGTGGTCTGAGTGCCTATAGTGTCCCTTTCATTTTGACTCTCTACTACCCTCTCTCCAATCAGTTTTAACCAGTTGTATACCAAATAATCTTAGTTCACTACTATGGAATTCTGCAAAATGTTGGGATACATTTTGGTACATGAATCTCTTTTTAATGTTACCAATATGTTCCCTTATTCTGATTTTAATGCCCTTGTTGTCTTTTCCACATACTGATAAAGACATGGACAACTAAGTGAATAAATTATGTTTTTCATATCACAAGTAATGAGGGATTTAACGTTATATTGTTTGTTGATTTTAAAGGAATTAATTTCTCCAATAACCTTTTCCTTTGTAGCTAGATTTAAATCATACACATTTTTGTAATAATACAATTCTATTCTATCACTAAGTAAATTAACACTGTGTTTTGTGCTGTGTGGAGTGACCTACTGGTAACACTTGGTGATTGTGGCTGGTAAAATATTTGAAAGTTTATTAAGGGATAATATTCAAGAATTCCTTGAGAAGAACATGGTTATCAGCAAAAATCAGCACGGTTTTATGAAGCACAGGTCATGTCAAACTAACTTGATTGCGTTCTACGAAGAAGTAAGTAGAAGTATAGATCAGGGTGTTGCCGTGGATGTGATCTTTTTGGATTTTGCCAAGGCATTTGATACAGTTCCACACAATAGATTAGTGTTCAAACTCAAGGAAATCGGTCTAGATGAAAATGCTTGTTCTTGGGTAGAACATTGGCTTAAAAACAGAGTACAAAGAGTTGTCATTAATGGTAAATTTTCAAGCTGGACAGAGGTGGCAAGTGGTGTCCCTCAGGGGTCTGTTCTGGGACCCCTTCTATTTAACATGTTTATAAATGATCTTGAAGACCGCATTGAAAGTCATGTTTCAGTGTTTGCAGATGACACCAAACTTTGTAAAACAATACAATGTGAGCAAGATATTACTTTGCTGCAGAGGGATTTAGATAGACTGGGGGACTGGGCACTCAAATGGCAGATGAAATTTAATGTTGAAAAATGCAAAGTTATGCACTTCGGCGTAAAGAATACACAAGCAACGCATACCCTTAATGGAAGCGAATTAGGGATAACAACACACGAAAAGGACTTGGGAATTGTTATAGACAACAAACTATGCAACAATGTGCAATGTCAATCAGCAGTGGCCAAGGCCAGTAAGGTATTGTCATGCATTAAAAAGGGCATTCATTCTCAGGACAAGAATATAATTTTGCCTCTTTATAAATCACTGGTAAGACCCCATATTGAATATGCTGTGCAATTTTGGGCACCTGTTCTAACGAAGGATATTATGGCACTAGAAAAAGTGCAGAGGCGGGCTACAAAATTAATAAAAGGAATGGAACATATCGGCTATGAAGAAAGGTTAACAAATTTAAACCTATTTAGTTTAGAAAAACGTCGCCTGAGAAGGGATATGATAACATTATACAAATATATTCGGGCCAATACAAACCATTGTGTGGAAATCTATTCACAAACCGGACTTTACATAGGACACGAGGCCATGCGTTTAGACTGGATGAAAGAAGATTTCGTCTAAGGCAAAGGAAAGGTTTTTTTACTGTAAGAACAATCAGGATGTGGAATTCTCTGCCTGAGGAAGTGGTTTTATCAGAGTCCATACAGATGTTCAAACGGCTACTAGATGCATACTTGCAAGAACAGAATATTCAAGGATATAATCTTTCAATGTAGGGTAATAACTGCTTGATCCAAGGATAAATCTGACTGCCATTCTGGGGTCAAGAAGGAATTTTTTTCCTAGCTTGTTGCAAAATTGTGCTTCAAACTGGGTTTTTTTGCCTTCTTTTGGATCAACAGCAAAAAACAAATGTGAGGAAGGCTGAACTTGATGGACGCAAGTCTCTTTTCAGCTATGTAACTATGTAACTATTGTAGCATCACATTTTGTTTACAGGTAGTGCCAGTTTTTGCATTTTTTTCTAAATTTAATGTAAAAAAATAAAATTACACACCTTTTTACATTGCAACTGGGTGCCTCCACCTTAGCCCCTTGTCAGCCATTTTGATAAGCTCTGTCCTTTGCACATGGCAGTCAGCATAGAGAAAGCATATAGAGAAGAGGAGAAACTAAATTATGTTTCCATAAAATAATAAAATAGAGGTACATGCAACTGCAGTAGCCAGCAAGTTAAATAATGTAAACTTAACAAATCTTTAATTTATTAACCCTCACCCTGATCTATTTTTGAATTTTTTTATGTACTTTTTTATGTACTTTACAATAATATCACCTATAGCAGTTTTTAACACCAAACTGGTGTTAGAGAGCAAAAAGGTTTATTTTACAGAGCCAATACCATATAGGCTCCTGACCATGTAAGTGGTTTTAGATATTTACTTTTATCACCCATTACTGCGAAGACCATCTGCCCCGTATATTTTTGGTTGTTTTTTTTTTCCTTCATATTTGTCTCCAAGTGCATATTCCCAAGTGTGTTATTACACTAAATTGATGGGGTAAGTGGACCCCTCTATTATTTTATATTTTACATTTATATGGCGCTCCACTGGTTGGTGTATATTAAATAATTAAATAATGTATAAAAAAAATAGAACTGTGCTGCAACACCTCCCACTGTAGTTCAAGCAGTGTAAAAATGAAGCAAATTATAGAAAAATAGGTTTGCGCATCCATATAAAGTGAGCGCAACGAGGTGCTACCAGTATTTTATTTAAAGGACAAATAAATAAAGCTTTGTTAATTTGTCCTTCAAATAAAATAGTGGTAGCACAGTGGTGTGTGCCCACTTTATCTGGATGGCCAGACCTCATTTTTCTCTATAATTTGCTTGAACATTGCTCGGTTTGTTATGTTCTCATTCTGCTTTTCATCTTCATGTTCACACTTGCTTTACCTTGTCAGAATTAGATGATGTGTCATTTACTAAACTGTTAATATAAATTTAAAAGAAAACAGAGCTCATGAAAAAGAAAGATTTAACACAAGTAATAGGTGATGTTCAATGTTTATTCGTTTTTTTTCAAATTCCAGAGAAGTGGCAGCACCTTTTTTAATAGCCACTCAATAGTTATTGATACATTGTATTATTTGTCCCTAGATGATGATGTGTACATGGCTAATGAAGATGAGAGGAAAGAATATGTGCTAAATGACCATGGTATCATTTTCATGGGGAATGAGAAGCATGTATCTCAATTGGGATGGAATTATGGACAGGTAATATATATTTATTAATGTGGCATTTCACAACGCCTTTATGGATAATATAACTGTTAAATAGCAATATTAATTAGGTTTTTTCTTGGGGGGGGGAGGGGGAGTTTGGCTAAAAATAAATGTTATATTTTAATCAACATGCTAATTTAACTTGATTCAGGTGGATCTGTCAGCCTTTTCGCATTGTGCCTGTTATTCTATTTGCATTCTTTGTACAAGTGGGCAAGCTAAAAGCAGATTTGTGAGCTTTGTACCTTGCCTATGAATTCAGATAAAATTTACATTTAACGGACATCTTCACACCCAAGTGCCTTATGTGTAAGGAGTGTCCCACTTTCTATTGGAAATCTGCACTTTTATAAATAATTAATGAAACAGCAAAGGTGAGTTTCTTTCTGCTTCCCCTTAACTTCCTGAGCGCAATCGCCTCCCGCCTGCATATTTTAGATAAGAATAAAGACCAGCAACCACAGACCTCAGATCAGTATGCGGCAGTATGCGGCACGAGCCGATGTGCACACATACAGAAGACACTTTGGCTGCACAGAGGGGGACATCTGATAGGCTAGTTCCCATTGAAGATGCTGAAATTCTCTTGCAGGATGAAAGGAAAGGCTTGCAAACGCTGTAGTTCATGTGAACTCTAGCTTTTGCAAACTGTTTTTAGATATACTCCCAATAAATACATGCATGAGAATGCATGCATGCATTCATTGTGGGGTGTATCTACTAAACAGTGATACCTAATTTTTTTGCCTATTTTGGAAGTAGAGTGCACACAAAGTTTATCTTTCTCCTCCCAAAATGCAATTTGTGCCTTGGCTGTGCCAATATTTAACTTGGCAGTAATGACAATTACAAATTCTTTCGTATACATTTTAAATGAAAACAGAGTGCCATATGAATACAGATTAACACGTGTTATAGGTACATTTTCCATGTTTTACTCAATGGTATAGTTTCAGAGAAGTGAAGTTTCCCTTTTAAAGACTTTCATTATTCATAGCTTGAAAAAATTATTTGATTTTGCTCTGCCTCTTTAAACATTATAATATCATAAATAAGGCATACTGACCCATCCGTACAAACTGTAGATAATCCTCCAGCTTTGCTTTGTAATGCTGACAGTGATTTTGACAGGAATCTGTCTGATCTAGCAGAAAGCAAGGCCAAGCTAGGTGTCATTCACTCATATAGCTACACCACGACTACAATATTAATTACAATCCTTTCAAGACCTATTATGCATACCTCTCAAGTATGCCTCTGTCCCTCTCTTCTCTCCTAATGCCCTACTTTTCTATGAGACCCATACTGCTGGTGTGTCTGAGTATATAACAGAACTCCACAGCAATAATACTCACAGTGATGTGTCTTTAAACTACAATAAATGTGTTTAGAAATCAATCTGTGTAAATAAGATACATTGTTCTTTGTACACTGTTCATTGTTCATTGTTCTAAAGTGCATCTTAGTTGCATAAATTGTTATTAGTAAGTCACGTAAAATTTCTCCAAACAGGCCTGCCCTCGGCCAGAACCCCACTCACACCCTTAAACTTTAAGTGTCCCTGTTTGTCCATTTCAAATGTTGGGTATTTTGTCATGTAATGCCATGATTACAATTTGGTTCTTAAAGACCCTAAACTGGTCATAATACATAATCTAGGATTTTACAAAATTCTTTTTTATTTTAATTTTTTTATGTATTTTTTCCCCAGTTTGAAAACAATATCCTGAATATATGTATGGACATTTTGGATAGAAATTTGAATTACTACAATGATCCAGTTTCCGATTGCTCCAGGAGAAACAGCCCAGTATATGTGGGGCGAGTTGTCAGTGCGATGGTAAGGAACATGTATCTGATTTTTGTTTAAACCGGAGAACATAATTGTTTTTACATTTATTTTTATTAAATTAGTACTATCTATATTTCTTTAGAACATTTATACTGCTAATATTTCCTGTCAATTTTTTTACAATTATTTTTTTTTTTCTGATGATATTTTGTTTTACTTTATACCTTATAGATAAACAGCAATGAAGACTTTGGAGTGTTGGAAGGAAAATGGGATAAAGACTTTGCTGATGGTGTTGACCCTAACAGTTGGAATGGGAGTGTTGAAATCCTCTGGAGCTGGCAAAAAGATGATTATAAACCGGTGAAGTACGGCCAATGCTGGGTTTTTGCTGCAGTCATGTGCACAGGTGAGTTATCTTTTCAATGTATGCACAATAAGTCTCTTCATATCTGTGAAATATGAAGTAATAGAGATACAGTGAGAAAAAAGGTGTGTGTGTGGTAGTTAAAAATAACTACTGGCCACCTAAGTGGAAACCCCTTCTACCACTTAAAATGAAAAACAATATATACATACAATAGGTGGGACACACATCTGCAGATTCTAAAAAACAAGATAAAACATCATAGTGTAATATATCAAAATGCACTGTAATCTGTAGAGATAGAGCAGTTTTACTCACAAGCCTAGAGCCAATTGGAACATATGGCTCTTATGTGCAGCGCAGTGGGACTTTTTATTTGGATGTCTCCATCCCTCTTGGTATTCCTCCTTGGGTAGAAGATCACAGTATTCCAATGTGTTTCCAATGAAGGAACTTTATTGTGAAATAACAGTGAATAAAAATAAAATAAAAAAAGAGTATGGAAATAAATATTCCCAATACAAATTTAAAAATGTAGATGAAAAAAGTCCAATTAAAAGTCCAATATATAGACTCTGTAAGTCCAAAACGCGTTTCGCCCTATGGTGGGGGCTTCCTCAGTTGGCATCAGTCTGTATATCCAGTGGCAGCTTCTTGGCGTCCTTATAAAGCACTTGTCTTCATTACTTCTGGGTTTTCTGTGTTTGGAACGCATCCTGCGTTCCACCGCCGATTGCTTGCGTGTCACTTCCGGTCTGACGTTGCGCCGGCGTCACCATGTACGTCACTTCCGGTTTTGGTCCGTGGGGCGCTTCTGTGATGTCACTGGAACGCATAGAATCGGATCTATGCGTTCCACTGTAAATAACTCTGTCCTTTACTTAGTCTCTTTATTTTTGGACATCTCTAAATGATTTTTTGATGTATTGTCCCTTCTAAAGTATTATACATATATAAAAACGAAGCTATGCATATTATTAGCGTATTCTGCATACATGGCAAAAATATACATAATAATAGATGAGTGTATTATTGTTTGTACATAACAAATTTATATAGGTGACAATAAATCCATGCCAGTGATATCCTATCATATAGAAAGTGACAGCCCATAGGAAAATAGGCACATATGAAGAAATAGTAATAGATGGAATGTGTAAAATATGTAAAATATATGTAAAAATACTTTATATTAAAAAAATAAGAATATAAGAATATTTGGTAATATGAGGAACTGGTAAATGAATTATATATCTTCTTCCGAGCCTATTTTTTTATTGTAATCTCCACCTCTCCAATCTTTTTTAAACGGTTAAAAAAGATTGGAGAGGTGGAGATTACAATAAAAAATAGGCTCGGAAGAGATGAAATTCATTTTTAATTTTAATACTTTAATTCCTCATGGTCTGAATTCAGATTTCGAAATTTGTCATTTTATTTAAATTTTAAGGTCTAATTTTAGTCTTAATTTTTATATATAATTCATTTACCAGTTCCTCATATTACCAAATATTCTTATATTCTTATTTTTTTAATATAAAGTATTTTTTACATATATTTTACATATTTTACACATTCCATCTATTACTATTTCTTCATATGTGCCTATTTTCCTATGGGCTGTCACTTTCTATATGATAGGATATCACTGGCATGGATTTATTGTCACCTATATAAATTTGTTATGTACAAACAATAATACACTCATCTATTATTATGTATATTTTTGCCATGTATGCAGAATACACTAATAATATGCATAGCTTTGTTTTTATATATGTATAATACTTTAGAAGGGACAATACATCAAAAAATCATTTAGAGATGTCCAAAAATAAAGAGACTAAGTAAAGGACAGAGTTATTTACAGTGGAACGCATAGATCCGATTCTATGCGTTCCAGTGACATCACAGAAGCGCCCCACGGACCAAAACCAGAAGTGACGTACATGGTGACGCCGGCGCAACGTCAGACCGGAAGTGACACGCAAGCAATCGGCGGTGGAACGCAGGATGCGTTCCAAACACAGAAAACCCAGAAGTAATGAAGACAAGTGCTTTATAAGGACGCCAAGAAGCTGCCACTGGATATACAGACTGATGCCAACTGAGGAAGCCCCCACCATAGGGCGAAACGCGTTTTGGACTTACAGAGTCTATATATTGGACTTTTAATTGGACTTTTTTCATCTACATTTTTAAATTTGTATTGGGAATATTTATTTCCATACTCTTTTTTTTTTTTTTTTATTCACTCTTATTTCACAATAAAGTTCCTTCATTGGAAATACATTGGAATACTGTGATCTTCTACCCAAGGAGGAATACCAAGAGGGATGGGGACATCCAAATAAAAAGTCCCACTGCGCTGCACATAAGATCCATATGTTCCAATTGGCTCTAGGCTTGTGAGTAAAACTGCTCTATCTCTACAGATTACAGTGCATTTTGATATATTACACTATGATGTTTTATCTTGTTTTTTAGAATCTGCAGATGTGTGTCCCACCTATTGTATGTATATATCTGTGAAATGCCTGAATTATCTAAAACCATCAGATGGATCTAAGATTGCATTTCTTTATTTTTTTTAACTAACTGGCATAAAACCAGCTGCCTTCGTTCTTGAGGATCTTGAAATTAACACAGAGAGGATTATTTACTAAAGTGAACATTCAGAGGGAATTTAAAGTGAATTTCAAATTTCAGGTCAAAATAGCCAAATTGAAAAAAATCTTAGTCCATTTATGCTTCTATTTTGGCCACTTTGGCCTTAAATTTGAAATTCACTTTGAATTCACTTGGGACTCACACTTCAACAAATAACCCTGAGAGTATAAAAAATATAACTTTGACATTATTCACTAAATGAATTAAATTCTAAACAACTTTTGAATTAGTTGCAAAATAACTCCAAACTGTAAATTGGAAAAGCATTAGTCATCTAGATGTCCTAGGACCAGGGTCAAGTGACAACAGTGTAACAGTTTAGAAAATATGTCTTGCTTATTCACTATACACTTTTTATTAAATTTGGTCCCAATGATGGAAGGTACAAGTGGGGTTCCATTTAATACGTGATATGGGGAATCCTAAATACCTAATTTGTTTTATGTATTTATTAATTTATTTAATCCACTGCTTGTTGGCATTATTTTACTGCTATCAAAACATTTTTTCTTTTTCCCTCAAGAGCAGACAAAATAAAATTTGCAAACTTCTTTTAACTGTCCAATGTAAGGTCAGTTCGGTGCTTGGCATCTGCTAAAATCTCTGAGTTACACATCAATTTGTAAACTCTAGATGGCTTAAGTCCCACCAATCATGTACAAAAAGCTTGGTGCCTAGGCTAGTAGCCAGAGCTATAGTGTCAGAGGTTAAAATTAATTGGCCTTTATTGATACATTTTATTTATTTTTTTATTTTTTAAAATATTTAAGATTTCATTCAAAAATTACAAAAAATAATTGTCAGTGATAACTTTAACATTTAGTGCTTTACAAAATCAATTAAATGACTCTAAAACAGAGCTTCCAGTTACGATGTTTGCTTTAAAGTTTAATTGCGTATTTAGATGAACACTCTTAGCATCATAACCACTACAGCAGGCTTCCCCAAACTCCGGCCCTCCAGATGTTGCTGAACTACAACTCACATGATTCTCAGCCTATCTATTTTATTCATAGAATCCTGGGAGTTGTAGTTCAGCAACATCTGGAGTGCCGGAGTTTTGGGAAGACTGCACTATAGTTTGATAAGCAGGGATTTCTACTAGCTCTCTAGATTTAAGCGCATGGCTATGCTGATCGCTCTTAGCCAGTGAACTAATCTCTACGCTGCACGGCTTAGCTCAAAGAGAGAAAGAGAGATAGAGATCATCATAGGATATAGTGGAGGTGTCTGTTGGATCAGTCGGGGGTTTGGGAGCCAGGGAACTCCTGGCACCGTAACCACTAAATCAAGTTTTAGTGCTTATGGTTTTTACAGTGTTCATTTAATAGCTGACATGAGACAAAAAGTAGAAGATTGTATTCTGAATATTCTGCCTCTATATTAACAAGATTTTAACTGGGACACACCAATAAGCTGGCACAATACTTTATATCTGGACTGCCTCGTTAAGGTATGTAGGTGAGTACATCCTTTTAATAGTGATGATGTAACCACACCATTCATCTTGAGTCACTACATAACGTTTTGGTGCCAGTCACTCTTTTATTTCCATCATGAATTCAACATCTGATGATTTGCATGCCTAAATAATTACAGCTCACAAACCAACACATGGAGAGACACAATTTTATTAAATAGCTAGGTGCAAACCATCTAAACACTTCCTCAAATGTTTCAAATATCCAAATATCTATATAATATAGAATGCACACTATAACAATCTCAAAAAACGTAGCTTTATTATGTACAAAAGTACCAAAGTGAAAACATACAAGAAAAAATAAACACAATGACAGAAGTATGGGCAAATACAATAATATAATGATAAAATACCAAAAAGATTCTTACAAGCCACAAGACAGAAACACGAGTTACCAAACCCCCCAACGTTTCGGCACCAACTGGCTGCCTTTATCAAGGGTACCTGTATCCATGTTAAGATGTGCCTGCTTATAAAGCCCTCTTGCAGCTGATGGCCATCAGCATATTGTTGTTACCAACTCCGGAAGTGACATCATCACTTCAAGTGCTGGTACAATGTTTTAATAGTAACATAATAATATCATACCAGAATCAATTATGTGCACTGAAAACATTCACAGAGTAAAGAAAGTCATATTACCTAAAAAAATATAATGAATATTAGTGCTATGATGACGAACCTCTAGTACATATACAATTAATAAGTATGCTCCTGCTATATCTGGCGTCTATAATCGACATTTTATTTACTGGCAAGTGAGCGCCTTTACCAATACGCCCCACAGGTGTCATGAACACTGTTGAGCGCAATAATACCTGTGCATGCGTTCTATAATAAGTGCCGCGCATGCATACAGCGATGTCTCGTTCGCACATGCGCATAATGGCAAACCGTTCTCGCAGGCGCATCGCTTCTATCCAATAGTATTAGGCTAACGAATGCTGTATTATCAACCACTGAGGCACTCTATCGTTCTAAGAGCCCGCCCACTCACAGTGGACGGTAACTAATGTCTAAGTTAATACAATAAATCATCCGCATTCTAACTACTAGTGGATACCATCCACCATGTCACAAATTATACTCCATAAACATCAGTAGACCCCATACAAATATACAGAGTATGTATTACATATGTACATGACAAAGAGGACTAACAAAATAATAAAGAGATGAAAGAATAAATATTAATAGATCCACCTTATAAATAGAGTGTGATCAGTGACCCTATATATGAAACCATCTCCCACAAATATTACAAGACAAAACACACAAAAAAATCAAAACGTGATGCACAAAAAATATTTTTTAATTAATCAAACACCCAATGTGTAATGGATTGATCGTTACAGGTGCCAAATGATAATGCAATACATAGTGGTTCTCCATATGGTACATGTTAACTACTTAGCTATGTAGTATTAATTAACCCCCTAAGGACACAACTTCTGAAATAAAAGGGAATCATGATGGAATATTTCCGTCATGTGTCCTTAAGGGGTTAATCCAAAAAATAATTATTTAGTATATTTAAAAGATAACTATATTACCATAATCATTTACACAAAACAATTATTATACTACGTACAGGACAATATAATTCAATGTGACCCGCATATAAAAGGCTATTCATCATCAACTATAAAGATACAACAATATATTTAAAAATTCATCACAAGCGTATATCATTTTAGAAAAAGTATCATTAAACAATCATTCATAATCAACTATAGAGATATATCAATGTTATTGAAGAATCTATTGTAAACGTATATCATATTGGAAAAATCATTACTACGTCACCTTCATCAACATATACACTGACTATACTCATACCAACCGCATAAACATAACATAGGTAAACAATATTATATCCCCCACAAAAAAACACTACTCGTGGCCAAAAGCTCTCTTAGTCATGGGTACCATCGTTCAATATTGTCAATATACCAAATATATAAATAATCATGAGTCATAATATATATAAACAAAACTGCTACAGTATGAGATACAAAACTATATATGTTCATAATGGGTCATCATAACAAAAACATAAGCCAATTCAACGTGTATGATGATACATTCTAATCGATTCAATATCTTCCGGCACTCTAACGTCACAAGTACCATGGTCCAAATGGCCACTGTAGCTCCAATCTATAAGAGAAAATAAAAAAAAATATATATCAAGATACAAAATGCAGGCAGAGTAAAATATTGCCAGGATTATAGAAATGGTGATAGATCCTTATCCTCATTCAGACCCTTAGGATACAAAGTCTGCAGCTCGTAAATCCAGTATACCTCACGTTGTTTAAGCCTAACAACTTGCGAAATGCCACCCTTACTGCATTTTATCACAAAATCATGTACCACAGTTGGGAGACTGTACGCCTTTTCTCAGTGAAGTGTCTGGCCACCGGATATTGCATCTTATTCGTCCGTATGCCGCTTTTGTGTTCACTGATCCTTACAGTAAGCGTGGTTTCACCCACATACGCTAATCCACACGGGCATTTGAGCATGTACACCCCAAACTGAGACTGGCAATTACAAAATTCCCAAATAGGGTATCTCCTACCTGTCCTCGGGTGCGTAAAATGATCTCCCGTGATCACCCCATTGCAGTTAATACAATGCCCACAGCGGTACATACCCGGTATCGCAGAAAGACAGGTATCAGCTGTATCCGTCTTCCCCTGTAGATTGACATTCTTCATTAGATGGTCCCGTAGGCTCTTGTGCCGCTTAAATGAAAACAAAGGTCTCTCATTAAAACAAGGGAGAAGTTTAGGATCAGATTGTAAAATGTTTATATATATATAAATAATTACAGCTATCACTATTGTGTTAATTTATGTCCGCAGTGTCAGACAGGTGTGGTATACCTTTGATTAAATGGCATTTTTACAATGATGTATAAAAAAAGGGTTAATCCAGCCTCTAGTGGCTGTCTCATTGACAGCCACTAGAGGCCACTTCAGCGATTCTCACTGTGAAAATCACAGTGAGAAGATGCTGACGACCATAGGAAACATAGGCTCTGGCCGCACAAGCACATTTGGTTCCACTCGGGAGCCAACGTCAGAGGGGTAGGAGAGGTCACCAGTGCTGAGGGAGCCCGGCGCTGGATAAAGGTAAGTGGCTGTAGGGGTTTTAAACCCTTCAGCCCAGCGGGAGGGGGGGCCATGAATGAAGGGGGGACTTAAGGACTACATAGTGCCAGGAAAACGAGTTTGTTTTCCTGGCTCTATAGTGGTCCTTTAAGAAAAACATTTGTTTTTAAATTTAGTTTCATAATCTCCAGGCTATAAGCTTGTTTGAGCAGGGCCCTCAACACCCTCTTTTCCTGTCAATCCAACCCGTCTTGTTGCAAAAGCTTGTCTGTTAGTCCCTCTATTGTACAGAGCTGTGGAATTTGTTGGCGCTTTATAAATAATAATACATTCTAAATCTCTACACTGTTAAATTTCAGCAGTCATTTTATAAGATGACAGCTTACAGTGGTTTGTCTAAGGGCAGCAGAACATCTCTAACTGAAACGCAAAATAATTCTGTACCGAATGACCTTGCTGATTGGTTGAACAGAGATTGTAGATTGAGCGAAAAGATGGCAATCAGTATTAGGGAAAAGAGGGAATCTTCATGCTGAGTGATCATTATGTCATTACAATTGTAACTCTCAGTAAATTCATTAAATGCTGGTTTCATTTTCAGAAATATATGCTTTTGTGTTTTAATACTTTAAGTAACGTACAGCTTGTAAATCATTTATTATGCATTGTAAATGTCACCATAATTGACAAGCAGAAATTGAACATTCTAAAGTGAGAACTCCACCACACACTTATATATACAGACACAACTGTGGGTTCCTTTTGTGAATTTTAATATAAGATCTATTCACTACGGTGATAATTTAAAGTGAATTCCAAATTGAAGGCCAAAGTAGCCAATCTGCAAGCATAGTTGACTAGGAGAATTGTTCAAGTTCACCTGTTTTGATCTAAAATTTGAAAGTCACTTTAAAGGATCACTATGGGGTCAGGAACACTAACATGTATTCCTGCCCCCTTGTTGACATCATCAAAATTCCCATAGGGAAAGCATTGGATTGGCTAAAATCAGCAAGGAGGCAGGGCCAAACACTGTTTTGGCCAATCAGCACCTCCTCATAGAAATGCCTTGAATTAATGTATCTCTATGGGGAAAATTCAGCGTCTGAACGGCAGGGCCGCTTAATGTGCAGCACTGAGCCAGGAAGCACCTCCACTGGCCATCTGAGGAGTGGCCACTTGGAGGTGTCCCTAGGGGCAATGTAAACACTGCATTTTCTTTAAGCTGTAGTTGTTCTGGTGACTATAGTGTCCCTTTAAATTCACTTTGCATTCCCTGCAATTCTCACTTTTGTGAATAACCCTGTATGTGTTTCTGTGAGTGCAAACTAGCAATTTATTTTTATTTGTTATCAATTCATAAAATATATTTATTTGATGAAAAATAGTGTGCTAATGTTTTTGCCATAGATTAAAATGTGGTTAAATTCTGTTTGATAGATAATTTAATAGATACATTTACTAAATATTTTTTTTGAATTTTATTTTAAAATATAAAAAAGCATGGCTAACTCATATCTCATCACATGATATGTGATTTAACTTTACATTTTGGCATTTCTAAAATGTGAAATTGCTATGAAAGAAGAAGCATGCACATAATAGCAATTTTATCTAATGTGTACATTACTGCTTAATGTAATATTTGATGTAATAAACGATGTAAAGCTGAAAGCTGGTCTTCAGCATATTGTGAACATAAAAATATATCTGCAGTAAACAAAAAAAACATTCAGTAGGGGTCTAGTCACTAAATGCCGAATGACAATCTAACAACAGTTGAAATGAGCTTGGTTATCATAATTTGTCTGTCTGAAGCAACTTGACTATTCTCAAAAGGCAAATTTGGTTATTTCTAATAGCCATTCGGTTATCCTTTAAATGTAGCCAAAGCTCTGTATAACCCCTTAAAGACACAACTTCAGAAATAAAAGGAATCGTGACGGAATATTTCCATCATGTGTACTTAAGGGGATAAAGTGGGTTTATTGGCTGTTTATAAACAACCAAATTGCCAACGAATTGGTTTAATTTTGTTAAATTATTCTGATATAGACCCTCATATAGATTTGCAAATAACAGGGTTATTCACTTCAAATTTAAGGTCAAAATAACTGAAATGGAAAAATTCTCTAACTCAGATATTCTTCCAGTTAAGCTACTTTAGCCTTACATTCTAAGTTTAAAACTGTTAAACTCTAAAAGGGTTATTCAGTAAAATGAGAATTGCTGGGAATTCAAAGTAAATTCAAAGTGAATTTAAAATTTAACGTCAATATAGCCATTCTGAAAACAGGTATGACTCGGAGAATGTCTCTAATTCGGCTATTTTCCAGCAATTCTCACTTTAGGAAGTTACTCTGCCAGCTTCCTAATATTAAATGAACACTATAGTCACCTAAATTACTTTAGCTAAATAAAGCAGTTTTAGTGTATAGCTCATTCCCCTGCAATTTCACTGCTCAATTCACTGTCATTTAGGAGTTAAATCACTTTGTTTCTGTTTATGCAGCCCTAGCCACACCTCCCCTGGCTATGATTGACAGAGCCTGCATGAAATAAAAACTGGTTTCACTTTCAAACAGATGTAATTTACCTTAAATAATTGTATCTCAATCTCTAAATTGAACTTTAATCACATACAGGAGGCTCTTGCAGGGTCTAGCAAGCTATTAACATAGCAGGGGAAAAGAAAATCTTAATTAAACAGAACTTGCAATAAAGAAAGCCTAAATAGGGCTCTCTTTACAGGAAGTGTTTATGGAAGGCTGTGCAAGTCACATGCAGGGAGGTGTGACTAGGGTTCATAAACAAAGGGATTTAACTCCTAAATGGCAGAGGATTGAGCAGTGAGGCTGCAGGGGCATGTTCTATACACCAAAACTGCTTCATTAAGCTAAAGTTGTTCAGATGACAATAGGGTCCCTTTAATCCACCCTAATGGTACCCCATGCTACCCTTAACTTGCATTTACAATATTGGCATCTTTTATTTTGTTCTTGTTGCAAAGAAGCTTGTTTTCAATTTGATTGCAATTTATTAGCAATTTTAGTTCATATGACTCTATCTCCAACAATGGAATCCATTCGAAAATAGCAGGGATCCGTTTAGTGAATATTATATGAATATATTAACAATGTAATGCAGTAGAATTGAGTTAAATGCAACTGGACAAAATTGCAAACGCAAATTGTGTTAGTGAATTGACCCCAATAGTTGTTAAATAGATTATAAAAGCTAAATTCACTTAATTATGTGCCAGATCAGATGGATCCATGAGTTAAAATTATAATGCTCTACTAGTCAATGTAATAGGAAAATATGATATGTGATTGCTTTACTGGTCTGTGGCAGATAAAATGGTAATGGACACTTGTTATAATCCGTAATAATAATAATAATTAAAAATAAATTAATGTGGAGACGTGATGAATCATTATCTTTTATTGCCAAGTGCTGTAAAGTAAGCTTTTAACACGTACCCAGTCGTTGAAATTGTTTCCATGCGAGGTTCCACCCCTCTTGAAAAACAATCACATAATAATTATCTGTTTTCTTCTGAATAATTTATTAGTACTGAGATGTCTGGGCATTCCAACCCGGGTAATCACAAATTTCAACTCCGCCCACAACACAGACGGTAACATGAACGTGGATATGCACTATGACACAGAAGGAAAGTTCCTGGAAATTCATGATGACAGCATATGGTAAGACTAGGAGGGCTATTTACTAAAATGAAAATTCAAAGTGAAATTCACATTTAAAGGTTTATTGTAGTGCCAGAAATACAAAGCTGTGTTCCTGGTACTACCGATCCCTCTGCCTCCCCCCTCCCTTGCACCCCTCCTACCTGTTAAATAATGTTTTCAAAACCCTTTATTTACTTACCTGATCCCAGCGCCGATGTCCCTCAGTGATGGGTCAAAGCTCCGCCCCCTCTTCCATCCCATGACGAGCGGGGTCTAATGCACATGCGCAGCTAGTGCCGCACGCGCATTAGACCTCTGCATAGGAAAGCATTAATTTAATAAAACCAGGAAAAAAATCTGACGCTGGAGGTCCTCATGCAGAGTGAGTGTTTGGTTTCCGGAAGCCCTCTAGTGGCTGTCTGATGGACAGCCACTGAGGGCAGACTTAGAGCTGCAATGCCAACATTGCAGTTCTCTGGAACACAGCACTCAGACCACATCAATGAGCTGAAGTGGTCTGGGTGCCTACAGTGTCCCTTTAAGGCTAAAATAGACAAACTGGAAAATTCTAGAAGTTTGTTATGCTTCTTTGTATTGGAATTAGCTCTGCTGTATGGATTGAGTGACAAACGCATGTTAACACACTTTACAAGCAACTAATTATTATTGTTTTATTCCCATATAAACCTAAGGGGAGTGAAATGAGTGTCTCATTGAACAGCCAATGTTAGCCTGGTGCCTGTCATAAACAGGCAGCTTAATATCAACAAAATTCAATCTCACCCTAATACAACCAAAGCTAAACTAAACTCACTTGGTGTAGCAAGGTCATGACACACCTAGGGCCAAGTTCTTTACCTGTGCCACCTCACCCCCAACTATAGCAAATAATAGAGGTATGACATAATTCCAAGGTTAGTCTGATTCAGCTCTTTATTTTTTATGCTAGGGTCTGCCGAAGGATTTTACTACTCTGGGAAAAAATTCAAATTGATGTTCCCTGGTTCATACCTCATCTCCATTTAGTCTCTTTTTGTCAGCCCTTTTCTTTCGAGTGTCTTTTTTGCCAGTCTATCCCACCAATCTTTCTACCAATCTTTTTTTTTTCATTCTGTCTCTTTTCTCCCGTTAATTGCCATTATGCTATTTTTATCTTAACTCACATTTTTTACTCATCTCTCCACCAGTCTGTCTTGAAGTCTTTGTCTGTAGAAGCTGTGAGGCTGCTTCTGTTGTGTGTGTTGACTGCTTGTAGCGCTGTATGTGTTGTTTGTGTGAAGGGCTGTATGTTGTTCATAAGGAGACTGTGTTTGTTATGTATGATAAGGTTGTGTGTGTTTTGTTTGTGGGGAGGCTTTTTGTATTGTTCTGGGGCACTGTGTATGTTTGCACAGGAGTGTGTCTTAGAAGTCTAGATCTTCTAAATGATTCATTAACGGAGAGCCGGAACAGTGGCAGAGCATCGGTTTCCAATTAGCACCTGCCTGAGGTGCAAAGCACATATTTTCTGGAACAGTAATGGGGCCTGAGTTTGTCAACAAGATCGTTTAATCTTCCTATTGATTATTGGTCTGCTGCACCCATGTTGGAGTATAAGTTCCAGGTAAACTCAGGGCACAGGGACAACTGCCACCAATGTATCCACCCTCGCTATGCCCTTGACTCCTTCTGAAAGTGATCTGCAGTATCTTCACATCCTACAAGATTTAGGGAATATACCACTGAATCCTTGTACTCTAAAGACATGCAGCTACATTGCAGTGTACATTGTTGTAGTGATGCACAATTAGAAATGATGTTATAATAACATTGTTGTCTTATGAAAATATAATCATGATAGTATTTTTTCTATGATGCCACTTAATATTTTAGTTCTTCTAACTTAAGCAAGTTTAAAGTGAATCTATTACGGCAACTTGAATACTTGCCAAAATTGCAACCGCACTATATTAAAAAGTTGTTTAACTAGATTTATTTATTTTGGCGATACAGCTGAGCTACTATGCAAAATGTAATAAAGAGCATTGAACATTCTCTAGAATGAGAAATAAAAAACACTATTTATTTGACCCTAATCGGATATTATGTTTCACACAGGAATTTCCATGTCTGGAATGAGTGTTGGTTTTTGCGCAGGGATATAGGTTATTTCTATAGTGGATGGCAAGTGCTAGATTCTACTCCCCAAGAGGAAAGTCAAGGTAAAAAAATAAAATACTTTTTACGCTGTGAAATGTTGTTAATTGTAAACTTAATTGCAAAATTTAGGCAAAAAGTGTGGAGTTAGAAAAATTCTCTTCTTTAAAAGGCCGCTCTAGGCACCAACACAACTTAAAAGACAACTATCACTTCAAAACTATTCTTTAATATTATAATCCTTTCACCAAGTTTTGAAAGGAAATAGATTTTTTTCTAACGAAGTGAATGTAAATTAAAATGTATGACGCTACTGAGTTTTCAAAACAACGTTTCTCTTCAGGAGTGCATCGTTGTGGACCCACTTCTGTGATTGCGGTGAAAGAGGGCGATGTGAATCTGGGTTACGATACTCCATTTGTATTTGCTGAGGTGAATGCAGATCGTGTCACTTGGATCGTTCACAAGGATGGCTCCAAGGAGAAAGCCTATACTGACAGCAAATTTGTTGGGCAATGCATTAGCACAAAAGCTATTGGCAGTGACGCTCGTGTAGACGTCACACACAATTACAAGTTTCCTGAAGGTATGCTACAACATAATTCAAATATATCATTTTGCTTTTGGGTAAATTTAAACAGGTTTATTTTATAAACCAAAAAAAAAAAAAAAAAAAAAGCAGTGTAATAGCGTGCACTCGTAAATGTGCACAATTTATTAAATATTTTCGAGATTTAGATTCTAAAGTCTCACTTTCAGATTTTATTAGTGATTTTTAACTTAGAATTACCATTAATGAATGCAATAAAAAAGATTTTACAATATAAAACTACATGAGTTTAAAAAAGGCAAAAAGTAGCACAAAAGTATAATATAATAGAGATGATAAATCTAGTAGTGAGTACATTAAATAGATGACTAAACATTTTTAAAAGGAATACATTATAATTGGAAATTAAGATCTGCTATTCTATCACTTCAGCGTTCTTCATAGTATTTGGCTTGGTTACCATTATACATTACCTACATGTCAATTACTATATATTGAAAGTTCCAACAGTATACAGCATTCTTATTCTTACAGGCTCTACCGATATATATGTACCTGCGATCTCCATCCCGATAAATCGCAGACAACTCTTTGAGCCAATTGCCTAGCCTACTAGTCAAGTATAGCCTCTGTTATACTCTTTGTTACTGCTTTTTATTAGAATTACAGCACGCTACTAGATCCTCTATTACCAGTGGCACAGATTTAGAGCCGCTACCATTATCACTTCAGCACTCTCTATAGTATTTGGCTTTGTTACCATTATACATTACTTATATGTCAATTATCACATACGGAAAGTTTTAATAGTATACAGCATTTATACTCTTGCAGGCTCCATTACTATACATGTAGAACTGTGTCATTATCATTAGGCATTACACACATTATGCGTATCTAACAATTATATGTTAGGACCTGCGGTCTCCATCTTGACAATCGCAGACTGTTCTTTGAGCCATTTGTCCAGTATACTTTCTGCACTTAGACCACTCTTTTACATTTCATCACTCTCCCACTATTATGGCTATTACCAGCTAAACATCTTTCCCAAGCAGCTCAGACGTGAGTACTCCTATACCATTCAAGACATTAGAGTCTATTCAAGTTAATTAACATTGTATCTTTTTTGTTTTTAGTGAATTTTCTTGATTTAGCATTTTTGGGTTATTGTTATTTTTTCGATACTATTTAGTACACAATAAATTCTTTCTTGTTTTTTGACCTTTTGGTCTTTTTACTCATGCCTCTTATCTTCATATACCTTCTGGCTATTATTTAGTACAGGCATACGTTATTTTCTCCCAGTTTGTAGGTACACTACTCTCTAGTTTACTGCTTATTTCCACTAGGGGTTACCCCCCTGTACTTAGTGTACCTTATTTGCCTGCATCCAATTAGTTTTCACTATAATTGGAAATGAGAGGAATTTAGAACAATAAAATAGAGTGAGTCATTCTAATTTAGATAATAATATGAAAAAAGGAGGCGAGTTATTGGACTTGAACTCGTTGGCTGCATTTTGATATGAATTGTGATGATAGTTCTAAATAGTTTGCTGGGACTAGGTCCTATGCCCTTTTGTGGTTCACCGTTGGTCCCAATAGCGCATTTATATTATATATTTCTGTATGCTCTTGACCATTCTCTGTCTACTTAGGTATAACCCAGCCACTCTAAGGTCCGGTAATATGTAAAAAATTTATCATTTTGGGGTTAACACACTGCATGTTGGGCTGTACTATACCGTTGCAGTGTTTCGGAAGGCTGTTCGTCTTAAATGTAGGAAGGTGTGATTCGGGCTGCATAAACAAAGTGGTTTAACTCCTAAATGGCAGAGAATTGAACAGTAAGACTGCAGGGACATGGCCTATACACTAAAACTGATTAATTAAGCTAAAGTTGTTTTGGTGACTATAGTGCCCCTTTAATACAGTTGGATGAGATTTCCAAGTGTTTTAACATTTTGGGGCTAAACAGCAACCCAACATGAATAGTAAAGATTCTCTGTCTCCTTGTTTCAATATGCGGATTGCTTTACAGTCCCTTACAATTTGTCCAAGGTCACGTATAGGTGTAGCATTATTCTCTATAAATGGACATAACTGGGGAAAAAAGAAGGAATATCTCAGGAAGGTTCACCACCTTCATTAGTTTTTTTTGGTTGAAAAAACTTACCATAACATTTTTTTAAAACAGGAGATGCATAGCTATCACATAAACACAACGTTAAAAACCAAGGGTATAAATGTATAAATTCAGTGTGATTTAAAAATGGAAAAAATACCCTAATTATCGGTATTCGTGAGGAACTTGATGGCAAGTTTTAGAAATCCATCTTCTTACAAATGCTACCAGAATTTAAAAAATTAGTGTCTGTTTCTGCATATCCTCCTGGGAACTGAGGGAAAAAATGTCTAACAATATGTCATCCATTTTCGATGAAAAAGAAGAGGAAGTTCCCAGCATCCCAGCCTATCACATGACATATCGCTGGGAAGTCCAGGATGTCCTCTTTACAAAGCAGGAATTGATTGAGTATCTCAAAACAATAAAAGGAGATGCATGTGAACGGAATGTCCAGTACAGAGGACACAAGTTAATGGGCTGGGTCTCAGGAGAATATAACTTTCAAATACTGTATGTATAGTTACATTATGTAATAGTTATAGTTCCCATTTACAGTTCTACTGCAGAGAGACAAAGAAAAAAAAAGGACACAATACGAAAATCTGTTGCTGTACAGGGTGAAGACAACCACTAAAGCAAAATGGGGCTTTTTGTCATTAACATTGTTTTGCATTGGGTTGCAACACAAAACAAGACCTAATCTCATGTATGTATTGTTGGTATTGTTAGGATGAGATACAAGTGTTTTTTCTTTTTTTTACATTTCACTGATGTTGTATCTATTCACAGGTTCACCACAGGAAAGAGAAGTGTTTGAGAAAGCCAGTCAATATATGTCATTTTACAAAACGCCTCTCGAGATAACAAATTTCAGTCACAGTACCGTAGAAAGCAGAACGAGGGATGAGCAGCCAGCTCAGCCAACACCTGCATTAACTGCAAGGTCATTATTAAATCCACTGCTTACATCGTATACTGGGAATACATTACCTTCAATACCTGAACGAAATACGTTACCTCCAGTGGATGAAAGAAATACAATGCCTTCGATGTCTGCAAGAAATGGATTACCACCAAGGCCAGGAAGAAATGGATTACCATCCAGGTCAGAGAGAAATGGATTGCCATCTAGACCTGGAAGAAATGCATTTTCACCTGAAAGAAGAGCATTTTCACCTGGAAGAAATGCATTTTCCCCTGAAAGAAGTGCATTTTCCCCTGAAAGAAGGCCATTTTCACCTGAACGAAGGGCATTTTCACCTGAACGAAGTGCATTTTCCCCTGAACGAAGTGCATTTTCCCCTGAAAGAAATGCATTCACACCTGAACGAAATGCGTTTTCTCCTGCAAGAAGAGCATTTTCACCCGACAGAAATGCATTTTCACCTGAAAGCAGTGCTGGTCATGCAGCACCTACTATACCAGACCCTGAGATTCCAGACATTTCTGGGAAGTTTAAGATTCTTGGCCCTCTAGTGGTCGGAGATGATATTAATCTGATTTTATTATTAAAGAATCTTACTCCCTTCCACAAACCGATAAAAGTAAACCTAAGCGCTTCTTGCATCCTATACACAGGACGACGGTTGGCTGACATATTTACTGATCAAAAGTCTTTGGTTATAAGTCCAAGTCAAGGTAATTCTTCTAATACATTTTGGTCTTCATGTGTTTATGTTTCCAGTACCTAGAAATCATAATAATATTATATCAAAAAAAGTATGTATTAAGATAATTTGGTATAATGTCAGCTTTAAAATGCTATAATGTTGCCAAACTGAAAATATTAAAGCAACAGTATAGCATTGTTTTTTATAAATTGTGTCCTTAAAAATGATAGGTACATTGTTGTACCCAGGCCTCCCAGCTGTCCCAAATCTAGTGGGACAGTACAGATTTTTGCATCCTGTTCCAAGGTTTGTTTGGGAACATTATGGAACTGTCTCCATTAAGCCAGAAAGCAGAAGAGGGTAGTGTAACAGCGCATTGCGTACGGTCCACCCTTGATGGGATTGGTCAGTGCAAGTGGCTCTCAGCCCGGTGTGCATTCATGCCAGTCTGGCATGCCTATTGTTCAGGTCAGAGATGCCCAAAAGGTAGATCCCCAGATGTAGAATGAAAACTCCCATGATGCTCTGCATGCCTTCAAAATGCCTTCAGAATGGCAAAGCACCATGGAATCTTTAGTTTTAAAATATCTGGGGATCTACCTTTTAGGCAACCCTGCTTCAGGTGGACTGCTCAATTTTCAGGGGAGCCTGCCTTTTTTGCAACGCCACTGATGCAGATTTAATCACTGGACTGTCTCCTTTTGACCTTCTTACCTATGTCTGGCTCTAAGGTACAGAAAATTAAATGGTATTGTTGTACCTGGTGCTATAATGATGCAGGGTTTGCAGGTTCAGGGAGGTGATGCAATGGTGTTTATGGAGAACTTTGCCTGGACGATAATCATGAGTTACCATACACAGCATTCTGAAGGCACTTTAACTGTAAACACCCCCTATGTTATAAATGCGGAAGAGGGCATTTACATACTGCTCAGCGTGTAATAAGAGACCTAATGTATATACCCTAACCTTAGTCATGGAGGAGTGTTTTAAATGGTATATTGTTAACTGAGCACAACACACATTCTGCATTCAATACAAATAACTAAATCATCGATGGGCTCTTTTGAATTCCGTTCAGTATTAATAAACGCATACCTGTGAGACAATGTCTGAACAGAAACATGACAGGCACCAGGTGGTGCTGTTTTCTTTTTTATCACTTGTACATGACATCATGAAGCCATAAAGACTGGAAAAAAAAAAAAACAGTTGAGAAACTATTTTGTTATTAACAAGAAAAAAATAAACTGTAGTGGATGGGAAAAAAACAAACACTAGTTATTTACAATGGGCTTAATTTACTAAATGCTGACAGGCTCTTTTTTTCTGCAGTGCCATTAAGTAAAGGGTTCCATCTGGAGTATGAGTGATACAAAAAAAAAGAGGACATAGTCTTAAATTAGAGGGGCAAAGGTTTAAAAATAATATCAGGAAGTATTACTTTACTGAGAGGGTAGTGGATGCATGGAATAGCCTTCCAGCTGAAGTGGTAGAGGTTAACACAGTGAAGGAGTGTAAGCATGCGTGGGATAGGCATAAGGCTATCCTAACTATAAGATAAGGCCAAGGACTAATACAAGTATCTAGAAAATTGGGCAGACTAGATAGGCTGAATGGTTATTTTCTGCCATCACATTCTATGTTAGGTCTTTTTTTTTTTTTTTTTTTTAACTGTTTGTATCAACTATCGTGGCAAACACTATGTATATAAAGAAAAAGGTGCACACAAAAACAGCAAGGTGAAAGCAGGCTCTAACACTTAAGTGAAGGAATCCCTTAACCTTCACAACACAGAACATGCAAATAGAACAAAGTTTAAGTAGAGCTCTGGTTTACCTGTACAAACAGTAGTATAATATAGGTAGACAAAAATACTATTGCAATAATCTGCAAATAAATAACAATATAATCTTAGTGCAGACGGTAGTCACAAACTTAAATAAATGAGAGATAAATTGTAGATGGGTAACTCACAAAAGTAGAGCCAATAACACACTTGGCTCTAGTGGTAAACGCCTCAGGATCTTCTAAGGGAGGTCCACCACCCTCTTTTTGTTTCCTCCTGATGTCCTCCACCTTGAATTTGAGTAGGAATGGAAAAGGAAACTCCAAAAGACGGCATAAACAAAATTTATTGTATTAAAAGTAATCAATATAAAATTGAAGATAAAATAGAATTGATAAAAAATGAATATAGTGGCAAACAGTTTTAAAATCTTACACCAGGGACATACATTAGATGGCTGAGCTCAGTTATGCTCAGATGTCAGCCTGCAACTCGTAATAGTAAACACCTTTAAATTGACTTCTGAGTAAAAATTGCAGCAGCTGCAGCTATTAATTCACTAGTGAATCGGCATGAGAATAATTTTGTTGCACTTTTAACAAATCATGATTTGCTATCATTACATATAATTGAGAACAATGATTAGGCTGCCCTTGGATCTGTGAACTAACATCAGCTGTTTTCCTTTTGCAGATGCACACGTCTCAGTACAAATTCCTTACTCCCAATACCAGGAATGTTTAAATAATGGCAATAGGATCCAGGTGGTGGCACTTTGTGAATTACCTGTAGGTAATAAAGTGCTCATCACAAAAGACCTTGTCTTGGAGAATCCACCTATTTATATCAAGGTAATGTGATGATAAAAGCATAGTGCATGTACACACTAAAACAGGGGTGCCCAAACGGTAGATCCCCAGATGTTTTAAAACTACAGCTTCTCTGATTCCATGATTTCATTCTAAAGGCATTCCAAATACATGCAAAGAATAATGGGAGCTGTAGTTCTACAACATCTGGGGATCTACCTTTTGGGCACCACTACACTAGAGGCATCATGTAGGTAAAATAAATTCAAACACCTTTAATTGCCAAAAAAAAAAAAAAAAGCTATTCACTTGAAGTCATGCCAGAAATTTTGGGTGCAATTGGCAATCATTTCCATAAATCCAGAAAGGGAATAAAATATGTGCACTGACTATATAGATTTATATAGATGTATGAGAACCGGTGACTGCACTTTTATTTTGAGAAAGGTGCTGCAAATGCAAAGGTTTTACCCAAGATGGTATAGATTTTTATTTACTTGGTTAAAAAAAACACAATGGTTTCTGCTATCTATATACTAGATCAGGGGTAGGTTTTAGTCAGGACTCCAGATGCTATAGACTTAATCTTGCTGATGGAGGTGTAATGTCACCTTTGACAGTGTAATTAGCCAGCCAGGAATGAAAGTTCCAAGCTAGCTAATGTCTATTGTGTGCATATTCTGTGCATATTGGTAGTCCACCCAGTGGTGGTGCTACTTACCTGCTTATTAAGTCTATCTTCCGGGATGTCTGTCCTCCTTCAGCAAGAGGGAGTGACACTACTGAAAGCGAATCAGGCTGCACAGAGAACTCAGTGTGGGTTTACAGTTAAAGGGACACTGTAGACACCAAAACACTTTAGTGTAATGAAGCAGTATTGGGGTATAGATCATGCAGTCTCACTGCCTAATTCTCTACCGTAAAAGGAGGAGCACTTTGTTTATACAGCCCTAGTCACACCTTCCTGCATGTGACCTATGCAGCCTTCCTAAACACTTCCTGTAAAGTGAGATCTAATGTTTAAACGTTCTTTATTGCACAGTCTGTTTAATTAAGAATGTCTTATCTCCTACTTTGTTAATAGCCTTCTAGGCCTTACAGCAGCTTCCTGTGTGTGACTAAAGTTCAATATTCAGAGCAAAAGATACACAACTTCTAATGCAAGTTAACTTCTGATTGAAAATCAAACCAATTTTTCATGTAGGCTGTATGAGTCACGGCCAGGAGAGGTGTGGCTACGGCTGCATAAACAGAAACAAGATAGATTTAACTCCTAAATGGCAGATGATTGAGCAGTGAAACTTCAGAGCCATGATCTATACACCAAAACTGCTTCATTAAGCTAAAGCTGTTTTGGTATCAATAACATCCCTCTAGGTGTGTTTGTTTGTTTGTTCTTTCTTTCTTGCAAGTGCTACAGTAATAATACATGTTTTAATAAGACACTGTTTTTGGTTGCAATAACGCTTTAAAATATTCTTATTACAAAGTGAAAAAGAAAAGTAACAAACTAAAAAACAAGTAGTGCAAATGTAGCACAACAAATTAGAACAATGAATGTGACAGTGAAATTTGTATCTCTTGTGGTATAGCTCATTCATGCCATCAGTGAACAAAGGTCCCCCAGTATTCTTAAAATACAGCAATTTATCAGGGAGCATAATGATCCCACTAAGACTCAGGGGATACAGTATATCAAACTTGTTGTAATTGTGAAGTTCTGGGTCTGGTTATAAAGGATCCTGTGAGATCTCAAACTTAATCTTATGCTCATTAAGCAGTAGAATTACTGTACTTTCATCTCAACGATATACTAAAATAGAAGTTGACCTGGGTATGATAGCCCAACTCAGCAGTCTCATAAAAGAGTGCAGCCATGTCTGGGCACAACTCACCTTATTATATGTCTAGACACGTCGGCAGGTTGACTTGCAGACTAATTTCTGTTTTCTTTTGCCAAGGCTCATGGTAATCCAATGCTTCATAAGCTTACAACGTTGGAGATCCGATTCAGAAATCCTCTTTCTGTGCCAGTTAAAGACTGCTCTCTGTTGGTGGAAGGAAGTGGTCTGGTGGACAGACAGCTTACTGCAGTGTAAGTACAACTAGAGCTTGGTTCTAGGATCTATAAACAGCTGTAAGACCGGAGTAGTTTTGGTAGTAAGATTGGTCTCTGAGGATATACGTCCTCATAATTTATAGTGAATTGCTCTTTACAATACGTGCTACATGTATCATCTTAAAGGGACACCCTGTTGTTTAAATAAAAAAAGTCACTATTTAGTAGATATAGTAAATATAATAAACATGTGAATGCTTTTAATTAAGCATTTTTAATTGGGGATATAATTAAAAATAACTTGCAAAAGTTGCAGATCGCTTGTTTGAAACCTTTGTAAGCCCTTTACTTCTAACACAGCCCAGAATTTCTGTGGCTGTCCAGTCACAGATTTCCCAGTGCAATTCAAACATAGAATGTGATGGCAGATAAGTACCATTCAGCCCATATAGTCTGCCCAATTTTCTAAAACATCAGGCAGTTCCACGAAATGATGAAGTAAAACTACGCTATTTAATTCAGATGGTTTCATAGAGACCATCTGATTGTCGCAGTGCAGTGTTCTGCCACGCATGAGTGATAAGCCCCAATGCTGAAATTGGATTTGCTGAAATTATCGTTCTTGATGATCTCAGCTAAAGAGGCAGAGCTGTACACAAGGGAGGGGGAAAAGGTAAGTAAACTCACCTTTTTAACCATGGCAGCACGGGCCAAGTCACTTAAATGGTGACAAAGGCACTATAGTGATAGAAATGAAAGAAATACATTTTCTTTCCCTAAATATCTACAGTTGTAACTGCATGGCATATACTGTGCTATCACTTGACTTTAAGTGCACACTGTTGTGGTTATGGTACCTTGGCACCCTATTAATGTAACTACTAGTAGTCAAACCAGGCTTAGGTCATTGGTTTAAAGAGAAAATCAACTGCTAAAATAAAAAAAAACACTGTCTAGTAGATATAACCCAAATAAAAATGTGCATGCATTTAATTGTGCATTATATCATTGGAGTATAATTAAAAACAGTGTGTAAAAGGTTCAGTTCTCTTGTCTGCAACCTTTACAGACCCTTCCCTTCTAACCCCGCCCAGGCTTTCTGCGGTTGTCCAATCACAAACTTTCCAATGCAGCTCAATGAAAAGTCTTTGCAAGGCAGGTGCTCTGAGCAATTGCTACCTCTTGAGTTTAGCTCCACTGAGCTAACCAAACCAGTCAGTAACAGAACTGATTGCTTGAAAGCCAAGGAGGTATAACCAGGTTAATTTATGTGTCAATTTCTATTAAAACCTGCACTTTTTAGCATAATGAAAAAAAAGAGGACAAAAACGTTTTAGCAAAGTGACCCTTTAACTCATTGGAGTGTCCCTTTAACTCATTGGCTGATAGCAATCAGCTGATTTAGCTCAGAATAGCAAAAGGAGGCTTCAAACAGGAGATCCCCTTCACAAAGGAGGATGTGACCAGCACCAGGTAAATTGTTTAAAAAATAGCAAATAGTTTGATCACTTACATAGGGGCTGCACTATAGCTCTTCTGGCACCATAACCACTACTTTGCACTGTAGTGGTTGTGGTGCCTGGAGTGTTCCTTCAAAAGCAGAAAATATACACTATAACAATCTAGTTAGTTCTAAAGTTCATCCAGATATTACTAAAAGTGCAACCATATCTGTGTCCTACCATATCCATTGACCTGTGCGGATTAGGTGATAGATTATTTCCCCTTTTATATTTAAGTGAAAAAACTGATTGCCGTTTATGAGATTGTAAAACTCAAATTTCAGGTGGAATGTTTTAAGACTGCATTTCAAGTGTTATGTGTTCTTAATAGAATGGTGTTAAACTAGGAGTGGGTAACTCCTGACTGCGACACTATAGCTGCTGCAGAGTAGACCTCCCTCATGATCGCCACTTGACTTGGTGAGAATCAAGCGAGTTGAATTCCACTATAACTGGATTGATTGCGGCAATATATTGCTGAGGAAATGTATAATTAGATATGTAAATATTTATGCTACTGTTTCTTCACTGACGGTGTTATATATTTGTTCTTTTACACAGGGTTCCTTTCCTTAAACCAAAAGAGAAAATAAGATTCAAGGTGGAACTTACACCATACAGGAGCGGCACCAAGCAACTTATAGTGAATTTCAGATGTAAATATTTTTCAATTAAAGGATACAAGCAGCTGGATGTGGCATCCTCGTAACCAAACTATAGGAAGGAACGCTGGTTCTATCAGACCAATCTTGGTGTTTTAAATATTTATTCAGCTTGTCACGTTTTACAGTTCCTTTATTCTAAAAGTGTTGTCTCGCCTAATCTGTTAACAGTAATATTTTGTTAGTTAAAATACAATTAAGAACATAATTCTTAGAACTTTAAATACTGAAACTCTGTAGAGTAAAAAAAAAATAAAATGTGAAAATGTAAGGTTTTTAAAGGAACACTTCAACCAGTATTTACACTACATTATGAAGTGGTTATGGTGCCAGTAGTGTTCTGGTGCCCCAATGTAAGTAGCCCAATCACTACTTCTTTTAAGACCCAGATGCTTCTGCTAGGGGCTTCCGTTAGCTTTCCTGAGCTAAGCTTGTTGCGCATCAGCTGATCACTGTAAGACAGTGAGCTATGAGATTCCATTAAGGAGCTGATTGGCGCCTATTGGACCGCAGGTAAGCTGTCAAAATATTAGCAAATGTTTTAACTACTTAAATTGAGGGCAGGGCAATCCTGGCACCATAACCACTACATTGTACTGTATTAGTTGATCCGTAAAGTGTTCCTTTAATTTCTTTAGATTTAGATCTGTCTTATACCAGCCAACAGTCATGTGACACAATGTTAGTACGATGTTGCCAGGATATACTAAGCCCTGTTGTTTTGAAAAGTTTTATTGCCATTGCAGAAAAAAAGACTTTTATTTAAAACCCTTGACGTGAAGTTAGAATTTACTGAGCTGCTTGGTATTGTTTGCTTATCATTCTTAATAATTTATCACTCAATTAATGTTTTCTTTATGTGAAAAAGCACTTTTAAGGTGTGACACAGTTGAGCAATTATAACTTATTAAATTTAGAAATATGATAATGAATCAGAGTGTTATTGTCCTAAGGCAATTTATAATGTTGTTTGTTTACTTTATACCTCGGTTTGTTGTTTTCTTAGTAGTAACAATAATATTGCGCAGTCCATGAGTCATAACGTAAGACTGCGTTTTATTTGAGACTTACCATTTAATTCTTGTAGAAAAACATATTTGATTTTCAAGTACTAATTTCAGGAAGTGGAAACTTAACCTACACAAGGTCATTTACTAAGAATTGAGAATTCATGAAATCGAAGTGGATTTAAAATTTAAGACCAACATAGATGCACTGAAAGCCTAGCTGATTCAGAGAATTTTTTTAACTTGGCTATTCTGGCCTCAAATTTTAAATTCACTTAGAATTTTTGGCAATTCTCACCATATATAGTAAATAATGTTAATTATTTGCTTTGCAACACAGGTGTAGTTTCTATTGTGCTCTAAACCACTAAAAGCATAAAATGCGGCATCGCGAACATTACTGTATATCATTGTGTTGGTTTTCTTCCAACAAATGGTCAGAGGGTTATTCCAACCAATATGACCACTGCTTTTAGAAGAGGTCATGGTGGCTGGAATCTGTACGTGCACAATTTCTGCTTGAAACAATGCATACAGAGATATCTACCCTTTTGTTATTTGTACCCCGGATTTAAGCTTCCTAGTGTGAATTCTGTCCAAAAATAACATGCCGGTTAGTGTGCACTGCACGAGATGGACATTTTAAGCATATAGCCTTGAAGCTTGAATGTACCGTCTGTTCTTCCCTTCTTTATTTTAGCCCTCCCAGCTTCCCTGCAATATTTAATTCTTTCGATTTTCTTTTTTGTTTTGTAATGTTACCTTCCTCCCGGCTTCTCTTGGAAAGGAGGTGGGGTCATAATAGGGGTGTGTTAGCGTGTCAATTTGGCATTCTTAAAGCACTCTGGGCATGGCCTTAATGCCCAAAGGGCAAAAGCTTGACTTTTCACGCACCCGTGCTATGCCAACTGGAAACAAACCAAACCCATATGGCAGAACAGGAGACTGAAATCAGGTCTCTCTCATCTTAAATGGCACACTCAAAACACATGGTATGCTGTTACTTAAAATACAGAACTAAGCACTGTATAAAGTTGGTAGTTTTTTAATGGATATGTCTCTCTTTCATTTTTAATTATACAATAATATGCTCTATGACATAGGGAGATTACAGAAATGTAATGATGGTCCAGGCATTCAAGTTAAATCCAGTGAGCAGATTTATTGGAGTAGATGCAAAGAAACATTACGGCCAGCATCAGGACCTTTGTCAAGCTTCATCTGCTCACTGGATTTAACTTGAATGCCTGGACCATCATTACTTTTCTGCAAATTACATTGTGAGGATTGGCCAACCTCAGGCCCGGTTGCACCCTGGGATTCAGGAGAATGCGGTATCCATATTGGTGATTATAGGGAGATTACAGACATAAGCTTCTATTTTTTTTGTAGACTGAGATAACAAAAGCAAATGAATGAGTGCTAGCCTTCAACTTCATGTCTTTTCTATCTCCACACAAAATTAAGTTCAAAAATAGATTGGATTTTGAGCATGTGGCTAAGGTCATGAAGAAAGTAGTTTGTGGACTTGTGCCTTCTACCACCACACTTTTGTTCTGTATCAAGTGGCGGAACTAATGTTGAGAGGGCCCTGATGCGAGAATTTTTTGCTCCCACTTTTAGTGAAAGGGTGGCCAAAAGAGACATCCTGATCTTTCGTACAACTCCCACAATGGGGATCTACCACTTGCCCATCCTTGCAAGGGTTATATTTCTGGGCTTGTGCATGTGAATGTAAGCATGTTTTTGTGTGAAGTATGTGAGTGTATGTAGTGGTGTGTTTGTATGTACCACTACCATTGGAATGCAGTGGTGTACTTCAATGTAATGTTTGCATTTGATTGCATCGGTGTGTTTGTATGTAGTGTTGGCTTTAAAAACGAGGGTGTACGTTTGTGTGTTCTGTTGGTGTTAGAATGAAATGGTGTCTGTATATAATTTTGCCATTTTAATACAGTGGTGTGTTTGTATGTAATGTTTGCCTCTGATTGCAGGAGTGTTTTCTATGTAGTGTTTAAGACCTGCAGTCAGGGCCGGTGCAAGGATAGGGACTGAGAGGGGACCAGCTCTTTATTTTTTTTATTTTTTTCATAGTGCTCTCCTCTCCTGTCAATTATTGATTTCCCATTCCCTCCTGTCCCTCCGTGTTCTCCCCTTCTGTCAATTAGTGCTCTCCCTTGGCCACCTGTAGTCCCCCCTTGGTGGTCTTCTCACTCCCCCCTCTCCCCCTTAGTGGTCCTCCATCCCTCCCCTTAGTAGACATTCCCCTCCTCCCCCCACCCCCTTAGTGGTAATCTCCCCCCCCTCAGTCATTATCCTCTCCTCCCCCCCAAGTGGTCCTTACACTCCTCCCCTCTCCTTAGTGGTCCTCCCTACTTACCCCCCTTTGGTGGTCCTTTCCCCCCTTAGTGGTCCTCCCTCTCCCAAACCCCTTAGTGGACCTCCTCCCTCAGTGGTCCTTACTCCCCCCCCCCCCCCCCTGTGTTCCTCCCCCTCCTCCCCAGTGGTCCTTACTCCCTCCTCTCCCCTGGTCCTTACTCCCTCCCCCAGTGGTCCTTACTCCCCTCCTCCCCCGTGGTCCCTCCCCTCCCCAGTGGTCCTTACTCCCCTCCCTCTCCCAGTGGTCCTTACTCCCCTCTGGCTTGCTTGGCTCCCCCTGTGGTCCTTCCCCTCCCCCCCTCCCCCAGTGGTCCTTATTCCCCTCCCCCTGTGGTCCTTACCTAACCTCCCCCTGTGGTCCTTACTCTCCCTCCCCTCCCCTGGTGGTCCTTACCCCCCTCCCCTAGTGGTCCTTACCCTCCTCTTCCCTCCTATGTAGCGCCAGCCCTGCCTACAGTAGTTATGGTACTGAGGTCTTCTTTCCCAAGGGCTGAGCATAGGTGATTATAGCTTCATCAAGGGGTAGAGGAATAATGTAGATGAATGCAGCTCCCAAGATAATTCTCCCCAGCAGATGAAGTATTCCCCAAACATGAGCATAGACTTCATGAAGGGTGTAACAGAACTGAAGTTTATTGAGAACAAACTGGCTTTTATGAGAAATCCTCCTGCAAGAGGACCTCCCACAGCAAACAAAGACAACAACCAATCAACATACAGATTTACAGTAATCGCTGCTCTCTCTCTGCCTGGGAGATATTGAGATAAATTAAGGAATAAACCAATTATCTCCAGGCAGAGAGCACACAATTTCCCCAAAACTTAGAACACCCCTTTCCCCACAAGGTATCCCCCCAATCTGGGAGACCAACATATCCAAATTTCTCCCAGATCAGTTCAGGGGTTCTTAAAAAGTATGGAAGTCATATTTTACCAACCACACACGAGGCTACTGCCCAAAACAGTTCCACGAATTCAGCGTGTGCGGTTGGTCAATTCATAAAAAGGTAAAAAACGAACAAAGTACCGAATGGATCCTCCTGGCTCATAGGAGCGATTGCTCCCCTTGTTCATTCGCACAAAACTACCGAATGGTGCTCTCCTGGCGGTTCGGCAACTAAAGGAAGCAGGCGTTCGGTAGTTTCAGCGGTGGTTCGTGCGGTCGAGTGTCCAATTTTAGTTCCAGACACTCGACGACCAAGTCCCGCTGCCTCCTTTCGTGCGAACAAGATGGTTGCCGTTTTCTGTTCCACGTGGCATTTGGCTATACGAACAGCGGCCTCCCCCTTGAGAGCGCTTAATAGACGGATGTTTTGAAGTTAATGAGCCAGAAGGGTGGTCGGTGTTTGGTAGTTTCAAACTACCGAACCAATAGAGTCAATATGCAGCAAATAAAAGCCCGAACATAGGAGAAAATACCAAACCAAAGTCTATTTTCTTCAGTGTTGATGTTCGATTGTTGGGGTGTATGTACAGAAACTGCCACATACATACTTATACATATACACATATAAACACACACTCAGATTCACACTGACAACCGCTCTCAGAAACAAACATATACACACACTGACAATGATAGATACATACACACTCTAATCCATGTCCACTGCTGAAAGCATTTTCAATGGGGACATAATTATCAGAACTGGACCATGGATCAATTGATGGCTCCAGGTGAATGGATTGGTGCTTGTGCATCATTTACCTGGTGAAAAGATCATAGTGTGATGGAATTTCAGTAAAATAGAAGTTTAGTAGGCCAAGATTGCCACGTGGCATATGTAGGTACATGTGTTTGTAGTATCAGTTAGTTAGTTACAGGTAGCTAAGATACTGTCATCAATGTACTGAGCAGGTGCAGGAATGTAGGAACTGAAATCACACTCCTTTCTCCTTTGTTTCGGATGAGCCACGTGGTCAGACCGGATGAGCAAGTCCAGACTCTGTTCATTGGTTGGTTAAGGGTATGTGTGGGTGTAGCTATTTATGGGAGGAGCTATATTGCTCTATAAGGAATGTACTTCATGTGTTCGGGGCTCAGATCTGTTGTGGAATGTTAGTCCATCTGAGACCCGATCGGTACGTGAATAAAGGCCTCTTACTTCCTGAATACCTGTGTCCATCTCTCTGTGTTTGGCTTCTGCATGCTTCCATGGTTACAGTAGCAGGATGCATAATGGAAAAAGGCAGTCCAGCAGAGGCAGTGTTTGCTTGCAATGTTCTGCTGGGAAACCTTGGACCCTGGCATTCATGTGGATGTTACTTTGACACTTACCACCTACCTAGAGATTGTTGTAGGGGATAGGGGCAGTAGTGTGTCTACGGGGTACAATATGTGTGTGTCTGAGGGGTGGAGTGAGTGTGTGTGTGTGCATGCATGTGTGGTATGCAGTGAGTGTACGGGGGTGCTTTGTGTTTGGGAAGGATGTAGTGTGTGAGAATGATGCAGTGTGTGTGTGTATGTGGGGCAGTTTGTGCGTCTGGGGTACAGTATGTGTAGGGGCACGTTGTATGAGGGGTGCAGTGTGTGTGTGTGAGAGGTACAGTGTATGGGGGCAGGTTGTGTGAGGGGTACAGTGAGTGTGTGGGGGGCAGTGTGTGTTTTAATTTAAAAAATATATATATTATTTTAATTCTCCCCCCTCCCAGCTTATCTTTGCCTGGGAGGGGGGACATTTCCTGCAATCCCTGGTGGTCCAGTTTGGAAGCCCTGATGATCCCAGTGATAAGAGTGAACTCTAGCAGCCCCAGGAGCTGCTAGAGTTCACTCTCGCGAGATTGTTACCACAGCAACACTCTGAGCTTGCGAGAGGAGAACCTGGCAGAGCTGCAGGTTAGAGCTCCCCCGGGTCCTCCCATGCCAGCTGCCAGCATTACAGTGCTAACGGCCCGGAGCAGGAGATCTCTGATCTCCTCCCCGGTCCAGCAGAGCCGGCAGGTGAGAGCACAGTTCCCGGTGCTATGATAATAGCACCGGGAAAATATATTGCGACACACAGTTTGGGAACCGCTGACATAACCGTTCACCCTCCTTGTACTTAACTTTCTGCAGAGTGGTTACTATGACAGTCTCCCTGGTATTCCAAGGGATATTTTTTTCTAAAATAACACTTATTTCAATAAAGTGAATTGTCTCCTATATAATATGTACCTTTATTTAGTACTCCAGTAACGGCTTGAATTAAGGAGAAGAATTGAAGAATTCAAATGATACCCCTTTTAACACTGAAAGCAAGGGTTATGTATCTTTTTATGGACGGATTCATTTTAAAGCTTGTTAGTTTATTAGTGCTGAAATATTTTAACTAATGTTTAATTCAGCAGTAAGTAGAAATAACAAAGTAAAAAAAAAATCTTTTTTTTTTTTAAAGGATTATTTTTTTTAAGACAATAAAGAAATCCTGACAAGAAATATATATATATACTTGGGTCTTTTATTATTGTAATATCCACACACTATGTCACAATCAATTTATATATATATATATATATATATATATATATCACAGAAAACTCCCTTTTCATGTTCTCAAAGGTAATGTAATTCGCTTACATATGCAGGTATCACGGTCAAAACCAGGTAAGATAACACAATCTGAGCATGATATAACTTCTCTACAGAGTGATTTCAATAAATTGGGGACTGCACAGGCAAGTGGCAGAGATTCAAGAGAGATAAATGAAAATTCATGCATTTCGGAATAAGGAACCCACAGGCACCGTATACACTCAAAGGGGGTTAAATAATAGTATTAACCCCTTAAGGACACAACTTCTGGAATAAAAGGGAATCGTGATGGAATATTTCCTTCATGTGTCCTTAAGGGGTTAAATGAAAAGGACTTTGGAACCATTATAAATAGCAAACTGGGCAACAGCGCACAATGCCGGTCAAGGTGTTGTCATGTATTAAAAGGAGTATTGATTCACATGATCAAAATATACGTACGACGCCCACCTTGAATATGCAGTGCAATTTAGGGCACCAATTTTAAAGAAAGATCTTGCAGAACTAGAGAAAATTAAATGGCAAGATTCAAAATTAAAGAAACCTTATATTCCCGATAATAATAATATTATTTTTTTTGGGGAGGGGTTCTGCCATTAAAGTGACCTCTGTCCATTTCCTTTTCTGTTGAAAAATGCAAGAAACCTCTTCCGCACCCTGCAGATTAAGCTGCTCATGACATACTTAGATGCCATCCAGAGACAGATAGTGCAATTTGTGTGGGCCAAAAAGAGAGTTAGAGTGGCAACTAAGATTCTCCATCGTTCAGTGGAAGTGGGGGGACTCGGTTTACCCAACATCAGATTATATTACAGAGCAGCCATAGTTGCGTCTGTCTTGACGACCCACATCGAACAGAACCCGCCCTGTGGCAGACGATAGAATCCTACTGGGCCAGACAAACAGAACTGAAATATTTGCTCTGGATACCACACCAACACAGACCTAGATTAGATTAGATTCTGCCAACCCCAGCTATAATGTTCAAAACATGGGAGCTCTGGAGGACCATGGCCACCTGCGGTGCCCATTCGGAGCATACACTTAGCACACCCGACATTTGACCATCATATGTGGGTGAGGGGAGGTTATACCCACATTCGACACCTGTGCTCCGGAGGGGCATTGTTGCCATTGCCAGACTTACTGACCAGTTTTGACCTTCCACAAAGAGCAATTTTCCCTTATTTACAACTCAAATCGATCTTGCAGAACCAGATCAGCCTTAACGACCCGCAGGGGACTACAACTCCCTTTGAACAGGTCTGTTTTGGCCTCGCCCCTCCAAGGAGGGCGCTGTCCCTCTGCTACAACGTGATACTCAATCATGATACCCTCACTACACACCAACAAGCTTGTCAGACAGACCTACACACTATTACTGAGAAACAATGGAGGTCCTCATTCACTGCACATAAGGGGAGAACAACCTGTGCCACACATCTCGAACAGATCAGGAAACTGGGATACAGATGGTATATGGTCAGGGCCGTCTTTGAATTTGATTGGGCCCTGGGCAAGCATTTACCTGGGCCCCCTGACTACATATAGATACACACAAGAACATACAGATACACACAGACTACATATAGATACACTGACAAACATGCAGATACAAAAGGTACACACACTGACTACATATAGATACACTGACACACACACAGATACACAACCTGACACACATGCAGATATACAGATACAAACACTGACACATACATATACACACACACGAACAAACAACATACAGATACAGACACATTCTGACAGACGTACTGACACAGACTCACACACAGACAGCCATACTGAAACACAAAGACATACTGAACCACACAGACACTGACGGACTCTCACACACACAGACATACAGATACACTGACAGACATACTGAAACACACATACACACAGACACTGACATACATACATACATACATTTTGACACTCACACCATACTGAAACACACATACACACTGAACCACACAGACACTGACAGACTCAGTGGCGTACATACCAGGGTCGCAGGGGTCGCGGCTGCGACCGGGCCCGGCCCACCAGGGGGCCCGGCCGCCCCTGCGACCCGGTATGTAGCCACAGGGCCAGCCTCTTCCCCTGGGGGGCCCAGGAGGCGGCCACCCCAGGGCCCCCCGAGGCTGGCCCTGCTGATACCCGGCAGGCGGATGGCTGGTCGGGCAGGCGGGCGCGCGAGGGAGCACTCAGTGCTTCCTTTTCAGCTCCCTCGCGCACCGCACTGATGCCGGAGCCGGAAGATGACGTCATCTTCCGGCGCCGGCATCCCTCGCGTGCCTGCCTGCCCGACCGGCCACCCGCCCGCTGGGGTCAGCAGCACCACTGGACCCCAGGGAATCCCCCCAGCACTCCAAAAGGTAAGGAGGCTGGGGGGATTATATTAAAAAAAACATGTGTGAGTGTTTGAGTGAGTGTTAGTGTTTGAGTGTGTGTGAGTGTTTGAGTGTGTGTGAGTGTTAGTGTGAGTGTTAGAGTGAGTGTTAGAGTAAGTGTGAGAGTGAGTGTTAGTGTTAGAGTGAGTGTTAGTGTGTGTGTCTTAGTGAGTCTGTTTGATGTCTGTTAGTGTGTGTTTGTCAATGAGAGTGTATGTTTTGTGTGTGAGTGTGTATGTATGTCTGTCACTGAGTGTGTCTCTGTTAGCTAGTGTGTATGCGTCTGTAAGTGAGAGTGTCTGTGTGTCTTCAGCACTTACCTTTCTCCAGCGCCGGACTCCCTTGGCGCTGGGGATCCCTCAGCCTCTCAGCTCCGAGTGAGACCGCGCACGCATTCAAACCGCCCATAGGAAAGCATTACTCAATGCTTTCCTATGGACGTTCAGTGTGCTCCTCTAGTGGCTGTCTCACTGGAGTAACCCTCAGTGAAACATAGCTGCAGGGTTAAAACTAGAGGAACCCGACACCCATACAACTTCATTGAGCTGATGTGATCTGGGTGTCTGTAGTGGTCCTTTACTCGTTTTCCTGGCACTATAGAGCTGCGTGGGCATTCAGCCGGTCACATAGGAAAGCATTCATAATGCTTTCCTATGGACGCTGGCGTGCTCTCACTGTGAAAATCACAGTGAGAAGCACGCAAGTGCCTCTAGCGGCTGTCAATGAGACAGCCGCTAGAGGAAATAGGGGAAGGCTTAACCCATTCATAAACATAGCAATTTCTCTGAAACTGCTATGTTTATGAAAAAATGGGTTAACCCTAGCTGGACCTGGCACCCAGACCACTTCATTAAGATGAAGTGGTCTGGGTGCCTAGAGTGGTCCTTTAAGTGTGTGTGCATCTGCATGCACTGGCGTACATACCGCGGTCGCAGGGGTCACAGCCCTGTAACCCCTGCGACCAGGTGCCCACCGCCATGTGTTGCGGCCCGGCCCGCGCGCCGGGGGGGGGGGCCCACGGATCAATTTTTGCACCGGGGCCCCATGGGTCATGTGTACGCCACTGGACAGACTCACACACACAGACATACTGGCACACATACAGACATACTGAAACACACATACACACAGACACTGACAGACAGACACACACATTTTGACACACACAGACAGCCATACTGAAACACACATACAAACTGAACCACACAGACAATGACAGACTCACACACACACAGACATACTGACAGACATGCACACATACAGACATACTGAACCACACAGACAGACACACAAACATACACTGACAGACTCTCACACACACAGACATACAGATACACAGCCACCCGATGGACCCTCATAATTTGCGGGCAGAGAGCAAACGGGGCAGCTGCCTTGGGCCCCCCCAGCAGGGACAGGGCCCGGGGCAGCTGCCCCGTTTTCCCAGTCTTAAAGACGGCTCTGTATATGGTGCCCGCAAGACTAACACGCATATATCCAGGGACAACAGACAGATGTTGTAGATGCGGCACGGCCAAGGGCACAATGCTCCATATTTGATGGACTTGCACGCATCTCCAGCCATACTGGACCAAAGTGGGGAGCCTCATTGCTGACATAACACATAAACAAGTCACACTTAAACCTGAACTTGGGCTCTTATTTATGGGATTAAAGGAATTTTACCACAATGACTCCATTCTAGTGTTCCATATCCTGATAGCGGCAGTTACACTGATAGCAAGAGCGTGGAAGGGAGAGGAAGCACCTTTATGGGGAGCACTTACACGACAAAGCTCAACTAACTTAGATTATGAACACATGGCACGAAAACACCTCAAATCAGGTAAACCGTAACAAGAAGTCATAAAGAAGTGGGATAGCTACCTAAAATGTCAAGCAATACATGATGAAAATGACACGAAAAACACATACAAAATAAAAAGTAGAAAAAGTCCACCCACCTACAGTACGCTTCGCGCCACCACCCAAGCACCCCAGAGTTCGCTGAACCGATAGGGTTGCGGAGACCCATAACCGTGAATACCCACGTTGTAAATATGTGTAAATAGTTGCAGAGTAAGTTAAGGGGGGAGGGTGGGTTACTCCAATAAACAGGACAGTGTCAAAACTACACCTACATTAGCCCAAGTGTCAATGTTCACATCTCACAGATGAGAGGGAACATGGCCTACCCCATCACAAGGCACGAACTAGGGTACAGATACATGAGAGGTACATGCTGGGACGTATGTTCCCATACAGGCAACTCCAAGACCGATAAAAACTATCAATCGGGTGAAGGCCCAGAGCACAAGTTACAGAGCCAATGACAAAACATGCCAATATAAATGGTTAAACTTGAAGAATACAACACAAGGGGTGCGAGTTGCATGTACTGAAAGAACCATTAATGATACTGTCCAGGTTAAAGAGACATACTGTAAACAAAGCGTCAAGTTTGTACTCCAATCCCCTCTTCTTGTTTCTGCACCCCCACCCTGAACATCAAAATAAAAATGGTCACAATGAAAAAAGAAAAATGCAAGCTTAATATATATTATTCACCTCATTCCCAGAACCAAGACATTGTTGTTCCACTGTTTTTGGCCATAAGCAAGGTCATGGCAGATCCACAACAGTTCACTATATTATGTGCCCTTAGTGAGTGTCTTTTAACCCCTTAAGGACACATGACATGTCTAATATGTCATGATTCCCTTTTATTCCAGATGTTTGGTCCTTAAGGGGTTAAACATTGAATTACATGTTTATGAATTAAGAAAACAGCTTAGTAGTTGTGACACTTGCCACCTCTCAGTTGGTAGTAAGTGTCCCAACGGTTGAGTGATTATAGCTAGGAGGTAATCCAATACCATTAGTCTCAGCACAGTCATTACTACCATGGGATCCATGTTCTCATGGTAACAAAAACGTGAGGAGTTTTCAAATGCAAGAAAGTTAAAGTGGTGTTATACTCTTGGGGAAAAAAAGTATGGGAATTGGTGCACCTCCTGATACTCCATTGTAGAAGCCTGAAAACCTTCAAGTAATAGTATCCAGTACATTGTGCAGTTTATTGAAAGAAGGAACACAAATAAACTATACAACATGTCGGCCCAATGGCCTCAAGCACGTATTTATACATGATTAAGGCCATTGGTCTGAAAAGTTACACAGCTTTTTTGTGTTCATTTGGTCAATATATTTCACAATGCATCCTACCTGTTGAACCTGTGGATTTTGCACAGGATTTTTTAAGTGAATGTCCAAGGTGATAACTCTAGCTAGAAAAGTGTCCCATATTGGACCGTAGTCAGTAGAACTGTATTTCTATTTTGTCTTTAGATATCACAAATGGCCATTTTATGAACATTCCAACCTTTAACAATTAATAAAACAACTCATGCTTAGTTCCCTAATAGATTCTGCCTTTCGGGTTAATTATTTTGTAGACTCAAAAACCTGTTTCTAGGTTGCAAGACTAGGTGTGTCTAGTTGAACACATTTAATTGAGAGACATAGATTTACTAATCTTGGGTAAACTAGAAAACATGCACTCATGACTGTAATGTGAAACATAAATAATTATTGTAAACACACAAAAAAAAATCATTCTTAGCATGAGAGGTATAGTAATTGCTGTGTATATAAAAAAATGGATGTGCCTCAGCATAAACATTATGACATATTTACATTATTTCCACAAGTTATTTTAACATTTTATTTATTTTTGTACAAAGTGATTAACATTGTTTATGAGCTTCATAAAAATAGTTGTTGACAGATATCTGTATAGGTGGCTTGTGTTTCCTCTGCAATAAAACACATTCATGTAAATTGTATGAAAGAGTTTTCAGAATGAAAAAGATTAACTCACAAACGCTGGATACAAACAAAGTTTTACATGTGGATCAGTAGTCAGCAAACCGTTTTGCTCTCTTTTCTTAGATATATCCTTTACAGAACACACATATTAAAATTGCTAGAAGTTTATGCCAACCAAGAACTTTATTTAATATTTTTGAATAAAATTTTAAAATCGATTTTAATATCAAAAAATATATAATATAAAAATATATACTGTGACAAAATTTGTATATTTACTAGTTATGGTCTCAATTGCGTTGTTTACATTTCAACATATGTTTACAGACGGACACTTTGTTTGAAGTGTTTAGAAACACAGGGGTAGGAGGGAGAATTAGCCTTTCCATTGAAATGTCCAATGTTTTTGTGTTTTGGGATAAGACTATAGACCCATGGGTATAATTAGCTCAAACTAATTTACATCCCTCAGCCAGGAGGTATCCCATCCCACTGGGAATTAACAAGTAAAGCATAATTTATGGCTGTCTATCCGTGTGTTTGTATTTCTCTTGGTGTAAATATTCGCAAAGAAAAAAAACAAGAAAGTTATGGTGGGAAAAAATCGTGATTGAAAACCCCTTCCACCTGAAGTCCGTGGATAGTCAATACATTGTCAAACACAGATCTGCACACCAGTCAAGCCATAAGACTTGCTTTTCCCACAGAAATCTTACATTTGATGTTACTACTGCAAAGGATTCTGGGTGGGCACATGCAAATTAGTTCAACAAAGAATCACATTTTTGCCTCATTATTCCATTTTAAACATGAATTCACTGGAGTTTGTGTTTGCTGTATACAACAGCTTTGAAACACAACAAAACAGCTGTCCATGCGTGGTTCACTGGCTTTGCATCTCCTCCTGAGTTGTGTTTCAAAGCTGTTGAACACAGCAAACGCAAACTCCAAGGAATCCATGATTAAAATGGAATAAGGCAAAAATGTTATTCTTTGGTAAACTAATTTGCATATGCCCACCCAGAGTCCTTTGCAGTAGTAATATCACTGCAAATCTGAGTTTTCAGTGAGAAAAGCAAGTCTTATGGCTTCACTGGTGTGCAGATCTGCATTTAACCCCTTAAGGACTGGACTGTATTTGCGATGTTGTACATTTGCGACCAGGCATATTTTTACACTTTTGTGGTGTTTGTGTTTGGCTGTAATTTTCCGCTTTGTTCCCATACAAATTATATATTGTTTTTTTGAGGACAAAAGGGGCTTTCTTTACATACCGTTATTTATATAATCTCATGTATTTTAATTTAAAAAAAATACAAAAATCTGATGAAAAATTGAAAAAAATACATGTTTTTTGACTTGTACTTGAAAAATCTTTTACTCATCTACAAAAGCGAATGAAAAAAACTGCTAAATAGATTCAAAATTTTGTCCTGAGTTTAAAAATACCTAGTGTTTACGTGCTTTTTTGCTTTTTTTTGCATGTTATAGGGCTATAGGTACAAGTAGGATATTGCGGTTTCAAAACATACATTTTAAAATTTATCAATAGTGACATTGTAACACTATTATCTGTCATAAATCTCTGAATAACACCCCACATGTACATATTTTTTTTAAAGTAGACAACCCAGGGTATTCAATATGGGGTATGTCCAGTCTTTTTTAGTAGCCACTTAGTCGAAAACACTGGCCAAAGTAAGCATTCATATTTGTTTGTGTGTGAAAAAAGTAAAAAAACTAAATTGAACGCTAATTTTGGCCAGTGTTTGTGACCAAGTGGTTACTAAAAAAGACTGGACATACCCCATTTGCAATACCTTGGGTTGTCTTCTTTTGCAAATGGTATGCCATCATGGGGGTAATTCTCATTCCTGGGCTACCATACGCTCTCAAAGGCAACGTAACCAACCTGGCCATTTTCAATGTAAAAATATTTGACCCATATATTTGACCTTGTAACTTTCAAAAATGCTATAAAACCTGTACATGGGGGGTACTGTTTTACTCGGGAGACATCGCTGAACACAAATATTAGTGTTTAAAAACTGGAAAACGTATCACAACAATTATATCATCAGTAAAAGTGCTGTTTGTGTGTGAAAAATGCAAAAAAAGTAACTTTCACTGACAATATCATCGCTGTGATATGTTTTACTGTTTTGAATCACTAATATTTGTGTTCAGCGAAGTCTCCCGAGTAAAACAGTACCCCCCATGTACAGGTTTTAGGGTGTCGTAGAACGTTACAGGGTAAAATACAGTGCTAGCAAATTAAATTCTCTGGAATTTCGGCCTGGGTTGGCAGGCAGGTCCCTCAAATTGCAATCAATAAAATTACTTAATTATGTAAAAATATTACATAAATACGCACGTAGAATTTAAATATATATGCATATTTATATATTTGAAGTCTACGTGTATATTTATATAATTATTTATGTAATTTTGTATATGGACGTATGTATATTTCTATTATTTTTATTTATTTTTATATACATAGATATATATACAAATTCATTCTAAGTGTATTTTGATATAAATATATATATATTAATTTTAAAATAGTTAGAATAAAATTTCATATAGATATATATTTTTTTTATTTTTTTATTATTTTAAATTTTTATTTAATTTAAATTAATTATTTATATTTTATAATAATATATATATACAATATATAGTTATTATATATATTATATATATACGTGTGTAATTTAATTATAAGTGTATTTTTATATTAATATAAGTACATATTAATATAAAAATACACTTAGTATGACATTATATATATATGATATATAGACATATATTATATAGCTATAATATATGTCTATATATCATATATACACATATATAATTATTTATTTATTTTTTATTAACATTAACTTTATTTTTTATTTTTATTTTACACTAGCAGGGAGACTGCCTGTCAGCACAGACAGTCCCCCTGCAGGCAGACACATGGACACCTATTGTGACCATGTGATCGCTGTGTTAAGCGATCACATGGCCACAGAGGTCCTAATCTGCCGTGGGGAGACTGCCTGGGCTGCAGGCAGTCTCCCCACAACCGGAGCCACACTGATCGCCGCCGGGGGAACGACGGCGATCAGGTAAGTAGCTCTGACCGTTAGGACGGTTCAGGACCGTCATCGGTCGGCAACGCAAAAATGCCGATGACGGTCCTGAACCGTCCTCGGTCCTTAAGGGGTTAACAATGTATTGACTATCCACTGTAAATATTTGTAAATACATTTCCTTTCTGCTGGGTACTACAGAATAAAGTTAGTTGCTCCTGCTCACAACAAGAAGTTGTTTGTGTCTTTCTTTGCATAACTATCTAAGTTCTGTTATTATTATTGTTTTATTATTTATATAGCGCCAGCCAATTCCATACAATGGGTGGACTAACAGACACGTAACTGTAACCAGACAAATGGACGCACAGGAACAGGGGTTGAGGGCCCTGCTCAATGAGCTTACATGCTAGTGGGAGTGGGGTATAGTGACACAAAGGGTATAAGTAGGGGTAATGAAATAGGTTGCGAGAAAAGTATTCACTGAGAGCTTAGATTATTTTTGACAGTTGCAGGAGAGGAGTCGTGGGGTGGGGGATTAACACCCTCTAACAGTTTAAATTATATGCTTTGCTTAAGAAGTGTGTTTTCAAAGATTTTTTGAAGGAGTGGAGATTGGATGAAAGTCTAATGAAGAAAGGAAGGGAGTTACACAGAAAATGTGCAGCCCTGGAGAAGTCTTGGAGGCGAGCATCAGATGCGGGAGTAAGGACAGAGGATAGTAGGTTATAATGCAATCATTAATAGGAGAATCGCTAGCAGTTTGTAGTTAGATAGAATATCCTGTAATACCCAGAGCAACTCTGCAGTAGATCCTGCATTAGTGTTACAGGTTATGTAAAAGAAAACCCACAGAAGATATTAGGCCTTCGTAACACCATATTTTACGTATTGTCACATATACCAATATATCAAAATATTAAAATATTTTTAAAATAAATAATGTTAAAAATTTATCCAAAAATATTAAATCATTTGAAAACACATATCTATATATTAAATCAAGGCCTAAATTATGAGACATTTGTGCAACGGTTACAAAAAGATTGTAGTGGGACCAAATAAAATAAAAATTAGAACAGTAATAGGATAACAGATAATAATGAGTTATGCCTACGGCAGAAAAATTAATAATCTCTGAGTGTAACATTTCTTACTAAAACACTGTGTAGACAGACACTAATGAATTATGTAGGCAAAACCTAGCTTGGTTTCAGTTAATGAAAGGCATGCAAGTGAAAGCGTAGATAATTTACTATTTAATTGTTTCTTCTGAATGCATTTTGAGCAGAACAGAAGGGCAATATGTGTGAAAATGGACAACATGGGTTGATCATGGTGAAAGAACGAGAAGAACCTGGCCATTATTGAGTTATCATTAAAGGACAACATTCTGACACAATATTATCTCTAAAAAAAGTCATTCTTTGCAACACCTTAGTATGTTATGTAAATTAACAACCAAGTGTACTTAGAAAGTTCTAACAGATTTGACTTAAGTGTCTAAGGGTACATACCCTTGCACTATGCAATTCATCTGGTGCCCCTACCTCCCCAAGTAGGCATCACATCAGTTTCACATCCTCAGACACCATTGCCAGCATTTCTGATGCCAGAGGGTGTAGTTCCACCACTTTTGTGACATCATTACACCACGTCGTGGGCTGGCTAATGTGAAATCTGTGAATATTGGACATCTGTTATCAGCATGCATGGCGTGTTGGCCATAGGAGTATAGTGGTGGCATGACCCCCACCTCCATGCCACCCAAGTTCTCCCTATAACCCATCCTCCTCCTACATCCCTCCCTGGCAATTAGGAGGAGTGATGTCAGCGAAGGAGGGTTGGACTGCGAGGAACAGAGGTAAGTTTATGCTTCAATTATTTATATTAGGTTTGCATGGGAGGCAAAACTAGGAAGGGTTGTTTATACCAAAACCAGTGTTTAAAAAAAAACAAAAAAAAACCCACTGTTTTTTAGTTTGAGTAACCGTTCAATTTTAATGATTTCTCTGAGACTTAAATCCAAAAATCACAACAGAGAACTCAGGCCAGCCTCCATGATTAGTCCATGCTCATGTGAATATTATTTATATGCCAAAAATATCCAAATTTCGCTTTAATCTAAATATTAAAGTAATCACTACAATTGTTATGAGTTTCAGGACAGGTATAACTTGATTGTTACGTGAGACCTCAGTTTGTTGGGTAAGGGCAACAGCCACAGCTTTATTCTTTAACATATGCCAGCAAATTCTTAACCCTGTCGGCTTTTGGGATGCTTTACCAACAGACAGATCTATCCCATTAAACCATAAGTCCGGAGCAGCCTGCTCCTCCATCAGCTCTCAGCAGGCTGCGTTTCCCCAAGCCGCCTCGGCACCTTCTTCTGCTTCTGACTGCGCTGACTAGGACTCCCGTATGCTGTGACAAAACAAGGAGAGAAACAAAATCAAAGCCCACACAGACACTGACCAACATTTCTAACTAGGCTAATTAGGGAGCGAGGGAGTGAAAGTCAGGATACCTGCACTTTTCCTAGCTGACTGGTAAGCCCCCACCCAGCAAGTCCTTATATATCTATTCCCCACTTTGTGACAATTGTATCCATATTGTTTCAGCCCCTCATCTCTGGCAGCAGTCATGACCCCCAATACTTGTGAGTTCAGGGTGGTTCTTTCTAGTAAACTGCAGTCCTTCCCAAAGCTTGAAAATGTTGCTTTCACAATAAGTATTGGAGTAAAAAAAGCTAAAGAAAATATATCAATATATTAAACATAGAAACATAGAATGTGACGGCAGATAAGAACCATTCGGCCCATCTAGTCTGCCCAATTTTCTAAATACTTTCATTAGAGCCTGGCCTTATCTCATAGCTAGGATAACTATAAGATAAGCAATTACTGCAATTGTTATGGGCCTCAGGACAGGTGCAATTTTCTAGCAAACTGCAGACCTTCCCAAAGCTTGAAAATGGCTTTCGCAATAAGCACTGGAGTAAAAAAAATAAATAATAAATGTTCTTGTGGGTTGATATTTTTTGCCACAGTAAGAAGATGCTCCCATTTTTGCTCATGACTCATTAAAAACTATTGCTGTCAACCCTCTGTGTTAAGTTACAATTCTTGCTGAGCAAGTTATTTTAATCCTTCTTCAATCATGAAACAGAGAGCAGATACAGTTGTTTTGCTTTTTCACAATAACCTATTATAAAATATATAAATATAACAAAGGGGGAGGGTTGGACTGTTCTCTAAAGTCACTCCCGGACTCGGTATCTAAATGAGTGTCAGAAACTATATTGTTACACTCATTGCTGGTAAATAGGCACACGTCACAAACAATTAAGCAGAAGGAATAACTTGATCAGATTTTTACCACAAACCACCAGTTGGGAGAACGCACAGCAGACATGGCAGGTAAGTGCAAATCTCCTTGAAAATTTTATGCGTTTACTCCTCGAACAAAAAATTAGATTCATGATGCTTCAGTGCGTTATTACCTTAGTAAATCTGATTATGTTTCTTTGACAAGTTGACACCATACACCATCACATCTGACAGGAGTGTGTGAACTGTATTTTTTCCATAAGAGATTGGGTGTTGGTAACTTGGTTGTATTATAATGTAATATGATCCATCAAATAATACTGAGAGATATAAGTTGTTCCATTGTGTGTGTGTGTGTGTGTATGTAATTTTTAATTTGTTTTTTTTAATTTTTATACTTCATAGTATCAAAATGGTTCTTGAAGCTTTCGATGGGTACCTAAATGTAAATGACCTTCAACTTGACATTGCCAACCCATCTTGCTATGTACAATTGTCTCTGCAACTATAACTTGTCCTAAAAAAAAGTCAAATTTGAAAATGTTTAAACATTTAATTAGCCACTCCCCTCTGTCAGATGATTTCTCATTCATTGGGGAATACAGGTTCTCTACAATGAACAACTTGTATGTGATCTGATGGATATAAGGCACATTTGAAGAAATGGGGACCTATTGAAATATAATTAGAACCTGCTCTTGAGCCTTAGGCCAGGAGTTAAACACAATTGATGCATTATGTTTGCTTTCAGAGTTCTGCATGTTTTACATTTTATAATTGCTATATACTTTACAATAGGACAACATTTGAACCTTGTATAAAAATATGGGCCATATTTTAAAACCAAAATGGTTTCTGAATTATTATACTTTTTAATTTTATTCTGTTTCACTTTTTCAGCACATTTACTTTATTCGCTGAGTTTATTGGTACAAAGATATGTTTGTAATCCACTGTGTTGACGTATGCCAGCATATAATATTTTCAACACATGATTACCTGACCTCCAATTAAACCATATAAGCAAATATTGTGCTAAGAGCAAAAAGATTAAATTTTTTGCTCTATATAGTTCAGTCTCAGTTAAATGATTTAGTATGGGATGCAATACTTTGTACAATACATAAAATCTGTATTAAATAGCATTTGTAATACATAATACAATATTGCAATAATCATTAAAAGCATATATTACCAGCATTAATGCTCTTAAATGCAGTGTTACACTATGAAAAGTGTTTTTGCATGCATTACTTTTATAACAATGGGGGGGATTTATTAAAATGATGCAAAAGAGGTCGTTTTTAGAGGAATATGGGTTGTAGTTTATTGAGGGGGGGTAGGGATTTTAATTTGTAGGGGATACGGGAGGTATTTGTAGGGGATACGGGAGGTATTTAAAAAAAAAAAGTTGTTAAAGTTGACTATTCCCTCTCATTTAGCTTACATTTTGTCACGTTTGTTGGAATTCGTGTTCTTTTGTCCCCTCTGTAGCACACAAAGGGTTAAAAAAAAACTTTAGTCCAGTATAACTTAAGGTCTAAATAATATTTCAGTCAATGTTATACATGAAAGGTGAGAACTTGTCCAAACCATTTTTCACAAAAACAGAAACTTTTTGAACATCTGAATTTCCAAAGAATGACGGCCTGACTCGGCAGAATTTCGGTACCAAAAACCAGATTCAAGAACTGTATCAAACAAACTAACATAGTGGCAAAATTGGTCAATCAGTGTACTGAAAATATATATTTAATATCATATCATGGGTATATTTCGCAGCACACTGGTAAGTGCATTTTCCCACCATTTGGTTCATAGGTCAAGTCAGAAAAAGTAACTAAGAAGAAAAAACAGGAGCAAAAAAAAACCAAACTATTTTTTTCCCTCTTTTTCTCACTTCTCACTTGTTCTTTAAATTCATCATTTAGAGACTGTATCCTAGACATCAATAATCTTTTTTTTTTTTTCATCAATAATTTCTTTTTGGCAGCATGCTCAGTTTTCAGAATTGTGAACTGAAATGAAGATGCTCGTTCAGTGCGTGTTTTGGTTGGTTTGGTTACATTTCAGGTCACTGTTCTGGAATGCCACCACTCACCTGATTGACCCAAATTCAGATACATTTGCAGTTTGAACCGAAACGAATCACCAAGTCTAATCAATGTTAATTTTTGTAATAAGTTCTTAATAAGGGTATAATCTGTGGGCGTGTCCATTGAGCTGCTTGGGACAGTATCATCCAGCAATCAAAAGGCCAGAAAGGTTTAACATTGTTGGCCTGAGAACACTGTAAACAAGTCTGAAAATCATCACTTCAGCACCCGTTCATATAGTTATTACAATAAAAGCAACAACAAAAAATAGTCTGTAAATAATTGAACATTTTCTAAAAAGAAATTATTAAAAAACACATTAAAGCAATATCTGCATTATATCAAAGTTGTTTTGTATCTGTCTTTTAATAATTAAGTCAATTGATGGCAGTTTGAAGAAGCTGTTGAGAGCAACTGACATGTCCCAAACTTGGGTCATTTGTGATAAACACCCCATCTGAGCATAGCTCTGTGACATGCTCAGTCTGATCCTAGTAGAGATTTCTGACATGCACTGGTGCAAACACAAAGTGCTTATGGAGCTTAGACTGACCCTATTAATATATGACAGGTGCACAGTCGGATTAACCGGTATATGCGCTAACCTTACCCTGAACCCCATTAAGACACAGACACAGGTTATGCTGTTGGAAATATTAGTCCACAGCTTTATTAATTATTAATTAATTAAACAAATAAATAACAAATAGGGTCATTGCCAACAAATATTATTAAAGCCAACATGCCCCCATATACAGTTGCAAGAAAAAGTATGTGAACCCTTTGGAATGATATGGATTTCTGCACAAATTAGTCATAAAAAGTGATCTGATCATCATCTAAGTCACAACAATAGACAATCACAGTCTGCTTAAACTAATAACACACAAATAATGAAATGTTGCCATGTTTTTATTGAACACACCATGTAAACATTCACAGTGCAGGTGGAAAAAGTATGTGAACCCTTGGAATTAATAACTGGTTGAACCTCCTTTGGCAGCAATAACTTCAACCAAACGTTTCCTGTAGTTGCAGATCAGACGTGCACAACGGTCAGGAGTAATTCTTGACCATTCCTCTTTACAGAACTGTTTCAGTTCAGCAATATTCTTGGGATGTCTGGTGTGAATTGCTTTCTTGAGGTCATGCCACAGCATCTCAATCGGGTTGAGGTCAGGACTCTGACTGGGCCACTTCAGAAGGCGTAGTTTCTTCTGTTTTAGCCATTCTGTTGTTGATTTACTTCTATGCTTTGGGTCATTGTCCTGTTGCAACACCCATCTTCTGTTGAGCTTCAGCTGGTAGACAGATGGCCTTAAGTTCTCCTGCAAATGTCTTGATAAACTTGGGAATTCATTTTTCCTTCAATGATAGCAATCCGTTCAGGCCCTGACGCAGCAAAGCAGCCCCAAACCATAATGCCCCCACCACCATACTACACAGTTGGGATGAGGTTTTGATGTTGGTGTGCTGTGCCTTTTTTTCGCGACACATAGTGTTGTGTGTTTCTTCCAAACAACTCAACTTTGGTTTCATCTGTCCAGAGAATATTTTGCCAGTACTGCTGTGGAACATCCAGGTGCTCTTGTGCAAACTGTAAACGTGCAGCAATGTTTTGTTTGGACAGCAGTGGCTTCCTCTGTAGTTGTTTAGTGTTTTACGTATTGTAGATTCGCTAACAGGGATGTTAGCATTTGCCAGTGACTTTTGTAAGTCTTTAGCTGACACTCTAGGATTCTTCTTCACCTCATTGAGCAGTCTGCGCTGTGCCCTTGCAGTCATCTTTACAGAATGGCCACTCATAGGGAGAGTAGCAGCAGTGCTGAACTTTCTCCATTTACAGACAATTTGTCTTACGGTGGACTGATGAACAGCAAGGCTTTTGGAGATACTTTTATAACCCTTTCCAGCTTTATGCAAGTCAACAATTCTTAATCGTAGGTGTTCTGAGATCTCTTTTGTGTGAGGCATCATTCACATCAGGCAATGCTTCTTGTGAAAAGCAAACCCAGAATTGGTGTGTGTTTCTTATAGGGCAGGGCAGCTGTAACCAACACTTCCAATCTCATCTCATTGATTGGACTCCAGTTGGCTGACATCTCACTTCAATTAGCTCTTGGAGATGTCATTAGTCTAGGGGTTCACATACTTTTTCCACCTGCACTGTGAATGTTTACATGGTGTGTTCAATAAAAACATGGCAACATTTCATTATGTGTGTGTTATTAGTTTAAGCAGACTGTGATTGTCTATTCTTGTGACTTAGATGATGATCAGATCACATTTTATGACCAATTTGTGCAGAAATCAATATAATTCCAAAGGGTTCACATACTTTTTCTTGCAACTGTACATAACATACCCCTGGCAATAACCCCCAATAATATCAATCTAATTAACATATTACATATAACAGAAACAGGCCATCCAATATGACAACATTTCCACAAGATTAAATTGTAGGGGTGTACCAAGACACCGCTACGCGCACAAGTTCAATTGTAGGGGTGTACCTATGCACCGCTACACCCCCAGGTTCGGAGCCAGCAATGTAACACTGCCTAATCCACACTAAACCTCCGGATGCCCACTTCCTCCTTCATCTACCCCCCGATTTAACCTGGCCATTCCCTGCCGCTGTGAAAAAAATGGAAAATGTTATAACCTAACCAAAGTCAGGGAGGGTGGGAGGGACAACTGACAGGTAAGGTTTAGGTTTAGTTAAGATGGCCACCTCACAAAATGGCTGGTAGAAATACTCCCATACTGGCTCTGCCCCACCCAGCTTGCCAGCTGTCACTTAACTTCCCTTGGCTGTTATGTCTACCTCCTGACTCTATGAATGCCCACTCCACTAGCTGTGCTGATCCATGGGCTACATTACAGCTTCAAGCCCTTATCTTGGCTTAAAACAGTGGCTTTATTTTTACATCATTTGATGAAATGCCTTACCAAAATTAATAGACCTAATTATCAAATATTTGCTCACAAAGCTTGCAAATAAAGCACAAACTATTTAATCCTTTTTTTTTTTCTTGACCAAAGCATTTCAGTTGTCGTACTAATTTTTATTTATTTTTTTTTTATGGTAAAACACACAAATGCAGAGGGGCATTGTATAAAGTTGGCTTTTTATGAATGGCAAATAGAAAACATAAAAAAAAAAAAAAAAAGAGCTGACAACGTAATAATCGTATATGTAATCTTACTGCAGTTTCAAAAGGAGAAACTACTTTTGTAGAGGTTGTGACATTACTGTACTTCGTAACATAGGGTGTATAGGTCATATCCACCAAAACCACTAATGCATTCTATTGCTAAAATTACACAAGGAAAATTTTATTAAATTGAACTTGTGTTTGCAATTTCAACTAAGCAATGTATATACATTTCCACATCTACTCAAAGCGTACCTTGTCCTCCACACATTTTGTGAAAGTAGAATAAATACCATATAGTTAAAAGTGAATTGTCACTTCTCTGGATTTTTACCTTATACTTACTTATCGCTATATTAAACATATATGTGTTTGTGAAGTTATGCAAATAAATTAAATGTAGAAAGCCGTACCTCCTTATCCTGCAACTGGGCACTTCCACCTTGTCCAGCCATTCGGATAATCTCCTCTAATTGATTACCATGTGCATCTGAAAGAGGGAGAATACAGGGATGAGGAGCAATTACATAATGTTTCAATATTGTTTGCAAGGTTTTGTCTTGTCTGAACTCGATTATAATGTTAAATGCTAAATATTTAATATAAAAAAAATGGAGCATCTGGTGAAAAAAAGGTTATCGGTTAAAGTCATTCGTTATCAGATAATCATTCAATCGCAGAATTTTCAGAGTAGAGGCAGATCCACTTGTATGTTGCAATGTTACCTTAATTAACCTTTGCTGCCGACTGATTCGAATTCTTGGTACAGCATGCATGTTAGGCAAACATGAATTTATTAGTACACAGGCAAGTACTGCTCAGGTCTGCCATCAAGTGAATACTTGAGGTACTACTGCTCATTACTTTCAAAGGAACACTCCAGTCACAGCAAAACTACAGCTTAATGCAGTGGTTATGGTATATATAGCCTGTCCCCGCAGGCTTTTCAATGTAAACACTGCCTTTTCATTGCTGCCTTGTAACACCCGTTACGGCTGTCACTCACCATGGCATTTTGGCATGCATGCCATTTGTGGTAAAACACACAAATGCAGAGGGGCATTGTATAAAGTTGGCTTTTTATGAATGGCAAATAGAAAACATTAAAAAAAAAAAAAGAGCTGACAACGTAATAATCGTATATGTAATCTTACTGCAGTTTCAAAAGGAGAAACTACTTTTGTAGAGGTTGTGACATTACTGTACTTCGTAACATAGGGTGTCTAGGTCATATCCACCAAAACCACTAATGCATTCTATTGCTAAAATTACACAAATTTTTTTTAATTAAATTAAACTTGTGTTTGCAATTTCAACTAAGCAATGTATATACATTTCCACATCTACTCAAAGCGTACCTTGTCCTCCACACATTTTGTGAAAGTAGAATAAATACCATGTAGTTAAAAGTGAATTGTCACTTCTCTGGATTTTTACCTTATACTTACTTATCGCTATATTAAACATATATGTGTTTGTGAAGTTATGCAAATAAATTAAATGTAGAAAGCCGTACCTCCTTATCCTGAAACTGGGCACTTCCACCTTGTCCAGCCATTCGGATAATCTCCTCTAATTGATTACCATGTGCATCTGAAAGAGGGAGAATACAGGGATTAGGAGCAAATACATAATGTTTCAATATTGTTTGCAAGGTTTGCTGTAATTTTGTCTTGTCTGAACTCGATTATAATGTTAAATGCTAAATATTTAATATAAAAAAACATGGAGCATCTGGTGAAAAAAAGGTTATCGGTTAAAGTCATTCGTTATCAGATAATCATTCAATCGCAGAATTTTCAGAGTAGAGGCAGTTCCACTTGTATGTTGCAATGTTACCTTAATTAACCTTTGCTGCCGACTGATTCGAATTCTTGGTACAGCATGCATGTTAGGCAAACATGAATTTATTAGTACACAGGCAAGTACTGCTCAGGTCTGCCATCAAGTAAATACTTGAGGTACTACTGCTCATTACTGTCAAAGGAACACTCCAGTCACAGCACAACTACAGCTTAATGCAGTGGTTATGGAATATATAGCCTGTCCCCGCAGGCTTTTCAATGTAAACACTGCCTTTTCATTGCTGCCTTGTAACACCCGTTACGGCTGTCACTCACCATGGCATTTTGGCGTGCATGCACAATAGCCTGCCAATGCTTTCCTTGATGATAAAAAAAAACAGGGTCCGGAAGCCTAAGTATTTATTTCAGAACTATAGTGTTAGGAATACATGTTTCTATTCCTACCACTATAACGTTCCTTTATGGTTTTATGGTTACCCCTTCAATGCACATTTTTTTAATGATAATTTTATTGTAAATAATGATACAATATATAGGTTAATGAGCTTATAATTTCTTTCACAGCCCTCAAATTAAAGACATTCAGTATGGAAGAGACGTTAAACATGGTAGAGCATCGGACTGATTATTACCACACCAGTGACCTAGTGGTGAGAAGAGGACAACCTTTCATAGTGAACATCACCTTTAACAGACCTTTGCAGAAAGGAGACAAGGTGGAATTCATTGCCGCCACAGGTACTGGGATAAGACCCAATTTAAAACAACAACAAAAAAACAGTTTAAGGGTCGTTAATGTTTTTTTTTTTCTGTTCTACGTGGCTTCTCGCATAGGCGGTGCCTGCAAGCATAGAAGCTCATTATGTCCGTCCATCGTTGTGTGCTAACGATGGACATTTATGCACAGAACTGACATTAGTCAATCTGGAACAGAGTTTAAGGTGTCTTTCAATCAAACATCTAGGGATTTCTTTTTACATAGACAGATAAAAGAACTCACAAACTAATAACTAACTTTTTTAACTAATTTTTTTCTTATCTTACAAGGGGCTGGCTGCACTCACCTGAACATGCTTAAATTGGGTGCTGCTGGGGGCCAATAAGTACCGTAAAAATTTAAATCCAGCGCACTCCCTTATCTACTAAACAGCTACTTTGCTGCTGACAGATTTGGCTAGTTTTATTGAAAACACCTAATCTAGGCAAAAAATAATGGGGGTTTAGTTACATTATATGATCATACATTGCATAAGCCTGCCACAACATCTATGTACCCCATCTGTTAGCACCAAAGTAGCTGTTTAGTAGATAAGGGAGTGCGCTGGATTTTCATTTTTACTTTCTTATCTTACAACACACAAGTATAACATTACGTTTTACCATTTATTTTCAAGAGAAAACATCTGCTGTAGTGCTCATCGTGCCAGGAGCATTCTGGCGCCCACAAAGAGTCATTTATCAAATTGTTTTAGAATGGTTTGAAAACTTATCTGGGTCTTCCTGATCACGTGCCACAAGCAGGCTGTATTCATTGAGCTAAATCATGGCCAATACAGGTCCCTGCATGAACCTGTCAAACTCAGTTGAACTAACTGGATTCACATGCAAGAAGAATCCAAAAGAAAGTATTGCAGATTGGGGTGCATTGCAGGATGCTGTTAAATTGTCAAACCATTCTTTAGCAGTCTGACAAATTACATTGGGAGGGCACCAAGGCACTCCTCACACCATGACCACTATCTCCTTTAAAATCTTAGGTAAACCATGGTTGTAACATGACATATGACTCTGAGACATCCAGCATTACTTATCTGGTATATCAAAACTGACCACCATGTTACCATTACCATTTGTAAAAGTTGAAAAGAATTTAATGTACCAATAAATTACTATAGCAATAACAAAGTTGCAATGAATATGTTGTTCTCCACTATGCCACTATAAGGCACACAACTATGTGCAGTCCTCTGGACTCCACTAATAACAAGTTGGAGGCTCATACTATAGGTTTGTATCCCATTCTTCACTTAATTGACAGCAAAGTAAAGGAAAATACATTGCATTAGAGATGTTCAGTCTCATGGGCCCCCTTAATATTTGCGTAATAGGGCTCAGGCAATGCCAGTCTCCTGGACCATTTATTTAACAAAGTCCAATGGAGACACTCAATCTCCTGAGCCCTTTATTTAATGAGGCTCAAGAGGATCCAGGACATTCCCAGTATTCTTGATAATTTATATAATAATATCCAAGAAGATAAGAAGATACGAGTAATCATCTTTTACCACAAATTTAGCTTATGGACAGTTATTGCCCATACCCTGACTGCTAATGGTGCCCAGTCCTGAACCACCTCCTGAAATATATCCTTATCTACCTTCTTCGCAGTAATAGTAAGGAATGGATACATATATCTATAATAAATATTTAAAAAAAAAAATCAAGTATAAATTTCTGCAAGGAAAAGAAAGAAGAAGAAATGCATTCTAACCCATCAAAATTAATTTTTATTTATTTATTGTTTTAATTTGCAAAAAGCTCTGGAAAAACAATGTAGAGCTCCAAAAATCATGAATCTAAACCAGGGTTCGACAAATCCCAGGCCGCCCGCCTACACGACCAACCAGTTTGCAGCCCGCCTCCATGACCCCCCCAACATGCTGCCCACCCGCCCAATCCCCGTTGAATCTAAGTTTAAAAAAAAATCTGGCTCTTAACTTTTTTAGCTTGTTCCTAGATTTAAAGCAAAGTTGTCAAGCCCTGATCTAAACCTATCAAAGGGCTACATGCCGACTGTGTATTCAAGAGAATTTCAAAAAGTAAGTTTAAACAGTTTTTTTTTTTTTCTGTTATTTTAACTTTATTTAGCTTTTATAAAGGCCCTCCCATGCTCTGAATATCAATATGTCAGAATGTAGGTAAGTCAAACTGTTTTAGTACAGATTGACAACTTATCTGGGGGATATTTTAGTACAGATTGACAACTTATCCAACAGGCTCTTCCTTCTTTGCTGCCCGCAAGCTCCCTGCACTAAGCCAAGTCCAATGGTGGAGGATTTAGATCATTGGCTGAGAGCACTTAGCTGATGCGCCTGGCAATGAGCTGGCCTTACATGTCAGGGTTTAGGGCAGTAAAAAATGGGATCTGCAGAGACTTGACAATTGCAAATATATAAAAGATAAAATGAAGATATCAGTGGATGTTAAAATTAAGTACTGTGCCTTTAAGAAATGGGAAATTAAAAACTGGAGTTATAAAAATACAAAATACAAATCAGAAATAGTAGATAAAACTGGTAGAAATTGGGGTGAAGGTAGCAAAATGGTAAAATATGCACATAAAGGATGGGAAAAATAATAATGTAAGAATAAGAGAACTATTGAATCGGTTTGCAAAGAATGAATGTACAGTGTTAGTGTCTCTATCCCTGAAGGGTGCAGGATAAATGACACTTTCACTGAATAATATACTTTGTATCAGCAAAGATTAAAATATGTAAAGTATATGAAACTGTTTACTTAAAGCAATAAATGTATCGCTATAGACTGAAGTTAATTGCAGAAACTGGTTCAAATATAAAAAGCAGTTTATTAAACAATAAAAAATGATATATAAAAGTACATAAAATACAGATCAGGAACAGTTCATGATGGTATTACCAGTCTTATGAGAATCAAATGATGGTATGAACCCTCGGATCAGCTTAGGATGGATGTGGATTGAGTTGTGCAAACTCGCCTCCTGAATGCAGCTTCCGGTGAAGGACGTACACACAGACGCACGCTGGCCTCACTGGCAGCTGCATTCAGGAGGCGAGTATTAAGGTATTGTAAATGGGGTATGTCCAATCTTTTTTAAAAGCCTCTTAGTCACGAACACTGGCCAAAATTGGTGTTCAAATTAGTTTTTTAAATTTTTTACACACAAACAAATATGAACACTAACTTTGACCAATTTTTGTGACTAAGTGGCTAATAAAAAAGACTGGACATATCCCATTTGTAATACCTTGACTTGCCTACTTTTGCAAATGGTATGCCATCATGTGGGTAATTTTTAATCCTAGGCTACCATACGGTCTCAAAGGCAACATAACCAGCCTGGCAAATTTCAATGTACACTGAACAAAATTATAAATGAAACACTTTTGTTTTTGCCCCCATTTTTCATGAGCTGAACTCAAAGATCTAAGACTTTTTCTATGTACACAAAAGGCCTATTTCTCTAAAATATTGTTCACAAATCTGTCTAAATCTGTGTTAGTGAGCACTTCTCCTTTGCCGAGATAATACATCCACGTCACAGGTGTGGCATATCAAGATGCTGATTAGACACATGATTATTGCACAGATGTGCCTTAGGCTGGCCACAATATATATGATATATAATAAGTGTATGTGCACTTAATATGAAAGAGGTGAATTACAGTTGAACAGACATATAGCTCAAATTCCAGATTTTGTTTACATTTTGTTTTGATCAGAACGTGTACAATTACCTTCGTTCTTATGGGGTTAATATTTCTGAGGCTTGCTGTGCAACAAATTTCAATACAAATGAGAATTATTTTAATATATACATAATGTAAATACATGTATCAGAGGGAAAATAATGCCATCTTGTGTGAGACACCTATAAATCAGACAAAGAACAGAGACTCTCCAAAAATCATGCACTTGCTCTGTCTTTTCCTTAAAGGACCACTATAGGTATCCAGACTGCTTCAGCTCAATTAAGTAGTCTGGGTGCCAGGTCCTCCTAGTTTTAACCCTGTAGCTGAAATCATAGCAGTTTCAGATAAACTGCTATGTTTAGACTTCAGGGGGTAATCCAACCTCTTGTGGCTGTCTCCCTGACCCGCTTCTGCGATTTACACTGAGTAAATCGCACTCTTTTGACGCTGGACGTCCTCATGGAGTCCAGCGTCAAAAAAGAACCCCATAGGAAAACATTGAGTAATGCTTTCCTATGGGCGGGTTTGAATGCACGTGCGCCTCTGGCTGCGAATGTGCATTCAGCTCCACTTGGGAGCTGACGTCGGCGGGGGAGGAAAGGTTTTTGCAATGCCCGGTGCTGGATTAAGGTAAGTGGCTGGGATTTAACTCCTTCAGCAATGAGGGAGGGAGGCCCCGAGGGAAAGGGGCACTCCAAGAACCTATAATGCCAAGAAAACAGGTTCTCTTTTCCTGGCACTATAGGATCCATTTAAATACACACACACAAACTCAAACACACCCTACCTGGAAGGAAGTTTATCATAGCTGTTAAGAACTGGTAAAACAAGAAGAATGTATTTTAAACAGATATCTATATGATAAAATCTATTTGACACATACATGTCTCAAATTCTGTCAGTAACATAAAGATTTGAAAATGAATGTCTCAGTTCATGTGTACATCAATCAGTATACCATAATAATACTCTATTTCTTACACATACAAATGTGTTCACTTTCGTTTCTGCTCACTCGTTCAAAACCACATTGATTGACCATGTAACCATTGACTTTTTATCTCCACCCAGTGTCACTGCCTGTCTCCACTGCTGATGAAGTAGAGCCGACAGCTCCTAACCCATGCTAGCAAATTGGCCGAATGCATCAGCTGATCAATCTCAGCCAATGAGCAAAGCCCTACACTGCAGGAATTATGTCAGACAGAGAGCTTTAGGCAGAACCCAGATAACGATGTCAAACTGTTCTAAAATATTTTGACTACTTGCAATAGGGGATGCATCAAATAATTCCACTCTTAGCACCATAACCACTACATTGAGCATTGTGTTAGGGTGCTTGGAGTGTTATAGAATTTGCATTATTCACTTAACCAGAATTGTGATATCCTTCCCTGCTTTTACTCATACCATCACTCATTGTACAAAGTGTGTGAGAAGGACAGCATATAATACTGTAATTATCAAAGCGTATACACAGAGTATGTGGATAACATTATAAGGACTACAAAATTATTTTATACATAAAATGTTTCCATGATAACTTGAATCTTTTTCTACATGGTTCTCGGGCCTCATGAATTTGAATAACAAACAAAAACCTTGCATAACGTACATAGAAATATTTTCATTCTATCAGCCCTTCAACATATTTAAATTATTGCTATACTTGATATCTATATTCTTTGTGTTTCGTTCATAGGACCAGATCCTCAGGAGTCTGACCACACCAAGGTTGTCTTTTCACTCTCAGATTCTAGTGAAGTCTCCTGGACAGCTGTTCCAGATTCCAGCTCTTCACAGGATACAAGTGTGACAATCACAAGCCCGTCCGATGCTGTGATTGGCCGTTACAAGTTAAACGTGCATATCTCTTCCAAAAAGAAAAGGACGTACTATAAATTAAATAATGTTGTACTGCTATTTAATCCATGGGCTCCAGGTAAACCTGAGGATAATGTAAAAAAAAAACCTGCAGTATCTTAAATTTAAATATTTAAAATTGGATATTGATTAAAAATAAGTATTTTAGGAACATATTTCCCATAAAGTAGCTGTTTGGCAAACTGCCCCCAATATAAAGACATACAATATAACTGTCTCATTAACTGCATTGACACTGATTCTGCGACATTTTCCCATGCTTATTTTAGCTTTAAAAAATTTGTTTATACTCCTGATAAAAGCCAGCTTCCCGTGACATCAATGTAAATAGAATCTAATAAGGACCAGGGGTGAGGTCAACACATTTCATACACTTAACTTGCAACTCTTGTTCCTCTTTTTCATATCTTTTTCTCTCTTCTAATTTTTCTAACCTCACTGTCCCTTCTATATTTTCCTTCCTCTCTCCCTCTTTTACCTACAACCTCCACTAGTATCTTAGACCCAAGACCCTGCTTGGACATGAGATTTCATACCATATTTTATGGGAGTATTAACTAAATAGGTAATATTATGGTCAACGTTTGACCCTTGATACAGAGGAAGACCGTGCTGCTTAGCATGTTTGTACCATCCCTGGTTTTATGCGATATGTCTTTAAGTATATAACTCGTTCTGCAGATTTGTGCTACAATGTAATTACAGGACCCATCATTGTGACATGCTAAAGGAACTAAACTGGCTGTCGCTGGAATCCAGACGCACCCTTCATCTTTCCAGCCTTGTTTTTAAGAGCTTTTCTGGTAAACTCACACCCTACCTGAACAAAATGCTTTCCCCAGCTGTTCCCACTTTCTATAACCTCCGATCCAGTACAAGCACTTTACTTAGTCTACCTCAATACAAAAAGAAAGCGCCCGATCCTCCTTCTCCTACAGAGCACCGCAATTGTGGAACGACCTCCCGCACAATTTAAAATCTTCCCTAAGCCTAAAGTCTTTTAAGAGATCCCTCTCTACATACCTCAAAACAGAATGCACGTGTCATGGTTGATTATATATTTCCTGCCTGTTCTATGTTAAATTTTGTATATATTGTGTATTAATATTGTTTTTGTATTTTGTTGTACCTAATGTAACAATGCAATGATTTGTGGACCCAGGACATACTTGAAAACGAGAGAAATCTCAATGTATCTTTCCTGGTAAAATATTTTATAAATAAATAAATAAATAAATAAGTTATATTTTTTTTTATTGGATAAACATTTAAATAACGATTGTGAAAAAAATGTGTTAATAATTTAAAATAACATTCGACTAGAGAAGAATAAGCAGAAGATACTGAGGATGTCACTCAACTGTGTAAGTGGTACATGTTATTTATAGTCTGCTTGTCGTCATTCATAAATGTATTGCCAGTTGAATAAGGGTTTTACATGGAACCTTTTTACATGGAACCTTTTTACATGGAACATAACTTTTGTTGCTCATTTCTAGATGACGATGTCTTCATGGAGGATGAAAATGAGAGGCAGGAGTATGTGTTAAATGACAGTGGCACCATTTACTTTGGACTTGAAGATTATATTATGGAAGAGCCATGGAACTTTGGACAAGTAAGACAATTCAGTCCAAACTATTAAATAGGCAACGACTTTAACGTCAGAAGATACATTTGATTTTCAGATAATGTACATTTACATTCAACATGCTGACATCAATGTAGACCACCTAAAGGAGTAACTATGTGCAACAACTCATATTCTTTGGTAACCACTAGGTCTTTATTTAAACAATTTAAACATAACTGTTATTCAAGTTAGTCAAGAGTATTGTGGCATCAACCAATAGAATGCCAGGTTCAGCAGACGTTTTTACATTTCATAACTTACATAACAATAAGAAGGACACTGTAGGCACTATAACCATTTCATTCCCCCTGGCACTGTTCCTCCATTTAGTGTTAAATTATCTCCAAACAGTTTAACACTGAACAAGGTACCCTGGCTTCTCATAGGTATGCTTTCATTACAGGTTTCCTAAGAAAGAGGTTACCCACTTTTTATAGCCATATGGATTCATTTCTGCACCATACTTATTCATATATGGAGACTGTGATAGACTGGATGTGGTCAGCTGACACTTTCAGACAATTATAGTCTCCCACCGCTGTTCAATCTAATGCTTCCTCATTAGCAAGCAGCACAGAGGGACATGGGCTGTTGGGGACTGAAAGTAAATCTGTCAATTTTGGAGGTCTTTGCATTTTTTTCAGATCTCTGAAACAGACAGATCTAGTGTGGGACCGGGCAAGAGTAGTGAGTTTTACTTACCTCCGGCTGTCCCTCAAAGCCACCATGTGCGAGAGTACAACACTGAGGTCTATACTATGGAGGCTTATATCTTTATGAAATACTGAAAAGGGATAGATCCGCCATAAGAACAGTTCAGTGCTGCAATGGAAGAACTGCGCCAGGAAACTTCAGGCACTATAAGCACTTTTTATTACCCAAAAGGAATGTGGAGACAAGTGAGACTCCAATTGCAATAATGTCTTTATTAGCCCAACATAAAAACACAAATAATAACACTCACCAAATAAACTCTATCAATATCATATAAGTAAAAGGTACAGCGGGTCCGCTGCATCCAGTTTTCGAATGAAGGATCAGAGGCATTTTGTTATGATTTTGTTATGATTTCATGATTTTGTGGATCGATGTTTAGTTACTGTATGTGGGCATTATGTCCTCATACACACATAATGTCTACATTCTGATGATATTTTGGAAATCTACATTCCCAAAAATATGAGACATTATTATTTCTTGAATAGTATTGTATGGAAATAGAGATATATGGAATTCAAGTTGGAGCTTCCAAACTAATTTGTTTTACATCGTATCATGGCACATTCCAACTTCACCATGTATCTGCATGCACTTTGTATAAAACAATTAATGCACAGTCTGCCAAACACTTTTACACAACATCTGGATTGCCAACTAATAACCAAACCTTCTATAACATGTGTGAAGCTAAAATCAGTCAATACACCAGACAGTGTACCCAGATCAACTCAGTTGAGTATAGGGGTTCAAACCTGGAGCAAAAGCCATACAAGGCATTCAATAAAGTGAGAAAACAAAATGAATTAAAAGAAAATTAAAAATTTAAAGCCAGACTAGCCGAACTGAAAGCGTAGCTGACATAGAGATAGTTTTAAATTCGTCTATTTTGACTTTAAATTTAAAATTCACTTTGAATTCTCACCTTAATGAATAACCATGCTAGATGTATCTTTTTTTAAATGTCATGCTAATAACGAAATTGGACAATAAAAGATCATTACATCCAGTACCAGAAAGAGCTGTTGGAGTTAGAAGAAAATCCGACCATTTGTGCTAGTGAAAGAACAAGGCATGTTCTTATAAAAGTGTAATTTGGAGGTAGGTATGATCCAGGAGAATGTTTTGTTAATTGGAGTGCTAAACAGTGTCATGTTTTATTTTTACAGTTTGAGGAAGGAATTCTGGACATTTGTCTAAAGATCTTAGATAACACTGTACATCACCAGCAAGATCCAGTTCTAGACTACTCTAAGAGGAATGACCCTATCTACGTGAGCAGGGTGCTTACTGCAATAGTGAGTACAACTTAGAAATACATTAATACATTTTATTCTTCTGTTCGTAAATAATTTTAGCAGTGTATCTTTTATATTCACAAAGTAAATATCATATAGAATTTCATTTGATGTATGCTATGCGTTAACCTGGAACAAAACATTTTACGGTTCTTTAAGTAGCAAGTGAGCATGGATAAATAGCAATGCTCTGGATTTCTCATGCCCACCGATATATGCCAATAACCTTGCTGTGGTCTCTAGGACTTTTTGAGAAGGTATTGTTTAAAAAAATCTTGGTGATGCATGTATACAATTTTGCTGTTTAGGAAAATAATCTGGGCTAATAATATACACCCATATACAATAAAAAATGCAATCATATCTTTTTTACATTGGCACAGGATTATAATGTTAATGCATGATGTAGATACCACAATAACAAAACATTGAAACCCCAGTAATGGCTTTTATCAGTTTTTATTTCACGTCAAACATACTCAAATAAAAATGTAAAACATCTTCACTGTTATGTTGGAATAATTAAGACATTAAAGGACCACTATAGTGCCAGGAAAATATACTCGTTTTGAGACAGCCGCTAGAGGCTTTCAGCTTAATGAAGTGGTCTGGGTGCCTAGAGTGGTCCTTTAAATGAACACAATATGGTCAGGATCACAAACCTGTATTATTGACCCTAGATTGTTAAAAACCACCATTTAGATGGCTTGCCCCCCACCCGGTCCCCTTAGAAGGGGTTAAAACGTATCTTATTTCCAGCGCTGCGCGTGTGCACCAGTGCTGGCCCCGCCCCCAATCTGCTTCCTTGGTGACATCATCAGAATTTTTAGCCAATCCAATGCTTTACCATAAGGTATGGATACAGTTTGTTACTTTTGGATACATTTATAATGGTACACATCATTACGATGTGGGATCTGGTCGTGTATCCTGTCCCGTAACACCACATCTTTAAGAGTTAGGGGGTACTAAGGTGGACCGCTTAACCTCATCTACCTTAAAGGACCACTATAGTGCCAGGAAAACATACTCGTTTTCCTGGCACTATAGTGCCCTGAGGGTGCCCCCACCCTCAGGGACCCCCTCCCGCCCGGCTCTGGAAAGGGGAAAGGGGGTAAAACTTTTTCCAGCACTGGGCGGGGAGCTCTCCTTCTCCGATCCTCCCATTCGGCTGAATGCGCACGCGCGGCAAGAGCTGCACGCGCATTCAGCCAGTCCAATAGGAAAGCATTTACAATGCTTTCCTATGGACGCTTGCGTGCTCTCAATGTGATTTTCACAGTGAGAATCACGCAAGCGCCTCTAGCGGCTGTCAATGAGACAGCCACTAAAGGCTTTGGAGGAAGGATTAACCCATTTATAAACATAGCAGTTTCTCTGAAACTGCTATGTTTATAAAAAATGGGTTAACCCTAACTGGACCAGGCACCCAGACCACTTCATTAAGCTGAAGTGGTCTGGGTGCCTAGAGTGGTCCTTTAATGGTCAACTCTCACTTACCAGGTAAAAAAAAAAAAAAAGTTTACTTGTATCTATATTTAGAAAATATGTATTTGTGAGTTGCAAAACAATAAAATGAAATTTAGAAACCATACCTATTATCCTGCACTCCGTATGCATTCCAAGCTGGAATGCACAGAAAACCACACTGGATAATGCCGCGTCACTTCCTTGATGACAAGTGCATTCCAGGGTGGTTACAGGAAGCCACCAATTGCACACACCAGGAAGTAATTTATTATCAGACTGTATATAAAAACGGAACTTGTGAGGACTTCACTACACTCTTGAAGAAGCCTTGGACAGGCAAAACGCGTTAGTGGAACCCTCTGAAGCTACCTACCACTGTTTTTAGTACTTTTTTGTTCAATAAATAGTAAATTTTATTACATATTTTACTTATTTACCTTTTTGTGTCATTTTACCACACTCCCTCTAGCATGTAAGCTCATTGAGCAGGGCCCTCAACCCCTCTGTTCCTGTGTGTCCAACTTGTCTGGTTACAACTACATGTCTGTTCGTCCACCCATTGTAAAGTGCTGCGGAATTTGACGGCGCTCTATAAATATCATAATAATAATAATAATAATTATTATTTATTTTTATTTCCTGGCACCATCATATCCTTAGGTGGGGATTATACCACCCATGCTGTATACACTAGAGCAAGTTCTGCTCTAGTAAATGTAGGTACATTAATTGATTTTTCTTTTACACCCAACAGTACTTACTTCACCATAGGAGTATTTTTCTGTATTTTTCCATATTTGTCCTGCACACTGCATCCTATTTGAGACGACCAAAATAATTGTATACATATATATTTATATACTATTTGGGTCTCCTACCATCTCTCTGTTTCACATTCCTTTACTCACAAGGTTTGGGAATCCTTGTACTGGTTACTGCAGCCCACAGCTATCCTATATTTTTATAGTGAGCGCCTCTTAGTTTCGTTTACAGATGTTGGACAATGATTGCTGGATTTCTCATAATTCCAGGAAGTGCCCACAAGCCAACTTTTGAACATTTTGTTGGATTTATTTGGGGCCATGTCATAACCAGCCTAAAACCTGATTGCTTAGCTTCATAGAATTGTCCTACTGGCTAGCATGCCTTTCTATCCATGATGACAGACTGGTGGCAGCCCATGGTGCCTGTGTATGGTGGTGGAAGAGGAGGAGGCAACTGTACATAATTGTTGCAGACAGATTGCATTTACACAATACTATGAGGGCTTGCCAACTATTGAAGCAGGAGCAAAAGAAGACAGGGCTTCTCACACAACATTTATGATGGGATGTCAGCACATGGTGGAACTCCACTTTAGACATGCTGGGAAAAAAATTTGGAACAGCAAAGTGCGCTCCATTGGAGTTGACTCCCCACTGGGGGAGTAGGGGGTGAGGACTCAACAATAGGGCAAGCTAGTGTCAGTTCTTATTTTGTTTAAGGATGTGACAGAAACTTTGAGCTACAGTATTGCTAGTTTGGGACTTGTCATCCCCTTGTAAACCCACCTCATTAAAAAATATAAATACATTAAATTACTCCCGCTGTGGCTGCTACTCCCCCCTTTACAACTTTTCAAATGATGTATTTCATTGTAGTGGTTTCACTCTGCCTGGCTTGCCACATCTGCTACCTCCACAAATGTAGTGTGGCTTCAAATTCAAATATTTTTTTCTAAATTTCTAAAAGTATGCTTGCTTTGGCCTTGTAGTAATGTTTTCAAATACACTTTAGGTAATTCAGGATTGGCATTGCATGCTTGGCTGATTATGCATAGCTATTAGTCCATGCAATATTGTTATCATTTTTGCATGTTTTCTTTCTCAATTAATTTTTTTTGGTAATGAAATTCTGCTGAGGTTAACCGTGGCATAGACTGACTTCTGCCATTTTTTTGGACAAAAGCATTCGGAAGAATCTAATTTCTCCACAATGCACAAGCTTAGTTTTAAGGCCATAAATAACAAGACATGTTTTCTGCATTTTTATTTTTAAAAAGGTTAATAGTCTGGATGAAGATGGACTGTTAGAAGGAAGATGGACTGGTACATATAGGGATGGGACAGATCCCCAAGAGTGGATTGGGAGTGTGGAAATCCTTCAAAAGTGGCAGAAATCAGGTTATAAGACTGTTAAATATGGACAGTGCTGGGTCTTTGCTGGAGTCCTGTGTACAGGTGACTATTACTTTAGAATTTGTTTACTAACCGTAAAATATAAATTTCCAATGTGTGATTGGATGTTTGGTGGTTATTTATTTTTTACCTTTGGCGAAGGTTTGTCAAACGAAAAACTGGTGCTGCTACATTGGGGCTAAATAAGAGTGAAAACAAATGGAATTTCTCTCAGTAGTTAGCTATTTGCACTCAAAAGAGAACCTGTGTTTTCCTTGATAAACATTCCTTTTTAAATTTGAAATGGGGGCTGTGCCTTACATTCTTAAAATTTAAGAAAATCATTACATTTGACCAAACAATAGACTTCTACATTTGTTTTTGGACTAAAGCCAATTTGTTTGAATTCTGGGCAATTTGTTTATTTGTCAGAAACATAAAGGAACAAACTGTGTCACTGGCAAAATAGGTTAGGAATTACTTGCTTGCCAAATGAAAACCGTCCATGCAATTCGTTATTTTTTTTAGAATGATTAGTCAGCTAAAGGAACACTATAAGGTCAGGAACACAAACATGTATTCCTGACCCTATAGTGTTAAAATCACCATCTAGTCCACCTGTCCCCCCTAAATATAATAGCATCTTACTTTTATTCCAGTCGGCTGGTGCTGGTGCCCTTGATCTGCCTGCTTGGCTGATATCATCAGAAGTGTTGATCTGAGCCATTCACAATGCTTTCCCACAGAATTGGCTGTGTTTGTCAAGGAGGCAGATCAGTGACAGTGCTAGCACAAGCCAAACACCAAGCCAAACACAGTGATGTATTGAATCAATGCATCACTATGAGGAAAGTTCAGTATCTCCATGCAGAGGGTGGAAACCCTGAATAGTAGTCACACTGTGCAGCACTGCCACAGGAAGCACCTCTAGCAGCCATCTGAGGAGTGGCTAGTGGAGGTATCCCTAGCTGTAATCTAAACAATGTTTTTTCTGTGAAAACTGTGTTTACTGCAAAAAGCCTGAAGGGAATGATTATACTCACCAAAGCAACAGTAAGCGGTAGTTGTTCAGGTGACTATAGTGTCCCTTTAGGTGGGACTGGTTCACAATTAAATATATAAACTCACCAATAGATGGGAAAATGCAGGAACATTTTTTATATTTTTTTTAAATACATTAGTGCAAAAATATGTGAAAAACATTTTATGTTTTATATTATAGTTTTTCGGGCATTGGGAATTCCAACCAGGGTGATAACAAACTTCTGTTCAGCTCACGATAAGGAGAAAAATCTGAGCATTGACACCATTTACAGCAGTACAGGGAGAAATAAGAGTAAAGATACAATGTGGTACGTAAAATATTCTTTTTAATTCCAACCATCATGAAAACAAATGCATATTTTGTAACACTGTGTCAGGGTACCTTTGGTGTCTACCTCGGAGGAGGTTAGACACCTAGACGTCCATCCTCCCAGGGGGGCTGACTCACCCGATCCTTGCACTCCTCCCGGTCGTTTACACGCCGGCCGCGATAGCTCCGCCTCCTTTTATGACGCGGCGCTCAGTAGCCGACGTCATGACGGCAATCACGTTCCGACCCGTCAATCACGGCAACCAAGTGCCGAACAACCAATCAGGACCCGTTGGGGGCGGAGCCAACAGTTAAAGAGCCAAGGTATAAAAAAGGGTTCTGTGGAATGATTCATTGCCCTGTCGTGGTTCTAGCTAGTCTGGTCACTCAGTGCAATTACCTCTATTGTCTTTTGGTTCCTGACTCGGCTTGTATTTTGACCCTGCTTTCCTCTCTTGTCCTTTTGACTCGGCTTGTCTCTCGCTTACCTGATCTCTCGTTCCCTCGACCTCGGCTTGTCTCTGACTATTCTTTTTGCTTTCTCCTTACGTTAGTCCGGCCATTCTAAGGTCCGGTATACGTACCTATCCCCTGTTTGTATTCTGCGTGTTGGATCCCTGTCACGATCCTGACATTACGACAGGGCCCATGGATCCTGCAGGTACAAACTCTCAGGTCGGTTCTCCTGACTCTAGATTTGAGGCCATGGATCATAGAATGGACCAGATGGCTCTAGCTCTGCAAGCATTGCTATCTCGTCCTAGTAGTCACTCAGAGGAGATGCGTACCCCATCTATCTCTCCTATAAGTACAGGCCTAGAGGTAGCCACAGTGGCTACTTCTTCCCGTGTTACGTCCCCGTCACGCTATGGCGGCGCTCCTGACACTTGTCGAGGTTTTTTAAACCAGATAGGTATTCATTTTGAATTACAACCCCACGCCTACCCTACTGACAGGGCAAAGGTTGGATTCATAATTACCTTGCTCATTGACAAGGCACTTAGATGGGCTAACCCCCTGTGGGAAAATGATAACCCGTTAGTTTATAATTATAATGCTTTTGTCGCTGCATTTAGGAGAGCTTTTGACCCTCCAGGAAGAAAGGCCAATGCAGCTAGACTACTGTTACGTCTTAGACAGTATAACCGAACCCTAGTGGATTATGCCTTGGAGTTCAGATCCTTGGCGGCAGAGGTCAAGTGGAATGAACAGGCTTATATGGATGTATTTATGAACGGGTTATCTGATGAGATTTTAGATGAGGTGGCCACAAGAGATCTTCCTGAAAATTTGGAGGATCTGATTTCATTTATTTCCCGAATAGATGAACGTATGAGACAGAGGCAGAATATTCGGGATAGAACCCGCAGATCCTCCATAAGACTAGCTCCCTCATTTCAGACTTCTGATTCTACTACTTTAGCTCTCCCAGAACCTATGCAAATAGGTAATACTCGACTCTCAGAGGAGGAAAGACAGTACAGGAGAAGGGAGGGTCTTTGTATGTATTGCGGAATTAGAGGTCACCTACGCCTAAATTGCCCTAACCGGCCGGGAAACGCTCGCACCTAAGTTTCTCAAGAGGACAGGCCTTGGGTGTTTCTATCTTGTCCTCTATTTATGATTATAAAGATCATAGGCTTCTGATACCTGTTTCTTTAGCTTGGGAAAAGGGAGTACTTAATGCTATGGCTTTGATAGATTCCGGAGCAGCTGAAAGCTTTATTGACCAAGCCTTTGTCACTAACCATTCTATCCCATCTCAGCTAAGGGATACACCCTTGGCCGTTGAGGCCATAGATGGTAGACCATTATCTGAACCTGTGATTTTTCGTGAAACCATACCAATTAAGTTAACCACTGGTATCCTTCACGAGGAAAGAATATCCCTCATGCTGATCTCATCTCCTTCAGTTCCTATAGTCTTGGGGTATCCCTGGCTTAAGAAGCATAACCCTATCATTGACTGGGAACTGGGTGAGATAGTCTCCTGGGGTCAGGGTTGCCAGAAAGGATGTGTGCAGAAAGTCTCACCAATTTGCAGGGTTGACGCCCCGGTTAACTCTTCCCAACCTACAGATTTACAGATACCATCACAGTACCAGGATTTAAAGGCAGTCTTTGACAAAAAGAGGGCTGATACTTTACCTCCACATAGGTCTTTCGACTGTAAAATTAGACTCCTACCTGGTACTATGCCTCCGAGGGGTACGGTATATCCTTTATCCACTAAGGAAAACTTAGTCCTAGAGGAGTACATACGTGAAAACCTAGACAAAGGTTTTATTAGGAGATCATCTTCTCCGGCCGGGGCCGGTTTCTTTTTTGTAGATAAAAAAGACGGCACTCTACGGCCTTGCATTGATTATCGGGGCTTGAATAAGATAACTGTTAGAAATGCTTATCCTATTCCTTTAATTACTGAGCTCTTTGATCGACTGAAAGGCTCCAAGATTTTTACCAAGTTAGATTTGAGGGGAGCTTATAACTTGGTGAGAATTCAGCAGGGAGACGAATGGAAAACAGCTTTCAATACCCGTTATGGCCACTATGAATACACGGTAATGCCCTTCGGGCTTTGCAATGCACCTGCAGTATTCCAGGACCTTATTAATGAGGTTCTTAGGGAATTTCAGCATGAATGCGTTATAGTATATTTGGATGATATACTAATACACTCTAGAGAGATTGAGACTCACCACAGACAAGTCAGAAGGGTACTGCGCAAACTGTTACAACATGGATTGTACTGCAAATTGGAAAAGTGTAGCTTCGACCAATCTCAGATAAACTTTCTTGGCTACGTTATTTCTGGAGACGGATTTAGGATGGACCCCATTAAACTCCAATCGATTTTAGATTGGCCATTGCCCAGGGGACTCAAGGCCATTCAGAGATTTATCGGATTTTCCAATTATTATAGGCGCTTCATTAAAGGTTACTCTTCTATTATTGCTCCTATTACTAATATGACTAGACAGGGGCTGATACCAAGACTTGGTCCACAGAGGCTCTCTCTGCTTTCAAAACTCTCAAGGAACATTTTGCCTCAGCACCGATATTAGTTCATCCTGACACATCTTTGCCTTTTTTACTCGAGGTTGACGCCTCGGAGACAGGTATAGGCGCTATCTTGTCCCAAAGGCTAGGTTTGGATAAACCGTTACATCCTTGTGGTTTTTTTTTCAAGAAATTATCTGGGCCTGAAAGTAGATATGACATTGGTGATAGGGAACTGTTAGCGGTCATTATGGCTTTAAAGGAATGGAGACATTTGTTGGAGGGGACATTATACCCAGTTACTATTTTGACTGATCACAAGAATTTGTCCTACATAGGGGAGGCCAAGCGCTTGTCCGCCAGGCAAGCTCGTTGGTCCTTGTTTCTGACACATTTCAATTACGTGCTCACTTATAGACCTGGTTCTAAGAACTCTAAGGCAGATGCATTGTCCGGTCAACATGAACCTTCTACGGTGTCTGAAGCAGCTTTGTCTTCTATCGTTCCCAAGTGTAATATTATTGCCAACACATGTGTCAGGATACACTCGCCGTTGCTTGCTGAGATCAAGAAAGTACAACATCTAGCTCCCAAACCTGTTCCTGGGGATCGATACTTCGTTCCTCCTGAGCTCCAAGTGGAACTGCTGCATTGCTTTCATGACAGTAAAATTGCTGGGCACCCCGGCATACGCAAAACGTGTTCCCTGATTTCTAAAGATTTCTGGTGGCCTTCCCTTCGTAAGGATATAAGGGATTTCGTCAGGGCATGTGCTGTCTGTATGAAGACTAAGCAACCTCTCGCGCTCCCTTGTGGACTTTTGCATCCCTTAGAAATTCCCGAGAGACCATGGTCGTGTTTGGCTATGGATTTCATTGTCGATTTGCCTGTTTCTAAAAGACATACTGTTATTCTCACGGTGATTGACAGGTTTACTAAAATGGCTCATTTCGTGCCCTTGCCTAAACTGCCCTCGTCTCCCGAATTAGCTGAGATATTCGCGAGGGAGATTTTTCGTTTACATGGTATTCCCTCTGAAATTGTTTCTGATAGAGGTTCCCAATTTGTTTCCCGCTTTTGGAAGTCTTTCTGTTCTCACTTAGGCATCAAGTTGAATTTCTCCTCTGCCTATCATCCCCAGTCCAACGGAGCTGCCGAACGCACCAACCAAAAGATTGAACAATATTTGCGTTGTTTTGTTTCTGAACACCAGGACGATTGGGTTGGTCTGATTCCTTGGGCAGAGTTTGCACACAACAATCTCGTTTGTGATTCTACTCGTTCTAGCCCCTTTTTCTTGAATTATGGCTTTCATCCTTCCATTCTTCCGTCGGTTTCCCCTTCCCAGGGGGTTCCGTCGGTTGATGTTCATGTCGCCAATCTGAGAAAGTTGTGGGATCAGACTCGACGAATTCTTCTTCAGAATTCCATGGTGTTCAAACGACACGCTGACAAACGGAGACGGGTGGCTCCGGTTTTTGCCCCGGGTGATAGGGTATGGTTGAGTACCAGAAACATCCGCTTGAAGGTTCCTTCCATGAAATTTGCCCCTCGTTACATAGGCCCTTACAAGGTTCTGTGTCGGATTAACCCGGTTGCATATCGTCTTGCCCTTCCGCCTGCCCTGCGCATCCCTAACTCTTTTCATGTTTCTTTATTGAAGCCTTTGGTTTGCAACAGATTTTCCTCCCCTGAGTTCTCCCCTCTCGCTGTCCAGGTTGAGGGTCAGGAGGAATATGAAATCAAATCCATTCTCGATTCTCGTATTTCTCGGGGGAAGTTGCAATATCTTGTTGACTGGAAGGGGTATGGGCCTGAAGAAAGGTCTTGGGTGGTCCATGAAAATGTGCATGCCCCTCGTCTCCTTCGGGCATTTCATGCTCGTTTTCCGTCCCGCCCCGGTTCCTTCCGCCCGGTGGGCGTTTCTGAGAGGGGGGGTACTGTCAGGGTACCTTTGGTGTCTACCTCGGAGGAGGTTAGACACCTAGGCGTCCATCCTCCCAGGGGGGCTGACTCACCCGATCCTTGCACTCCTCCCGGTCGTTTACACGCCGGCCGCGATAGCTCCGCCTCCTTTTATGACGCGGCGCTCAGTAGCCGACGTCATGACGGCAATCACGTTCCGACCCGTCAATCACGGCAACCAAGTGCCGAACAACGAATCAGGACTCGTTGGGGGCGGAGCCAACAGTTAAAGAGCCAAGGTATAAAAAAGGGTTCTGTGGAATGATTCATTGCCCTGTCGTGGTTCTAGCTAGTCTGGTCACTCAGTGCAATTACCTCTATTGTCTTTTGGTTCCTGACTCGGCTTGTATTTTGACCCTGCTTTCCTCTCTTGTCCTTTTGACTCGGCTTGTCTCTCGCTTACCTGATCTCTCGTTCCCTCGACCTCGGCTTGTCTCTGACTATTCTTTTGCTTTCTCCTTACGTTAGTCCGGCCATTCTAAGGTCCGGTATACGTACCTATCCCCTGTTTGTATTCTGCGTGTTGGATCCCTGTCACGATCCTGACACACTGCATGTATATATTTTATATATATGATCTACAAAGTCATCTTTTTTAAGTCTGTTTCTCTTTAAAAATATGACACACAGGTTAAAATTGCAACTAAAGGTTAATTTCCCACACCTGTGGCTTTTTAAATTGCAATTAGTGTCTGCATATAAATATTCAATGAGTTTGTTAGCTCTCACTGATGTTTTGGGGGGTGAATATTGATTGCAAGATAAATACAGCATGTTATCATAAAATACTGGCAGACAATTTGCATTCTTCTGCAGAAAGGTTGTGTTTGGGACACTCTTGGACTTTCCAACATGACAATGACCCTAGGCACAAGGCCAAATTGACCCTCCAGTGCTTACAGCAGAAAAAGGTGAAGGTTCTGGAGTGGCCATCACAGTCTCCTGACCTTAAAGGACCACTATAGTGCCAGGAAAACATACTCGTTTTCCTGGCACTATAGTGCCCTGAGGGTGCCCCCACCCACTAGAGGCTGGATTAACCCATTTATAAACATAGCAGTTTCTCTGCTATGTTTATAGAAAAAAGGGTTAAACCTAGCTGGACCTGGCACCCAGACCACTTCATTAAGCTGAAGTGGTCTGGGTGCCTATAGTGGTCCTTTAATATCATCGAGCCACTCTGGGGAGATCTCAAACGTGCGGTTCATGCAAGACGACTGCCCAGACACTGGCGTACAGGGCCGTACTGTACGCCCAGGGCCAGCCTCTTCCCCTGGGGGGCCCAGGAGCCGACCACCCCAGGGCCCCCCTGAGGCTGGCCCTGCTGACCCCGGGTGGCCGGCCGGGCAGGCAGGCGGGCGCGCGAGGGAGCACTCCGTGCTTCCTCTTCAGCTCCCTCGCGCACCGCAATGATACCGGAGCCGGAAGATGACGTCATCTTCCGGCGCCGGCATCCCTACGCGGCGCGCGAGGGAGCTGAAGAGGAAGCACTGAGTGCTCCCTCGCGCGCCTGCCTGCCCGACCGGCCACCCGCCCAGGAGCCCCACTGGACCCCAGGGAATAATCCCCCCCAGCACTCCAAGAGGTAAGGAGGCTGGGGGATTATATTAAAAAAAAAAAAAAAAAATCATGTGTGAGTGTTAGTGTGTGTGTTAGTGTGTGTGTCAGTGTGTGTGTGTCTGCTAGTGAGTGTTAGTGTTTACTGTGTGTGTCTTACTGAGTGTGTGTTAGTGAGTCTGTTTGATGTCTGTTAGTGAGTGTGTGTTTGTCAATGAGAGTGTATGTTTTGTAAGTGAGTGTGTATGTCTGTCGCTGACTGTATCTCTGTCAGTAAATGTGTGTGTCTGTTAGCTAGTGTGTATGCGTCTGTAAGTGAGAGTGTGTGTGTCTTCAGCACTTACCTTTCTCCAGCGCCGGACTCCCTTGGCGCTGAGGATCCCTCAACCTCTCAGCTCCGAATGCGACCGCGCACGCATTCAAACCGCCCATAGGAAAGCATTACTCAATGCTTTCCTATGGACGTTCAGTGTGCTCCTCTAGCGGCTGTCAGTGAGACAGCCACTAGAGGCTGGATTAACCCTCAGTGAAACATAGCAGTTTCTCTGAAACTGCTATGTTTTCAGCTGCAGGGTTAAAACTAGAGGGACCTGACACCCAGACAACTTCATTGAGCTGATGTGATCTGGGTGTCTGTAGTGGTCCTTTAAAGGACCACTATAGTGCCAGGAAAACATACTCGTTTTCCTGGCACTATAGTGCCCTGAGGGTGCCCCCACCCTCAGGGGCCCCCTCCCACCCAGCTCTGGAAAGGGGGAAAGGGGTAAAACTTACCTTTTTCCAGCGCTGGGCGGAGAGCTCTCCTCCTCCGATCCTCCTCTTCTCCTCCCCGTCGGCTGTATGCGCACGCGCGGCAAGAGCTGCGCGCGCATTCAGCCGGTCACATAGGAAAGCATTCATAATGCTTTCCTATGGACGCTGGCGTGCTCTCACTGTGAAAATCACAGTAAGAAGCACGCAAGCGCCTCTAGCGGCTGTCAATGAGACAGCCAGCTAGAGGAAATAGGGGAAGGCTTAACCCATTCATAAACATAGCAGTTTCTCTGAAACTGCTATGTTTATGAAAAAATGGGTTAACCCTAGCTGGACCTGGCACCCAGACCACTTCATTAAGCTGAAGTGGTCTGGGTGCCTAGAGTGGTCCTTTAAGTGTGTGTGCACCTGCATGCACTGGCGTACATACCGCGGTCGCAGGGGTCGCAGCCCTGTGACCAGGTGCCCACCGCCATGTGTTGCGGCCAGGCCCGCGCGGGGGGGGGTGGGGGGGCCCACGGATCAATTTTCGCACCGGGGCCCCATGGGTCATGTGTACGCCACTGTGCCCAGACAGTGTCTGGGTACTGGTCACCAGACTACCCACCTCACTGTGAAACTACAAATGGATCGTTAAATCTGGTATGAACCCGAACTTTGCAGTTCTGGTTCGCTCAACTCTATTATGGATCCTTTGATCGCTACATGTATTACTTGGATAACTGGTAATTCTCAAGCTAATACATGCCGACTAGCGCTAGGGGACGACCGCTCCGCTTTTGCACCCTGCTCCCTCTTATGCCTCTGTGCAACCAGCGCTTCTTCCTCCAAACTGCACACGTCACTCACATGACCTTGATTCCATGTAGGGTCTAGGACTTCATCATCCTCCACATTTTCTTCCACCCACTCCTCAACCCTGCCCTCCTTGCCGGTGTGCACACTGCAGAAAGCCACAGCAGTTGGCACCTGTGTTTTCTAGCATGTAAAGTCTGCAAAGGACATATGGAAATTGTTTTAGAATTTTATCCAGGCAACAGTTTTCCCTATAAACTGACCTCTCAGTTTGACTTGTGAGGGTATTGCCCCAGAATTACAATATTGTTTAAGTACCTATTAGCTATTGATAATTGTTTTAAATATAGCAGCTTGTTATCTGGTAGTTTCTAGTGTAGAAAATATCAATCACTTAGATCTGTTCAACAAGTGTTGTAGGTGTGAAACAATATTACAAGTGACCGATGTAAATTCGAATCTAAGTTCCATTTGCAAAAAAAATTCTTGCCCATCTTCTGTGGGTTATTGCAGAAAATAAGAATGTTTACCACTGTGCTGTAAGCACACTATTAGACACTTCGATTTGACTCTTAGATATGAAGTGCACACCCCAAATATACTATTTAGCACGAAAAAAATTATTTAAAAAAAAAAAATGGAATCTTTAAAACTCCAATGTAAGCAGCAGATTAGCAGGAAAACAATTAGAATGTTTACAACTGCGCAGTAAGCGCACTATTGGATGTTTTTATTTGACTCTCACATATGAAGTGCACCGCAGGCAGCAAATGTACGATTTAGCAGATTAGCACTAAGAAAATAAGAATGTTTACCACTGTGCTGTAAGCACACTATTAGACACTTCGATTTGACTCTTAGATATGAAGTGCAGTCCGCAAATGTACTATTTAGCAGATTAGCACCCAGAAAATAAGAATGTTTACCATTGCGTTGTAAGCACACTATTAGACGCTTCAATTTGACTCCGATATGAAGTGCAGTACGCAAATGTACTATTTAGCAGATTAGCACCCAGAAAATAAGAATGTTTACCACTGCGCTGTAAGCACACTATTAGACACTTCGATTTTACTCTCAGATATGAAGTGCACCGCAGGCTGCAAATGTACTATTTAACATTTTAGCAGCAAAACAATTAGAATTTTTACAACTGCGCTGTAAGCACACTATTAGACGCTTCTATTTGACTCTCAGATATGAAGTGCACGCTCCAAAATGTACTATTTAGCAGATTAGCACCCAGAAAATTTTAATTTTTACAAATGCGCTGTAAGCACACTATTAGATACTTCGATTTAACTCTCAGATAGGAAGTGCACCCCACTAAAATACTATTTAGCAGTTTAGCACCCAAATAATAATAAGTTTTAAAACTGCAATGTGACAGCAGTATTTGACGCTTCTATTTGACTCTCAGATATGAAGTACTATCCCACTAATGTACTATTTAGCACCAAAAAATATTGACTTTTAAAATTTCAATGTAACCATGGTATTTGAAGCTTCTATTTGACTCTAAGCTGTCCCTATCAGCGGCAGCATCCTCTCTCTACACTAATAAGACCTCATGTGCGTGCGGCTCTGAGCGAATCCAGCTTATTTCTAGAGGCTGGGTCAAATGCTGCACTGGCCAATCACAGCCATGCCATTAGTAGGCATGGCTGTGATGGCTTCTAAGGGCACACGAGTCAAACGCTTTGTTGATTGGCTGCCCTGCAGCCTTTCAAAACGCGCCATTCAATCGCCAAACACCGAACTCCAATCCAAACATACAGTGATATGTCCGTGTTCGGGTCCGGGGTCCAAAAAAACCCAATGTTCGGTACGAACCCGAACTTTACAGTCCCGGGTTCGCTCATCTCTACAGAGGGCCAGTCAGAGCAACATAGACAATAAATAACCAGAGCATTCTTTCTACATTTCTTGTCCTGTGTAAATTGTTTAGTTTGACCAAATAGGACATAAGAGCAACAAATTAACCTTCAACCAACAGATAACCTTGTCCCAAATTAAGTTATTGTAGCTTACAAAAGGTTACAATGTTCAGACTGCCCTGGTCTGCTCTGTTTTGCATTTTCTCTTAGTCCAAACAGTTCCCATAGGGTAAGAGACTACCTCCCAAGTCACTTCACAAGCAATGTAAATGATAAATTATGTCAAAAGAGAAATGCAGCAAAAGAGGTATAGCATATGTATTTATATGTGAATAGATAACTGTTAAATAAACTGTTGCATTCTTTTTAAAATGGCTCTCTAAATCTCAATTCACATTTTGTATAGAATTTAACAAACTGCACTTACTCACAACTTTGCATGAACTTGTTTCCAGGAATTACCATTGTTGGAATGAATGCTGGTTTCTCAGACCAGACCTGGGATTGGACTATGGAGGATGGCAAGTACTGGATTCTACTCCTCAAGAGATCAGTGATGGTAAAAACTGCCAAACCTATATTGCCAGAAATCAAAATATATGTAAACTATAAGCATAACGAACTATTGACAAATGCAATATTTTACCGAAGACTAATTAGATAGAATAATTAGGAGGACGAATGTAATATGATCAATGAAGGCTGAAAAGACACTGAGGGCATGCACCCAGTTAGAACAATCAATTAAATTTATAAGAACGTAAAAAGTCCAGCCTTGATATAAATACAATTATTCAATTTATTGTGTATTTAAAATAAAATATCAATCATAAAGTCTAGGCTTAAATATCATCTAGCTACAGGATGAGTATTTGTGTCAGGTACACCTAATTGCTGTAAAATGACTCTACGATCTCCATACCTGTTTACAATGGAATATGCAGGGTATACACATAACCTCTGTTGTCTATGTGACTGTAATAATTGAAAAAACGCTTGGTAACTTATGAAGACAGGTATGAGATCATACACAGCAATAATTTAGACATCCAAGAAAGTAAACAGAGGGAGAGGGGGCCTTATTTATTAACTCATCTTGTGCCTTCGTGGGCACCTAATTTAAGATCCCCATGCCCCCTAGTATCTATCTCTATCCTGATGCTACAAAAATCATTTGAATGAGCAATCAAAAAAGCAAAAAATAATACACAAAAAATAAATAAATGAAATAAGTGAAATAAAGAAACAAAGGTTAAGTAAATAAATAAATAGAAACTCTCGGTGTGATCAGAAATCTATTCTCCAACATCTTAGTAGACGGATAAACCTCCATTCACAATATACAGCTTATGTCCAAGGAGATCACACCAGAGAGAGCAAAGTCCCAATGCGTGTTTCGACACTAACAACCGGGCTCTTCAAAGGGAACAGATCAATGCTAGCAGGAAAGTTTAAACAGAGGGGAGAGTGAACCCTGGCTGGGTAATCGATGATCCATTTAAAAGCTTCCACATCATATGTGGAGCGAACAGTCGTCATTGCTGACTAGTCTTCCATGCATGGAAAGGCCTTCCAGCTGAAGTGGTAGAGGTTAACACAATAAAGGAGTTTAAACATGCGTGGGATAGGCATAAGGCTATCCTAACTATAAGATAAAGCCAGGGACTAAAAGTATTTTATGAAAGTATTTAGAAAATCGGGCAGACGAGATGGGCCAAATGATTCTTATCTGCCGTCACATTCTATGTTTCTATGTTTCTATCAGATCAAAGCTCCACCCTGTCCTTAATCCCATTTAAACATAGTTTAATATACTGATATAGTGGACAAAAGGAAAGAGGGCATGTGAATTAAGTAGTGGTAGTTGAGTGTGCAGCTGCATTTTTTATATATATTTCTACCATAGTGTATTTTATTACACTTGTATGTTCACTTCTTAAGGAGTGCCGTTTTAGCGCTTTTACCAGTTTGTATTTTTTTCATTGGGAAAAACAAATGGAAATTAATCCAGTATACTGATTGACCAACACAATTTTAAACCTTACTTGTAAGCCATCATATTCAGGGCTTCCCTGAGTTTAATGTTATTTGTGGGTCTTTTCTTTTCCCCTGAACTCAAAGACAAGAGCATGTATAAGAGTAAAGCAAGTATTATGGGAAATCAATGCCATCAGGGGTTCTGGAGATATCATATTGTGCATAAAACAATAGTATCAGCGCTTAGCAGACCAACCCCTCATTTACAAGTATGGGGACAGAGAAAAAAAAATGCTCTAAAGTCTGATCAAAAAATATACTTATGCAATGTCCAGTGCAAGTGTCAGAGTGGAGATATATCCAAATCGATTTTTGCGCTCTCTTATTATTTTATATCACAGATATCATATTATACCACGGGAATAAAGGTCAAAGGGACACTCCACCGTCCAAAAATAAAAACATCACTGTACATATACCCCAATGCAAACATGTATGCATTTAACTATGCATTTTTTTTAAATTGGGGATATATTTAAAAACAGCTTGCAAAAGCCGCAGATCTCTTGTCTGCAGCCTTTATAAATCCTCCCTTTCTAACACTGTCTAGACTTTCTGTGGCTGTCTAATCACAAACAATGCAATGAAGCTCAATGAGAAGTTTCTTAGTAAGGCAGGTTCCTGGGGAAACTGCCTGCCTCTTGAGTTTAGCTCCAGTGAGCTAAGCAACCAGGAAGAAACAAGATCGGTTGTCTGATTAATGACTGTGTCTGATCGTGAAACATGGTTGATTTATAAAATGGCCCATTTTTCATTGAAATCAGCACTTTTTGTAAAATTAATAGAGAGGACAGACTCTTCACACATAAAGCACTTCAGAAAGATAAAGTGCTTTAGGGGTCCTGGTGTCCCTTTAAAGTATTTCCACTGCTCAATATACATACATAATATGACGTGCATTTGCGTATGTATGGATGTGTGTTTTTGATCACATTTTAATAAAATCACTCAGCTATTTACGGGAATTGGTCAATTGTTTGTCCAACTATACTTGTCTGTACACCTAATAAGTTGTTTATTTTTAATGGTTTTCACTTTTTATTCCACTTGTATCTAGCATTGTATTGCTGCGGCCCTGTATCAGTTCATGCAGTAAAAGAAGGAGATTTGGATCTTGACTACGATACCCTCTTTGTATACTCTGAAGTAAATGCTGACCGTTACACGTGGGTGTACTATGACAAGGACGTAAAAGAGAAAGTGTACACAGATACCAACTTTGTGGGGAAAAATATGAGCACTAAGTCTGTAGGTACATTTGAACGTGAAATTATTACCGAAAACTACAAATACCCAGAAGGTAAGAGGCACAAATTCTATTTTTTAACGGCACTTCTCAGATTATCGGGCATTAATTGTCTACACTAACTGCTAATTTTTTACTTCTAGATTGCAATAAGTCTTTTCACCGTGCAACATTCAAATTATGTTATTATGTGGCCAACCTTTGAATATGTTTATTAATATTGAAAATGCTGTCTCCCGGTGGGTTTGTCTGAGCTAATACCATGCGGTTCTCTGTTATGTGCTTGTTAAAGGAACACTCAAAGCGCCATAACCCCTTAAGCTCATATAAGTAGTAAAGGTAGGGAACGACACACTACAGATAAGAAGTCAATCTGTTTAAACATGGGTACACTACAATGGTTAAGGTGCTTGGAATGCTCTTTTAAGGTTAACAGTTTGGACTGGTTTTAAAGACATAAAAGCCAACTCTATGTTAGTAAAGTACTAAGACAGGTGGAAGATAGGAAAAGGACACATACTCAACAATAGGCACCGCATTACCATACAAACAAGAAGTTAGAAACTTTGACCCAAGAAGGAAAGACGTTTAGCACAAGAATGCTTAAGAAAAAAGAACAACTCGGATTAATTAAATGCCCTGTCATCTATAAAACCAGTAAATGATTACGTCCAGCCAGATAACTGTATGATCTGGAGCCAGAAATGCACAGTCCAGTACCAGTAAACAAAAAAAGACCCACAGCCTCTTGGAGGGAGACTGGCCTTTGAGCTCCTCTTGAAGCCATAAAGTATCTACTCAGTGGTGGGAGAAACATGCGAGTGCTGTTCCATTGCTGTCCATACAAACCTCCATAAAGCTTCCATTAAAGTATCCATTTTGGGGGTTAGAGACCCTAACACCAATATGGGCCTCAATTTAATATTTTTGGATAAGCTGTTCAAATGGTTTAATATTTATGGAAAAACTTTTTCAAATGTTTAATATTTTGAAAAATATTTGTATTTTCTAATATTTTCATATGTTTTAGTATATATATATATATATATATATATATATATATATATATATATATATATATATAGAGAGAGAGAGAGAGAGAGAGAGAGATCATTTTTCTATATTTTAATATTTTGAAAAAAAATCATTTTAAATGTTTATCCAAACCTAGTTCATTTGAAAATATTCCAAAATATTTAAATCGAGGGCAGTGTATAAAAACTGGCATTGTAGTTTTTATGCTTTTCTGTTTGATCTGAGTGTCTTCTGGGCAATGACTAGTGATTGTAAAAAACAATCTGGTGTAAGTCCTTTTTTTTTTTTTTTCAACGCCAACTAATAAAATCAAACATGTTGTTACTATAACAAGGAAAAGCTGAATTTCGCTTAAGATGGAAAATGATTACATTTGCATTTAAAATTACAGTAACTTTCCTGTATGGATGGGGAACAGAATTGCTTGTAGCCAGGACCAGCATATTAATATTGCTTTCCTATTGCATGCCTACTACGTGAAACAATCGTCTCACAGTATAGTTAGTTAGGCATCTATGCAAATTAGCATAGCTTCATTGTTTTATATTCCATTATGGTTTCTTTCCTTTTTAAAAATAACAAAAAGTGGTATGCCTCATCTCCATGAATACCTTATGATTGCACCGGTGTCTCCCACCCATTGTCATATGCACCGTTAAATTCAGTACCATCTAACGAAATAACCCTGCCTGCCTTAAGATATGTCTAAGCTTGTTCATTTATAAACGTTTGATTTTCGATTTGCCTAGCATGTACTTTAAAAGATAAACTTTAAAGGACCACTCTAGGCACCCAGACCACTTCAGCTTAATGAAGTGGTCTGGGTGCCTGGTCCAGCTAGGGTTAACCCATTTTTTAATAAACATAGCAGTTTCAGAGAAACTGCTATGTTTATTAATGGGTTAAGCCTTCCCCCTAATCCTCTAGTGGCTGTCTCATTGACAGCCACTAGAGGCGCTTGCGTGCTTCTCACTGTGATTTTCACAGTGAGAGCACGCCAGCGTCCATAGGAAAGCATTATGAATGTGACCGGCTGATTGCACGCGCAGCTCTTGCCTCGAGTGTGCATTCAGCCGACGGGGAGGAGAGAAGGAGGATCGGAGGAGGAGAGCTCCCCCCCCAGCTCTGGAAAAAGGTAAGTTTAAACCCCTTTCCCCCTTCCAGAGATGAGGACCCTGAGGGTGGGGGCACCCTCAGGGCACTATAGTGCCAGGAAAACGAGTATGTTTTCCTGGCACTATAGTGGTCCTTTAACCTACATTATCACCATAGACAGCCAGAAAAGCTTATACTTACATCTTATCCTGTGTTTTGTCTCTCCTCCTATCATTATAAACTGAATAACTGTGCTGTCTTTTCGTATGCCATGTGATGCTTATAACCTGCTTGCGACTGCTATTGTGGCTGAGCAAGACTATTGTTATTCCACGCACAACCTAAATAAAATAAAAAAGAAATAAAAAAATATTACAGTAACTTAAAATTTCTATTTCTAGAAGGTAGCATTTGATGTAGCCTCAAAACATCTAAAAACATGTATTGTGCGTAACAGGAATTTATCAAATATAGAATGTCATAAGTGCAACAAAATACCTCTTTACTCCAAGCTACTACGTTACATTTCAGAATATTTTGTATTTTGATCCAAAAATTTTTAATTTTTTTTTAAAGGGTCCGAAGAAGAAAGAGTCATTTATCAGAAGGCTACCAAAAAGTTGGCTGAAATGGGAAAACTGAAAAAGGAACATCTTGGAGAAAGAACAGGGAAAAAGCGCTCCAAAAAGAAGAAAAACGTTGACACTAGCGCAGACAGCAACAATGAGGAGCCAGTTACATTAGTCATCACAGGCAAATTCAAGCTGCAGGCAGAGCCAAAATTTGGAGAAGATGTCAACCTAATGTTGATACTGAGAAACTCTAGCAAAAATAGTGAAACTGTGAAAATTAAATTAAGTTCATCTTCTATTGAATACACTGGGAGGCCACGCTCTGAGATTTTTAAGGATTCAACATCTTGTACTATAGCACCCATGGAAGGTAATGCATAATTGATATTATATTTTATATAGGCTTTTTTCCCCAGGTGTACTACACTCTTTCTTTACTCTATATCGTTTTTTCCTTTTTCATTCTATCATTTTCAGTACTTGAAAGTGAGGAATTTCCTTTTGCCATGGTCTTTTGTATCAGTTTGCAACTCTCTGTATTTCTCCTTGTCCCCAAACCAGCTGGTGAGGAGCCACAATGAACGAGACAAGACAATGCAAGGTTCAAAGTGACTTCTAACATTTAATGGACTGCGTAACTGGTTATATTCAGCAGGAAACAGGGCTGGTCTTACAAGTATTATCCAATCCCTAAAAAAATCTATATTATCTTAACATCTTAACCTATAGCTAGCTTGCAGGTGTATCTTCATGTTCAGGCCTTGCACAAAGCTAAGTTTCAATATAACTACGCACTTAGAATTTATACGCACTTAAAATTAAAAGATATTAACTGCGCAGTTCTAATTACACATTACTACGCAGTTATGATCACAGTAAACAAGGCCAATGGTACAAACACACAGGAAATAACACTAACACCTGTTACATGATGTTCTATAGCTCTTGTCTAGGGGCATTTTTCACTAAGCATTGTATGTAGACAAAGTGTATTATTCCCAATAGCTGACTTGCTCCAAGTTAGCCAATTTTAAACAGACTGGACATCTGGTCATCTGTAGCTTGAGCCTTGGGTCACTAAGCATTGTATATAGGCAAAGTGTATTATTCCCAACAGTACTCCATATTTAACATTTTACATTGATGGTCAATTTGTCAATAGAATGATAATGCCAGCTGTTACTTGTATGCATTGTACACAATTTATTTTATTTTATATATCATATGTAGACATTGTATGAATATATATCCCATAACTGTTATAGGTTGTCCTATTGTAAGCTTGTTTACATCTGCACAAGATGATTGTTGGAGATTTATGTTCATGCAAGAATGTTTCTTCAAGGACCAATAAAGTCACCCAGACCACTTAATATCAAAGAAGTAGTCTTGGTGGAGTAGCCCTGTAGTTGTACGTTGCTGGTGACAGCATGAAAGACAGGTACTAGTGGCATTTCCACTGTAACAAACGTGTGAAACTCAGGCATGTGACCAAAAATAGCTCATTGAAAAGGAGCATTGGATTGGAGAAGAAGTCAATGATACAATGCCTCTATAATGAAGTTGCAGGGAGTTGTGTAGCAGGCAGCACAGAGGATCCCAAATCTCTATGCACATTTAAAGAAGTGGTATCACTCCAATGGCCATTAAAGTGTAAGCCCTCCTGTCACATCAAGGCAAAACCTCTTAGGTTAATTTAATTTGAGCACAGGGCTTAATTTTCTATGTTTGTATTTGCTTTTGTGTTACACAGCCATGTTACAATGTTGTCGCCCACCCCATGTGTTCCCTATCAAGGGTTAATAAGTGTGTAGGGGTTTAAAAAAATACCCCTCTCTGTATCATTAGACATTTTAAAGTGTAACTGAAAACAGCAAGATTAATTGTTATTACATGATTCAACAAAGAGGTTTTTCCTTGACGTGGCAGGTGAGTTTACATACATATTGGCATCCATTGGAGTGCTACTGAAACACCTCCAGCAATTTAAACGTGCATAGGGATTTGAGATAGTGTGCCAGTAGTTTTTTATTTTTATTTATATAGATAGTAGATAGCGAGGGAGGTAGAAATATAGTGTTGAAATGACTGCAGCATTAAGAACAGCAGGACACCCCCAACGGAATGTCTAGGTTCCAGTGTGATAGTTGGAAGCCATTTTGAGTAGTTACTGAGGAATCAGCTATTGATACAGATATGTGCTTGAGGCTGGATAAAAGACTTTTAGTGAAACAGCACTGAATTTTATAATCATGAACACACAGGAAACTAGATAGATAGACAGACAGATAGCTAGACAGACAGATAGATTTGGATGCACTGATTTTTTGAGCACTCTGGCAATTGATATGGTAAAAATGTATACAAGTTTTAGTTATTTTTAGGAAAAATTATGCTATAATATATAAAAAATATTGTTTAATCAAATGCTTATGTTATAGAATTACTCATGCTCGTGCTACATAGCAAAGTATGCATAATGTTTAAATGGAATAATTGGTTAGTTTAATAGCATAAACTTATATTTTAAGGATAAATAATAACATTTAGAATTCCTCATTGCAGAAAAAGAGATTCCAGTAAAAATAACTGCATCTATGTATGAGGAGGAACTGACGAAAGACTATCTTATTGAAGCGGTTGCTCTGTGCGAGTTGAAAACAAAAAAAAAACTACTGGTTCGCAAAGTCATAGCTATGGGAAAACCTCCAATAGAAATTAAGGTAAATGTGCTTCTCTGTGCAAAGCAGAAGAGAATAAACACAAAAGGATCAATTTACTAATATTTTTTTTCTGTTGACAAACTTACATTTATTAGCAAGCAGAGAGAGAGAAAAATAATCAATCTCTGTATCACCATTAAATAAATAATTTAGAAAATATGAGGTGCATAATAGCCTACAAAAGACCTGGCATTTGGCATTTCCTTTGCCAATACCCCATGCACATGGGAGTACAGGGGAGACATACCAGGTACCCCCATTCTTTTGGTTGTGGGGTTTCACAGTACTAATTATTGGGGCCAGAGGATGCTACCACTATGCCGAATAATAATAATGGCCCATTTCTTTGGTCCTATCATTGTGCATATGGTGGCCAATCCAGTGGATGTAAAAATGTTGATAGGGACAGAGAATGCCCTTTTTATCAATACATCCTATAGCCTCAATTATTACCTTACACTCCACAGCCTATGCAGCGGAATAAGGTATAGAGGCCACTTGGCAAGCCCCTACCCAATATGCCTCCTATCCATCCACCCATCAACATAGGGTAGACAGAAAGGGGAGACCATATGCAATGCCTTACCTAGTAGTAAATCTAATGTCTATTATGCCCCATGAATTGTGTGTACGCCACTGGGGCCAGCTGGGAGGATGTCTGTGAGTCCGGTGTGGTTGGCACGACCCTTTAGTGGGCAGGTTCACCCATCAAGGCAACACCTCCTAGTAAAGCCCACCCACCCTGATTTCCCGAGTGCCAAATTTGGAAGGTATGATTGTGTAGTATATAGATGGATATTGCATTATATGAATGCCAATTGTCAAATCTAGATGTCCACAGCATATAGAGGCTACTGAAATCCAAAGGAATTTTTAGAGGTTACCAAGAGAGACAATACAAAGAAAAACCAGAAGGGGGCTGTAAAACAACAGTGATGACTCCAACTGAAATGGCCAGCAAATGACATGTAGTGTTGAGTTTGGGTGCTGTTGCAATGAATAGAGGAGTGGATATTATTTACATTGATGATGTGAAGTGCTTCCATTATGTGTCATAAATCTACGGACACGCAGGTCCACTTTATTGCAGTTGCATACTATAAGTGTTGTAATTCTTACCTTGTCTAAATGCTGTAGAACGTCCTTACTTGTTTCCACTTGTGACAAAATTTAATGGGAGAAAGTTAGTTTTTTTTTTGTTTTTGTTTTTTAAATAACTATATAAAATATTAAACTATATAAATTTTTTCTACTTATGTTTCTTTTAATTTAAGGTATTAAGTTATGCTGTGGTAGATGAGCCGTGTGAATTGCAAATTAACTTCACAAATCCTCTTTCTGTCCCACTAAATGATGGGATACTGTTGGTAGGAGGCAGTGGTCTGGTGAAGAAACTGATAAAAAAGAAGTAAGTACATTTAGGGCATACTCAGAAAATGCTGCTGTATCCTGGATAAGTTACCTGTTGTAAGCGTATATAGGTACATACATGGATGGATGGACAAATTAATCTGATGAAATATAAATATCTTAAAATAACAATAGATTGTTAAAATTACATGAGTAAGATATTTATCCTGATGTTGGTGAATGAGCATACTGTTTAATAAACATTGCAGTGTTATTAAAATTCTATATTGGGATTTAGAACTGTACATACCTTGGTATTGCATTAAATGGTACATGTCATGACAAATGCTTATTATTACATGATAGAGAATCAGATTTAATCTATACATTGTGCTAGCACAATTAAAAGTAAAAAAAAAAATTACTGCTTGAATTCAGGCTAAAGGAAAGCAATGACTGCAAGGGGAAGAAGGGAGAAGGGGCAGGCTCTGTGTTAGAGGGGCACCAGCAGCTTCGGACAGATAACCTGAGAATTGAGATAACAGATATGTTTTATTTACACAACGTCAACATAATGCTGGGAACTTTTAACATGTCATGGGAAGCAAGTATGTGGGTATGCAGAAGAAGTGTGTCTTACAGCAAGTAGAAACATCACTGAAAACATGACTGATGCATATGGTAGAAGACAGGGATCATAGAAATACATTAATATGTGAGCTTTTAACAGTATTAAGAGACAAAACACTTAATTGTAAAACATGAGTCAAGCCAGATGGTCAGAAAATTGCAAATCTATATCTGTTATGGCAGGTTCACTTTAGAATTGTGTCCTGAATTTCACATATATAAATTGTTCTACAATTAACAAACTAAATACTTTGATAATATTAACAAATACAAGGGTCATATCTGCAAGATGAATCACCTCTGAGTTACCACTACCACTTGTGTTTTTTCACTCTTCAAAGCCTGTCATTCTTCTGAAGAGTCAGTCGCAGAGTCCCTTATTAAAGGCTATTGTTGTAAGTCACAGTTAACTCTCTAACACTTCACTATGTGGCCAATATCATATGATGGGCAAGACTCTTTACAAACATTTTGGAATACAAAGCTGTTAGCCAATCAGGGCCAGGAATACTTTTTTGATAAAGAAAAAATAACATAGAGGATTTCCTCAGTGCAAATGGACACGTCTGCTCCCCAGATAGGATTTTTGTAATAGTGGCTTACCATCTTGGAGATTATAAAAATATTTGTAATGCACATGTCACGATTCGGGGAGCCCAACACACTGGCACACACACACACACACACACACAGAAAAGGTGCCGTACCGGACCTTAGAGTGGCCGGGCTAAGCACACACAGAATAGTCAGGAAACAAGCCGAGTAAGGGGAACCAGAAGACAGAATAACGTGAAACAAGCCGAGGTCAAAGGGTAGGAGAAAGTCACAGTGTCAGATAAACAAGCCAGAGAGTACGTAACCAGAAGCACAAGGTAAGTAGCAATACTAGTAAGCAAAGACCACAATAGGGCAGGGAGGAACAGGAAAGGTAAGTATTTCAACCATAAGGTTAATTCTGATTGGATAATTTCCAATCAGAATTAACAATCACACGTGGGAGATATCTAGACCTCCCACTGTGATTGAGACACTGTGCCTTTAACGCCGGGTCAGGTGACTGACCCCGGCGTGTACTAACTTGGGCGGTCTCCCAGCGTGCAGCGTCATGTATGCTGCCGCTGGGGGACGTGGAGGAAACGGCGGGCGGCATCCGAGGCTGGAAGGATGCCGCTCGCCGAGCCCACGAGGAGGAGGGGACCGCGGACGGCTGGAGGGTGAGTACCGTGAGTGGAGTGCAGCCTCCCCTCGCAGCCGCCCGCGGGATCCCGACAGCACAAACTGATTATGGATATCTTTGCGGTGTAATACCTTTTTGCCTGAGGCATCTGAAAAGTATACAACACTAGTTTAGGACATCCATTTTCTCAGTGTAGCTGCCAGTGACAGGGTTACTTTATTTGTCTTTGCTTAATACAACTGTTTAATCCCCTAAAGTCACAACTTCTGTAAAAAAGGGAATCAGGACGGAATAGTTCAGTCATGTGCCCTTAAGGGGTTAAGGCAACAAATATAAAATGCAGTAGTATGAAGATGATTTAAGTTATCTGGTGCCTGCCCCTTCCATTTCTTCCGTTAATAGAACTAAAGATGGTTGTTTCTATTTCACTGTCAGAATTTACAATTGAATTTCTATGTCTCGGAGTTAGGTAAATCAAGTACTTTTTAAGTGCTCTCTCATAACTGCCTTGTGTGCCAACTACAGCATTCAGGTATTTGCATAAGATTCATTTTCTAAATGTCACCTCGAAAATGATTGATTTGCCCGCATCCCCTGACTTAGAAAAAGCGTTGCAAAATCATGCAATAAAAATTCTTGTTTGCTTGGCAAAAAATTTCGACTATGTAGACTATGTTGTATTATATGCATTTCTTTGTATTGCGGAAATGAATATTGCATTATGTTAACCATTTTATGTCTAATTTCTTGCAGTCTGGTTTTACCTTTCTTAAGACAGTGCAACATTTATTTGTTTCTATATTTATACTATTTTACTCCTCTAGAGCTTGTAATTAATCTCTTGGAGAAATATCCCTGCCATGTTGCATAGCAATTGCTTTGGAATAAAAATGAAATCATCTAATTCGAATGTTGCAGCAAGATGATAATAATGTTTGTAATTACAGGGTACCAAAGATGGAGCCAAATGGGCAAGGCAGCATTCTACTGGAAATCACCCCGTACCGAAGTGGCATGAGGCAGCTAGTAGTGGATTTAATCTCGAAACAGTTTCCACCTATAAAAGGATCTCACAATTTCCATGTTGAAAATCTTAATACAGAAGAAACCATAGATTTAACGGACAACTAAACATTTTTTTTTATATAAATATTTTTGTTTTGAACAATCCACCACTAATGCCTTTATGTTTTAATACATTTTACTAATACTGTTTCAGTTGTAAAACTAAAGAAATTTAATCTCACTATGTTTAAAACAAGTTTATCCTCTACTCCACAAAATGCCTCACACAATGTAAAAGATATTTCATATTGCACCTAATTCCTTAGAAATCTGTGTTCCTGGCACTATAAGTCCCTCTATCCCTCCCCACATCCCCTCCTCATGCCCCCCCCCCCCCCCCAACAGTATAAGGGCTAATAAACACTTACTGTACTTATCCAATTCCAGCGTCAATTTCCCTTGGTGTTTGGTCGGCACTCCGCCCCCTCTGCCTTCACCTGACAGGGGAGGCTAATACGCATGCGCAGCAAGCTCCACGAGCACATCAGGCTCTCTGCATAGGAGTGTATTGCTGCAATACTTTCCTACGGGGATTTTACTGACACTGGATGTCCTCATGCAGGAAGTGTTTCTAGTGGTTGTCTGATTGACAGCCACTAGAGGCAGTCTTAGTCCTGCAATGTAAATATTATCTAAGAAACTGCAATAATTAACATTGCAGGGTTAAGGGGACAGGGTCACTGCACCCAGACCACTTCAATGAGCTGAAGTGGTCTGTGTGCCTACAGTGCACTTTAAATCTCAATACACGCTATATAATTCTAGAATTAGCTTTTTAAGATATCCGACAGAACAACATTTATAAAAATTGTATTATATCCCGAATAATGATATAGATATATATTTATTTTTTCTGTGACTTGCATTAAAGAGAAATGATAAAAAAAGGACAGAGTATAAAAAAAAGAAGACTGTAAATTTAAAAAAAAAAAGGTGAAAGAGAGAAGGTGTACATGCTATGTATAGTAAGAGTACATGTTAAAAGAGTCTGGTGATTAAAATGACTTGGAAGAATTGGACTGAGTAGCTATGGGGTGTCCAAAAGATAGATCCCTATATTTTGTAGAACTACAACTCCCATGATTTCTTGTCAGTCTTTAGAATGGCAAAGCAATAAGAAAGCTGAAGTTTTAAAACATCCGGGCAAACATTTTTATGTTTAATTTTACAGTGCAATTCACTAAAACTGTCAGATTGTTTTTTTTTTTTTTTATCTGTTCTTTTTTTCCACCCTAAAAGTCATTTTTGGACATGCGCCAATTTTTTGCCCAACGCAATGGAGTTATTGATTTTTTTGCCACTATAAATCTGGTGGACTTTGGTTTCACTTTCATAAAAAATCCTCCATACGATCTACCTTTTGGACACTCCTGGAGGATCTCATAGAATTTTCTGTGATGTAATAATGTGATTGATGTCAATGCCAAGCTCTTTAAAAACGTATTTATGGTCAGTGTTGCATATGTACAATGGGTTTATGTGTGAATGCCAAGAAGGAGTCTTCACACACAGAGGAATTAATATACCACAGGGCACTGGGCAGGTTACCAGTTTGCTCTTCCCTTTCACTCTATGTATCAAGATGGTGAACCAAGTACCTACCAGGCCCTCAGTGTAAACCCACACTATCAGTTTTAGAATGTAAACTTCCCATAAAACATGTGTCAATGTATACTTGCAAACCTTCTTTGTGTGTTCTACCAGCCTGTTGATAGCATATTTGTTGGATATCTTCCCAGGGATAAAGAAAGTTAGATTGATGAGACTTTGGGTAATATGAGAAGGGTAGCACCAAATGTGATACAGAACCTTTATTGTGCCTTGGGTTTAGTAGGACAGATAGTAGGACATGAGCTAGAGGGATCAGTGAATGTGAACTATCTATGCGTACTCAGCTCAGGATATTCAATAACCAATAACCATTAACACTGGTGCACTCTCATATACAGAGGCATAACTAGAAACCACAAGGTTCCAGTGCGAATAAAAATACATATTCCCTCCCTCCACCCCTCCATTTGTAAAATAAAACACATATAGATACATACATGTACACACATGCTAATACACAGACACACAGAATGACACATTAAGATACACAGAATGACACTTCTACAGATACAAACACTGACACACATACAGATACACAGACACACACTGACACACATGCGGATACACAGACACACATACAGAGAGATACACATATAGACAAATGCAGATACACATACACAGAATGACACACATACAGATACATAGGAACACGCACTGACACACATGCAGACAGATACACATACAGACACACTTGCAGAAAAACAGATACACATCAGATACACATACAGACACATATGCAGATACACATATAGACACACACATACATACAGACACACACACACAAACATGCAGACACACAGATATACAGATACATACATTCACAAACACACACGCACATGCAGACACAGAGATACAGACATTCACGCACACACAAACTGTTAAAAACTTTAGTCACCCTACTGTTTTCTACCTTTAGGGGCAGTAGGGTGACTTCCCTGGGGTCCAGTAGCTGCCTAATGCTGATGGGAGTCAGCGCTCCCACTCTGACTATTTCCTCTCCTTTCTCTGTGTTCTTCTCCCGCACGGCTCTGTGTATGCTGGGAAGAAGTGACGGCTTCCTCCCAGTGGACGCTCTGACATCATCAATGGGGCCCGGTCGCGCCCATTTCCATCGAGTGGCCCAAAGAGCATGGCCTGGAGTGACGGGCCCGGTTGCAGCTGCGACCTCTGCAACCGTGCTATTTCCTCCACTGATCATATACAAGGATGTTTAAAAGCATGGCTTGTTATCAGCATCCCCATTATACTCAATGACATGTGGTCTGGAATGTGTCTTCAGACTTATATACAGCAGGTCCCATAATATGGCAGTGTGCATGATAATATCATGAGACATTCAGAGTTAGAGCACTGCCCCAGATCCATGTTTATATACATACTGTCAATATATCCTTCATAATATATCATCTGAAAATGAAGCTTCTGTAAGTTGAGTGTGGCTATTAGACTTTATTTTCTGGTGCTATATAAGGCAATGAAAGTGACAATTTGCACTCAAATAAAGACATTCTAATAGTTATTTTTGTCTTATTTTAACACTACACATGAAAATGGAAAGATACACAGTGTGGTTATATGTGCACAAGACTGTGTTATTCAAATATGTGTGGATTGCTATACAAAACTACATCTAAGCTGAAAATAGAATTTGATAGTTTGACTCTGTGGCCATATTCACCCATTGACTTGTTTGTTTTTATGATTCTGACGTAAGGTTTATGGATGACATCACAATTCCCTTCTAGGAAATGACTGGTCATATTATTTGGTTACATGAAAAGTTTTTGCTGTTGATCCATAAAAAGGCAAGAAAACCCAGTCTTAAGTGCTTCCAATGTTGCAACAAACTAGGAAACAATATCTCCTTGACCTCAAAATAGCAGTCAGATATCTACTTGGTTCAAGCAGCAATTACCCCACTAATTAGAAATGATATCCCTGTATGTTATGTTTTTGCAAGTATTTATCCAATTGCTGTTTAAACATCTGTATGGACTCTGATAAAACCACCTCTTCAAGCAGAGACTTCCAAATCCTTATTACTCTTACTGTAAAAAAACAACTTTTCTTTGCCTTAGATTAAATTTCATGTCTTCCAGCCTAAATGCGTATAGCCCTGTTTATGAACAGATTTCCAGATAATGGTTTGTACTGGCCCCGAATATATTTGTATAATGTTATCATATACCCTCTGAGGCTCCGTTTTTCCAAACTAAACAGATTTAATTTTTTAACCATTCTTCGTAGCTAAAATGCTCCATTCCTTTTATCAATTTTGTAGCTCGTCTCTGCACTTTTTCTAGTGCCATGATATCTTTCTTTATAACAGGTGCCCAATATTGCACAGCATATTCAAGGTGTGGTCTTACCAGAGATTTATAAAGAGGCAATATTATATTTCCATCCCGAGAATTTATGTCCCTATTTATACATGACAAAACCTTACTGGCCTTAGCAACTGCAGATTGACATTGCATAATGTCTATAAGATCTAGAGATGAATTCAAGACCAATTGCCCTCAGATTTTTTAGACAACCATCATTCAGGGTAGAGGAAAAACTACAGAATTCTATTGGTATGTGTCTGTTTTGTAGAGTATGTAAATAGCCACTATTCGTGTACACTAAAGAGATATATAAAATGTACTCACCTACTCATAAGACATTGGAACCAAGCCCTGAATTAGCATTTTTATTCTCAACATACAGAATATTTATTGGAATAATATTATTTGCTCACTAAATTAATAATCTAATAAAATAGAAACATTTTCCATGGCTCAAGGAAGTACAGTTGAATTATAATGACATGAATACAAATGTCACCTGGTTTTGATGTACAAGCGGATTTTGTTTGAAAAGGTTATCTGCACCTTAGGTGTCAAAATATTAATTGTAAGAGTGACAAAAGTAAATACTTGTGCAACAGGTGTTTAAAAAGGTGAGAAAAGACAAACATTTATTAGAAAGCCTATGTGCAAATTTCTCTCTCCTTTACACAACCAATTAAAATAAATGCAAATTTACTGTGTGGTATATATGCCCACCTCAGTCAGATGGTGGAGTGATATAGGTTATTTGTTTTGGCTAAGGGTTGTGTAGCCTAAAATGAATAAACACACAATAGTGCAATATCACCAATATTTTAAGTGGGTAGTTTATTAATTAGATATGCTCACATTTGACGGATCCTAATAGGGACAGGCTCAAATCTCTTAGGCTGATGGGTTCTTAGTTGACACTGTCCCTCTCCTGCTATATCTTGTTAGGCTTGTGAATAAAAAATAAGGAAAAACTCCTAGTTCAATATGCAAATTCAATTTAATGCAGAATGCACAATGTTGCAAACTGCTCACCTTTTATAGAGCCCATGGTACCTGGCTCTAAGTATGTAGACCCTTGTTTCTAAAAAGGGGACACAAAACCTTTGTTACAAGCTGGATCAATTAGTTGATGGAGTCCATAGGAAGAAAAACTATTATTTATTCCAACATATGTAAAAACCAACAAATAAACACTTTAACAAATATAAAAAAAAAATGAATTAAATTAAAATGAAATCCAAATGAAGTACGCTCCAGTGGTCCTACCGGAACATGTTTAGCCAAAAATCTATTTTTTTAATTAGTATATATACATACCAATAAACTGATTAATAAAGCAGATTATCATGAATAAAACAGCAGCCTCTTCATGGTCTGCCTTTCATGGTCCATGACACAATTCACACCACTGGTCTGCCCACCAGTGTCATAGTTTACAGGATAGTAAATTTGAGGAGCATGTTATTATTGTCGAGTCTTTATATCACTTCTAGATTTTTCAGGCACCCCATTAGGATTAAGAAGAGTTTAATTTTCAGACTCCGTTTCTAAGTCCGCCTTTGTTTATTCCTGATTTTCTAAACTGTAAAAGATGGCTGAGCATCATGGGAGATGAAAATATAACTAATATTGTGTGCAAACTGACACCTGCACAAACATTTAATATTTCACAGCAGTAAATAAATATAAGTAGAAGGCCACATTGTAATACATTTAGATAAACCCTTTTCAGACCTTGGCATGCTTTACATAATTTCTAGAATGTAGAGTTTTTAGGGGCTTGCTATAGCTCTTGTCTTCACATTTACTGATTAGCCGGAAGCTCCCATCACTGTTTCTGCAGAATTTGTTAATAATATGTTCGATGTTTATGTGCTCTGGGTAATACCATCAATCAATGCTAGCATCAACTCAACATTACTTCTTTTTTAAAAGAACCTTTTTGTTATGGAGGCATTTTTTAAACACTTCCTCAAATTTTGTCTTGGGTGAGTTGGGAGAGAGATATATATTCAGTGTGTTCTCCTCACTCAGTGCTGCCATATTTTATTCTTCAAATCCTTCCATTTGAGGCTTCCTTGAGATATGTTGCATTGTACCACCCAACATATCCAGGGCCGTCTTTAATACTGATTGGACCATGGGCAGGCATTCGCTTGGGGCCCCTTGACCCTGGAGCCAATCCTCCACCTAGTAAACGTGAGACTTAAAATAAGCATTACGGAGAGACGCACAGCACAGAGAGTAGGATGCTGTACCAAGTGTTTCAAGAATAGTATCTATAGATCCACAAAGAGAAAAAAAAATATACAGTGAAAATATGTCAAAATAATACAAGCAAAAATCTAGCTATATAAAGAACTGTAAAAAAAATATGTGGCATGAAGAGAGTGTGATGGTAAGAGAAATAAAGGTGATAAAACATGGATACCACAACAAAGCAGTGAACAATATATGGGTGAATAAAAAATGCTGTAAAGTGCGAAGACAGTGACAGCTAATATAGAAAAAATGTGTGTAAAATATACATGTATGGTAAGAGTGTCCTAAGTGTGTATAGGAATTGTATAGGACTAGAGCTCTCAGGACTGAGTGACGTCCAGTGCCTGTGGATGTGTAGAGTGAGTTCCCCATTCGGCTCCAGGAGAGAGTGGTTCCAGGACCCCAGTCCAGCTACGGCGACTGTGGGCAGAGGTGCTGCGGTTTTTCTCCTGTTCTAGCTAAGAAGTGGTCCTTGGCGGAGGTACCCAGCCAGGGATACAGGGAGCTCCGTTACACATACACACACAGATGCACACTGTGTGTCAAGGTGTGTGTATCTGTTGTGGATTTTGCTACCCCTAGTATCACAGCAAGTAAAAACCCAGATCACTAAAGGGTTATCTTCAGGGGGTCACCTTTGCACAGGGCCGTGTACTGAAGACTTCCCAAGGAAAAGAGGCTGAACTCCCTTGAGGCAGAAGATAACAACCCTCAGTTAAGCCAAAAAGAAAAATTATCTAGTCTTAGAATGACTAAGTCTGTCCTAAGGATAGGAAAGGACAGAGGTCGGGAGGGGTTACTATTTAATAAGGTTCCTGTCTAATAAGGGATAGGGTAGGAGTTACCCATTGTTGTGCTGCCATGGATATGGCCAGGATATATATAATTACATAAATATACACATAGACTTTAAATATTTATATATACATATTTACATCCCAGAGAAATGCACTCAGAGGGCTTGTAGTCTTGTGCAATATTTCCTTTATTTGTGCAAAGTTGCAGTCACTATAGTCTGACTGTACCTTTGCAAAAACAAAGAAAATATTGCACAAGACTATAAGCCCTCTGAGTGCATTTATCTGGGATGTTGTATTGGGACAGGAATGTGAGTGCCAAGCCCATGTTAGATATGTATATATATTTATAGTATATGTGCATATTTATGTCATATTTTCACATCATTATGTGATTTTGCTAATTGCAATTTGAGACACATGCCTGACAATCCAGACAGGAAGTCCAGAGAATTTAATTTGGAGGCCCTATATTTAACTTTGTAACTTTCCAAAACACCATAAAACCTGTACATAGGGAAATACTGTTTTACTGATCAGACTTTGCTGAACACAAATATTAGCGTTTTAAAACAGTTAAATGTATAATGACGATGATATCATCAGTGAAAATGCCGTTTTTGTGTAAAAAATTCAAAAAACAAATATGAATGGTAACATTGTCTAGGGTTTGTGACTAAGTGGCTACTAAAAAAGACTGGATATACCCCATCTGAAATACCTTTGGTAGCCTACTTTTGCAAATGGTATGCCATCATGGTGGTTATTCTCATTTCTGGGTCTCAAAAGCAACATAACAAATCTGGCAAATGTCAATGTGCAAAAATTGGACAGGGTAAAGCCTTATATTTGACCTTGTAACTCTCCAAACACCATAAAACCTGATCATGGGGGTGCTGCTGTTCTTGTGAGACATTACTACACACATATATTAGTGTTTTAGAGCAATAAAATATATAATGCTGATGATATCGATGAAAAGGCAGTTTATTTATGAAAAATGCAAAAAACAATTATGAACGCTAAATTTGTCCAGTTTTTGTGACTAAGTGGCTACTAAGCAAGACTGAACATAACCCATTTTGAAATACCCTGGACTGGCTACTTTTACAAATGGTATGCCGTGATGGTGGTAATTGTGGTGGACCACTCGGTAAGGGACTCGAGTGTCACTGCCAAGGCTGTTCTTTCCCCTTCGAAGTATCCCATTCAGCACAGTAGTCAGTGATTATAGCTTGGAGAATAGCAGTAGTGTATAGTAGTGTTATAGCCCTTTCCCCTCCATACATTAGTTGAGACTTAATGCAGGGAGAAGAACTGGTTTCATTAAATTCAGCACGATCATTTATTGTCAGGGGTGGCGGTCCGGTGACCGGGACCCAGTATGCCTGATGATGATTATGATAGGAGTCACAGCGTGGAAATGAACTATCAGGGCCCGGTGCTGGGTAACCACATGCCCCCAGTGTTTGTACGGCCACATACCAGGGCCCTGATGCAGCTTCTGCGGATCCCAGGTGCCAGATGATAATATGCAGACCTCTCAGGATTTGAATAGGGAGCTCTGCAGCAGATATGTGTCCAGTACTAGAAAAAAGGCAAGACTAAAACAGGCACCAAAGAAGATAGCAAGACAAGACTAGAAGAACCCAGAACTGAGAAGGACAGAAAGCAGAACATGTACACAAAACATAAGGGAAACATGAACAGGACATGGACAGGGCAGGTCCGGACAGGACTGTACATGAACTGGGAGGACAAAATAAAACAAGACAAGAGATACAAGGCAAAACAAGAGGAGACATAACTAAGTACTATATAAGTAAAACATTGGAGACTTAGACATACATAAATGGCCAAGATGTATGCAGCCCACCACTGCGCCAAAGTATTTCAATTATGGTGGGTCCTAATTGCCTAGCTATGCATGACTAAATAAACAATAATAAAACACACACAGTACTTACCTGCAAAGAAAGGAGCAGAGGTAATGAGACCACTGCTTGCAGGACTAGGCTAAAACAAAAAGGATTAATGGCAATGGAACGGGTGTGGCAACAAAAAACAAACATTTAAAGGAATCCAAGACACTGGGAATTCCAGGAACGGAAGTAAGGAATGAACCCAGAAAACCCAGCAAAAAGAAAACCAGACATGGAATAGAGAACCTAAAAAACCAAGAAAAGCTAAACAAGAATTGTAAAAAGAGTACTGGATACCAGAAGCCATTGACCGAAATGATCAGCAGGAACAGGATGTGACATTTATACATAGACCCCTAGCATGGGGGCCTATGCACAGTACAATGATTCTGCCCTGGTGCCTCTTTGTCTGGGAGATAATTGCGTTTCTGCTCGCTAAACTAATGATCTCCTGTATACAGAGAGCACAACACAAAATCACCCCAAAACATAATAAAACATATAGGAACTCCCACACATTATATAACCCCGGAAAGCTCTGATCCAAGCACCCATGTTGGCCAAATAGTACTCAGATCCATAAAGAGATGACAAAAAGCCACACAGGTAAAGTTTTGGCCGACCGCACAAGTGGTCCATGCCCAAAAGAGTTCCATAATGATTAGGGCTGCGGACGGTCAATTGTCGGGAGTTCCTGTGGACGAAACAGGGGGTGCTACCCCCGGCTTCCAGGGAGTGATTGTGTCAAACAGTCCGAGGCACCCTCCCTCCAAAAAGCGCTCCTGTGGCCAGAAGGAGAGTGGGGAAAAAACCTGAGTAAAAGTGGACCGGGAGTGGAGGTTAGCCGCGGCCGGACCGGAGTTCCAGGAAAGTTTTACATAAGTCACGCTCAAGTCTTTGCGGCTTCTGGGCTTTGGCTATTGTCCAAGACAAGGGGCACCCTTAGTCCGTTGGCCAGGAAGGAAAGGTGCTGTGAGCCAGGAGTAGTGACAATAGTCTGTGGAATAATGTGGAATAAAACAAGTAACAAGGGACAGACAGGATGGCGTGAGTTGCTCCTGGTATGGGCACAAGTGACTGGGCATTCTGTCACAGTAATTTTAATTTCTGGGTGGCCAAATGGTCTCAAAGGCAACATAACCAATCTAACAAATTTAAATGTGTAAAAACTGGGCAGTGAAAGCCTTATATTTGAGTAAAAACTAAAAGTATTATGACATTTACAATTAAAATGTTACACAGAACTAAGAAAATAACATTTCTAAATAAAATTATGTTTCCAATCGAATTATTTGATGTGAAATGAAAGCCCTGTTTTTCCTGAATAAAATGATATATAATACGTGTGGATGCACTTAATATGAAAGATGTGAATTACGGTTGCACATCGCAAATTACATATAGCGCAAATTAAAGGTTTTGTTTACATTTTTTTTTTTTATCAGAATGTGTACAATTGCCTCCATCCTTAAGGGGTTAATTTTACAGGTGTGAATGGGGTTGTGGCCAGGGGCAGGGCTGCTCTGAGAAATTGTAGGTGACGTACTAGTAATTATTTATGCAATTAAAATGTAATTTAGTACAGGAACAATTTATTTACATTTGCATCTATTGCACATGAATAGAAATCAGCACTGTTATAAAATAAAAAAGAGGGCACACTGAATTCCTTTATGTGTTTGGAGTCTTCGTTTAACTAAGGAACTCGTTCTAATAGGCTAGACCATGGGTAGGCAACCTTCGACACTCCAGATGTTATGAACTACATCCCCCATAATGCTCTGACACCCATAATACTGGCAAAGCATCATAGGAGGTGTAGTCCAAAACATCTGGAGTGCCGAAGATTGCCTATGCCTGGAAAATGCAGTGTAGAAGATGTTGAACATTTCACACAGTACCCTCCTCCACTAGTACTTTTTCCAGTGTTTGCCACATGAAAAAGACAGTATTAAAGTGTTTGTAAAAGATATAACACCATTCATTTTATTAATGTGAGTTGCCATCCTTTTTCTCATTACCAGCTCTATGTTACACAGTATTTTATTAACTTTGTCCTATTATACCAAAATGTCCACTAGTGGCAATGAATCATCTTAACTAGAGCAGCTACAGATTCTGGTCATGGAATGCCAAAAGGAATTAATAATACTCTAATAAATTCAGTGAGTGATGGAAAAGGAGTTGTGTTCTAGAGCAGCAAGGCCAATCAGTTGTGAGCAGATCACTGAGAAGCGGACTGCTTGAGTAACTATGCATTTATTATCTAATAAACGTAAAATGTTTATTAAATAAAAAAAGCGTGGATTGTCCGATAGCATATTTTACAAAAAAATATGTTCTGGCGCCGGTAGATAATAATTGCAGTTCCGAAAAACGTGTTAGTTTCTAGTAGAGATACAAAATCTAAGTGTTACAAGACCAAGAGAATTCACCACCATAAATTCTACCACCACACACTATCTCAATAGGTCTCAGATCACAAAACTCACCGATCACTACTACTCTAAATTGGTGCTCCTGTTGACATCCTCTAATACCATACTCACAACAACTGGTGTCCCGTAAAGACTTATCTATGGTTTCATAATAATCTCCGTACCCAACCTTTATTATTATTGTATGGATCAACTCTTACCATTTCTAAGTTCGTGTCTTATGTATGCATGCTGCTTACAAGACTTGGTCTTAACCCCGCCAAATACACTGGTTATTCATTTAGGATAGGAGCAGCATCTACTGTCTCCAGTAAAAATTTGCCAGTACACATTATTAAAACATTAGGACGTTGGAAATCCTCAGCTTACTCACGATCCATACCTCAACCTATACAAGAGTTACATCAAGCTTTTCTCGATATGTCCAAGTAAATGATGATGCTTATTGTAGCTTGAATAAATTATATGTTTGGTATCCTTTCTTTTGCCCTCTTTATTACTGGCCTACCGCTTTGTTGGTTCTGGCACACCACAACTGACTTATCAGTTATGAGGTATCACGTATATACCGCTATACAACTCAATACGGCATTGGGCCTAGAACACAAATTTAAGGCAGGACCTATAGTTGTGGGTGGGGTTTGGGTCCCCTTTTAAGCGACTCTCTCTCTGTCTCCCATACCGTTACTGGTCTGGCGATTTGCAGACCCCTTCCACCACTTTTTTTCTATACACATCATCATCTTTATGCTACTCCTAGAGTGGGCCCTGTTTATAATAGGCCTACGGCTTTATCGGTTCCGGCACACCACGACCGACTTATCAGATATCACTCATATACCACTATACAACTCATTACAGCGTTGGGCCCCAAACACAAATATATATATATATATATATGTATATAAATAAAAATACCGTATATAGTCCTAAAGTACACAGTTTAGTTAATTTATTTATTTGTTTTTGTGTGTGCAGTCTGCAACTTCTTTCAATCAATTTAATTAACATATTATGACAAAACTACTGCTGTGAAATGCTGATCTATATAGCAGGTGTCAACTCTAGAGGATATGCAAGCCCACACTTGCCATTTGCGATGCTCTTGGTGAGAATAAAGTAATTAACACTAACACATATTTATCTAGCCACTTGTAAACATGTAATTAAGCATACAAAGCTGTCTATT